GTTCACAACACGACAAGCAGTGTATAAACTTGCAAATGAAGAAATTGCAATTGAAGTAACAAATCAACAATTAAGCAGTGATTTCAACAATCAATAACTACTATTGTAGAGTACTAGCTCAAGACAACAACAATCTAGATTATAACAAGAAATCCCTAAATGTTAGGGTTTCATGAGTCAATTTTCAAAATTTTCACAAATCTGAGAACAGCAACTTCATAATGCATAAGCGAATTAGAGAGGTAAACAATTAAGCAACCGTACAACAATGATGAGAATATATCAACAAGAAACCTCTAGAAATTGCCAGAAAACCTCCAAGATCCAGAGAGGTAGAAAACAACGGAGACGACGATAGGACCACCGACTTCAATACACCGAAGACAACAATGAACACTGTAGTAGCAACGACAAAGATGAGCAGAAGCAATAGGATCATCAACCGGAGGCATTGGCCAAGTCTAGCGATGATACCATGATAACTTGTTTGTAATCTTGTAGAGTAAGCTAAGTAAAGATATTCTAGAGAGAGAAATTTAGAGAGAGCGAGAGAGAGAGAGAGAGAGAGAGTTTGTTTCAACTGTATTTCTATTTCCTTTCTCATTGTGTTAATTACAACAACAAACCTTGTATTTATACCTTACAACCTCAACTATGTACCTTAATACATAACCATTGATCCGATGACACTTGTCATGATCTTAGACACATATCAACTCTATCAGGTGTCAGATTACAATCCTCCCCTTCTTTTGCAAAGAAGATAATGGTGATGCTGTTTCACAAAAGTCATGTTCTTAAAAAAATCTAATGATCAAATAATACTAAATTGCATTTGTGCCTTCAAGAGACAATTTTTGCATTTACAGCATGGTGTTTGAGTATGATATGTGATGCGTAAAATATCATTTAGTGTGCATCTCAGCCAAGGCCAATACTTTATACTGTCGAATTTAACTACCAAATGGAAATAGAGAGCCTAAGCTCCTCACATCATCATCCTATTTCCTAAATTATCATTTTTGAGATACACCACCTCATAGATCAATGTTGATACGATGGAAAAAGGTTAAGGAAAAAAATTCAAATAGATTGCTCTCACCATCTATTCTTTTAACCCTCTCTATCGTGTTGAAACTTCTGCCCTTTCACTTTTGTAAGGTTCCCCAAGCAGCTTCTACTTTCTTCTATTTGAATCCTCTATAGCAGTAAGAAAATACTTGTATGACATGAATGATTTTGTATCCAACGATATGTAGCACAGACAAACAAAAACAAAAAAAACAAAAAAAAAAAGAACAAAATTATTGTGAAGAGTGTGTGTGTACGAAGAAAAGTGGGGTGAATGGTGAAAATGTAAGGTTTGTGTTGAGAGTATAGAGTGTGAGGGTGTTTATGAAAAAGTATGTAGGGTGTAATGTATTAAGATAAATTTTAATTAAAAAAGTAAATGTGGAGTTTATTAAGAATGTTAGATGTATTCAGTAATATATAAGGTGTTAATATAATAAGTCTAATTTAACGGACAATTTCCAAGTAGTAGGTGGTCAATAATTCACTGGACCCCACACGCTAATCGTAGTCTTGAATTTTTCGATAATTTAAGTAATAATTTCCTAGTAGTTGGTTGGTGTGAGAGCGACAGAGTGTGGGTTTGGTGACTTTCGGTCGGCTTCCTACCATGACATTAGTATATGAGACCTGGAATTATCGTCCTTGTGAGTGTGTATGCCTGAAACAGTTAATCATATCAGGTGTTTCCGTGAACTAAAAAACTCAGTTCGTAATTATATACTCAATTTATAATGTCTTTTAAATAACTACTCGACCACCGAGCTCAAAGTTTATAGTTAATTTTTTTGTTCCTTTGAATGATAATAGTATGGTTATTGTTGGCCATAAGTGCCAGCAGAAAGAGACCATCACCAAAGTCTGAATATATGTTTAATATTTATTATTGCCTGTGTGGAAATCGTCTATTATTGACCAAGTCCATAGCCAACTTGAAGTTTCTCTCCTTTTCCACTAAATCAAAAGATAAAAAACATGGAAGAAAAAAAAAAAGGTGTGCTTTTCCACTAAATCAAAAGATAAAAAACATGAAAGAAAAAAAAAAAGGTGTGCTATCCACACACCTTATTTTACTTCTCACACACTCTTGATAATTTTTGTTCGTTAATATTTTTCAATTCATCCGATCCGATGACTGAAAATTAAAAAATGTGTGAGAAGTAAAATGGGGTGTGTGGATATCACACCCCAAAAAAAAATAATAATGCTCGAGACACGACATAAAGTTTTCCAAAATAGAAGCTACTATATACATAACAAGGACCTCCCATCAATAGGTCAAGTAAAGCTGGCCTCGCCCTTCTGTAATGATCCATGTGGTCGACCATATAGGTTTGTTGTGTTTATCATATTTTTGTGACAGATTTGTATTGATGACGTTTTGTAGGGTAGATCATTGCTTGTGGTGCCGTATAAGGGTTTACTATTGTTTGTTTGTGCAAATTTACTCCATCTCAATTTCTTGGTCATTGAAGCTAATATACCCGATCAACTACTCTGTAATTGTTTGTGAAGTTCAATAAAATACCATTATCGTTTCTTGTAAAAAAATTTAAAAAAAAAAGGAAAAAAAAAAAAGTGATTTGCGTATTTGAATTTTGATAATAATGGATCATCTAATTTAACCGATTAATTTTTGGTTTATTGTTGTTCTCTTCCCAAAATTTGAAAAGATTCTAAGTTTGAATTTGTTGGAGGTCGGCTAGAGTTCATATAATTAAACTCCAAATAAAAACGATGCTCAATGGTAACGAAGAAAAAGTTGTATGATTGAACTAATTATAGAAACAAGAAGACTATATCCGACCGTTAAGATAATAATTACATTACATAAATGTATGTTTTGTAGTCAGTCCTCAAAATAAATAAATAGTGCTAACTGTATTATTATTGGTCACCAAAGACCATACCATATTACCAACGTTGGCTTAGTAGTGAGGAAGGCAAGTAGCGTAGATCGATGTAGACAATAGACAGGGCACCAAAGACCAAACTATACTAATATGTATGTAAATATACTAGGTATCTTTTACATATCTTTCCCTATTCTAATTGTGTATATATGAACTTCTTGTTGACTTTGTCTTCCAAGTGATATCTCAACGTGAAATTGGCTAAATATCAAAGTGGGAATTTATTGTTTGTGTAAATCAAATAGCTTGTAGACAGTGGTGGATTCAGAATTCGAACTTTGGGAATTCACAATGTTAAGTATCAGTTTTTAAATAGAAACAAAATTTTAAAAAGAAAAATGGGATCAAAATTGACTTTCAAGGGGCATGGTTATAAATTCTTAATACATATGTAGCAAGAACTAGGGGTAGGTTCAAAATAACTGAAAACTAAAAAAAAAGGGGGACCAAACATCTAACCGAAACTGAAAAACTGAAAACTAAACCAAAACCGGAAAAAAAAAGAACCAAAAAAAGGAAAAACCAAACCAAACTGAATCCCCTTACACCTTATGGATGTATGCCCATAATGATTCTTTTGTCAAATTTTGTTGCCAAGTTTGAAACTAAGCCTAGGGCGTTTTCAAGGAGCATACTTGGTTCAATTAGGGTGGATATTCCATTGGTTATATATGAAAGTTTTGAGAGGCTTTGGAACTTAAAAGCGCTTCTATATTGGTTTGGTTTTTGAATGGATATGGTGATCATTTTTCTTTGCAAATGGATATGGTGATCATTTTTCTTTGCAATTGAGGTTGTTGATAGAATATGATTGGTTTATATGATCTTGTATATGTACAGCCTTCCCACTTTTCCCAGTTTCCTATTATTAGTCTACTAATGCAAAGTCTATTTTCTAAATTTCATATTAAAAAAAGATCAATTTCTATAAAATAAAATAAAAACAGAACCCGTAGCAAAACCGAACCGAACAAAATCAAACTGAAAACAAAAAAAAAAAACAAAAAAACAAAAAAACAAAAAAAAAAGAAAAAACCAAAAGAAAATCGAGCAGATCCAAACCGAAGCTTTTATTCGATATCAGTTTTGGCAATAAATCGAACCACCCCCAGCAAGAACTGCACCCTCTAAATGACCTAATGAGAATGAGCCCAAAAGGAAACCCAGCCCATAATAATCATGCCTAACAACCCATTAGAAATGTAATAGGCCCAATAGCCTAGAATTTAGCCAGTCCTCTCCACCTTGCAATAGCTCTTAATTTTGATAAACGAATAATGTTACATTTATTATCTATTTATATCATATCTCGAATAGATGTAGAACCCACCAACACATGTAGGTCCCTTCTTAGCAAGAGAATTGATACGAAGGATGATATAAATAGATAGTAAGAATAACATTTTTGTTGATAAACAGCAAAGCAAGTATGAAAGCCTTATACTATTGCAATGTTGACTGACCGTTTAAGAGTGGTTAAGTGGACTTTAATATACTAATTCTGAATTTGAAAAGACGATTTTATCTTTTATCTAATCCGATTTACCGGTAATTAATTAAAGAGTGAAAACTATAAGTATTAATATACTAAATTAGTCATAGGAATTAGATCAGCAGATGTTCTTAATCACTTAAATTACAAGTCAGTTGATGCACGCTATAGTATTTATCTATTAAAATTAGGGGTGTGTGGAATTAGGGATGTGCTATCCACACACCTCATTTTACTTCCCACACACCTCTTGTTAATTTCTGTCCGTTGATCTTCTTCAATTCATTCGATCCAACGACCGAAAATTAAAAGGATGTGTGAAAAGTAAAATAGGATGTGTGTGGATATCACACCCCTACCCACACACCTCTAAAATTAACTTCAACTTATGCTGCTGGGGCATATTAAAACGACTGAAGCAACATTTATGCCACCTCACTTAAAGCTTCTTGTGGCTGTCACCGTAGCGCTAGCTTTCCAAAAATCAGATACATATTTTGTGCAATATTTGCAGAACACACTAGGAGATAATCCTCAATCTTTGTTACTTAAATGCGCATTGTTAAATTTATCGTAAGTACTGAGATTATTACTCTAATATTTGTACAAATTAAACACAAATGTCTTGTGGAAAGATAGAGAAATTTGCAAAGACACAACCTGATAAGACCTATATATATTTTTCTGCTCGTATCTTTTCCTTCCAATCTATAACTATGAATATATCATCATTCATACTTCGGCATAATTCTAGGTTGAACGTAAAATCCTTAAGCTTTTATCATCTTCTGGAACCTGATTAGGCTACAACCAAACGAGCCCATCTTTACCAACCAGTCTTTGTCTAAGCTGTATGTTCACGGGTCTCATCTGGGGTCTGCATTCGTTTCCTACTTAATCTTGCAGCAATCAAACATATGAGAAAGATGGCAGGCAAAAGGGACAGTTTGAGAGGATTATTAGCATGCCGAATGTAATAAAAGTATTGAACTATCGAGCAAACACACTGAGCGATACCTCCGAGTAACCCAAAAATTTCATTGGCAGAACCAAAAAGCATGTAACATCCCCTCTTCCTCCACACCACGTTATTTTTCCTGCCCTTGTAAATCAGCTCCCATATGCAAGTGAGTAGAGCTGCAATAGCCAAGAGCATTCCGAACAGGGCATACCTCGGCCTTCTTGGGGACGAAGCCTGATCAAAAGCAGCTGATAAAATCTCCATGGAAAGGCTAGTGACTAAAAAGATCCACTCTGCTGAATTTGCCTGCATAATAAATTAGTAATGAGTTCAATTAAAAGATCTACAAATAATTATGCAAACGAAAAGGCTAAACTGTATTTTTGTCCGTCACCGAATACCATGTTGTTAACTGATGAAATTGCACCCAAAATCAGATTTTCTCCGCATGGTTTGACGGAAACATCGCATGTTGGTTACATCAAAGGTTATAAACTGAAGAAAATTCTAAAACCGCTAGCAGAATGACTAACTGGTAGTTCCACTTGATCAACGCCTAAATTTGAAGGAAATGCGATTTTGGACTCGATTGTAATCGTTAATCAACAGCCGTATAGGTATTGTTTTGAGTGCTAAAGTAGAAACTGTAGTTACGAAAGTGAAAAATGGTTCAAATTGAAGGAACTAAAACTGTAGCATGTAGCATGTAGCAAAACAAAAGTGTTGGTTAACTATATATGTGATGAAGGCTTATGCAGTTGGAGTACCTCTGTCCTAGCAGAGCGGCGTTTTTGATGTGATTCTCTCCCCTTCTGCCTTAATTGTTGTAGTAAACAAATTGGGAGAATGCGAGCAACGGAGGGTAGCTCCCAAATGTTGGTATGTAATAAGTGATGCCATTCCTCAGAACCAGAAGTTGTGCCTCGTAAGAGACCCCCTAGTGCTCGTGCAATTAAAGGCAAACCATTGCACTTACGTATTGCAGTTTCCTTATCAGTTTCTCGAATCTTTGAATGTTCAGCGGTGTAACTGTCTCCCAAAGCATGTTTTAAAATCAACGACCAACAATCTTCATCAGACAGCGGCTCTAAATAGTGAGTAGGTACATTGCGCACGATTGAAGCAACCATTTCACTCCGCGTTGTTATCACAACCTTACTTCCCCCTGCCGCATAGAGAAAAGGAACTTGCAGGAGATTCCAATCATGATAGTTCTCGTTCCAGAGGTCGTCCAACACAAATAAGAATCTCTTTCCCCTCACTTCGTGTTTTAGCTGGACCTGAACAAAATTTAGATCGGTAATGTCACAAACAGTCGAAGTGATTGACTCGAGCAGGGTTTTAGTGACCCTAACAGCATCAAAATCTTCGGAAACGCAAACCCAAGCTTGAATATCAAAATGCTCTTTCACTCTTTGATCGTTGTATACGAGTTGAGCAAGTGTTGTCTTACCAATCCCGGCCATTCCCACTATGGTAATGACAGAAACATTATTCCTGCTTTCGGCATCAGAGATTAACAGTCTTATCAACTCTTCTTTATCACCATCTCTACCAACGACAGAAGATTCATCAACCAAACAAGTTGTTGGCATTTGTGAAACCTTCCGAGCGCCTTTTTGAAGACCAAGAACATCCTTTTCGTTTCCAAGGAATTTTAATCTATGATATAACTCCTTTATCTTATCATTCAAGCGTCGGTCAAAACGACTGAAAGGCACAGAGAGGAAGTTCCACACCTGAGTTACAACGGTCTGATCTTCTGCTGCCATCTTAAGCCGGAAAGCTTCAGCATCGACCTCATCCAGTAGGACCCCCGCATCATAGACCGCTTCTCTCAATTCATCAAGCCAGTTTCCGATGGAAGGGATCTCAAACTCCTTCTGGTGTGCGTCATCGAGCACTGCATCAAGGGTTAACAACGTCAGCTTGAATTTCTTCTTCAGGAGTGACTTGTCAAGCTTCTTTGGCCCAAAAATGTCCCTCATTTCGTGCGAATCAATCCGTTTGCAGAGCTGCTGGATGGAAGCAGAGAGAGAAGCCTCTCCGGCATCCAAAGCTGCAGCCATTTTTGGCAAACAAGTTGAGATTCTAGCGTCTTCGATTGGATTGACTTGGAGATATTGTTGTCCACACAGCACGGTTACCCGTCAACCGCTTCTACTTGGAAAGTTATTTTTTTTGGGCGTTGTACTAGTTTCTTTTGAATAAAAATTGTCTTCATGATAAATAATTATTAATGAGCGGCAGATACAGTATTCTAATCTCGTGAGATTCCAGTAGAAGATTCAAGCGTGCGCCGCGCGCAAAATTTGTAGTCAATATCTCTTAAACTGTGTCTGACTTGGGCATCAAAATGCCCTCTAACAAATGCCACGTTAGAATTAGTCAATTGATCTTTCAATATTTTTTTATTTTGGAATTTTTTTATCAGTTTTACATGATAGAAATTTGCATCCACAACTACAAATTTAAAGTGTAAGTACAATTTTGTAATCGTTTTTAATATAATAATATATTAAATGTAAAATGAGGTAACAAAATTAGTTTTGAACTTGCCAAAGACCTTTTTTCGAATATATTTATATTAATGATATTATTTTATTCGTTATGTTTGATTACTGTTTTAAAAATTTCGGTGTCAAGAGGTTGGTCACTGGGTTTAATTCATAAGCGTTTGAAATATTAAAAAGAACACATAGACCTACGCACCCGTCCAAGCAGTCATGTAGGTCGCATACTCTCACTCAGACAAAAAAGAGATAACTTTCATTTTATTTTTTATTTTTTTAATAAATTGTAAGAAATTTGTTGAATACTTGGATGAACACCCATTACATTCTAGTTCCTCATATTTTCAATATGTTGCGATATTTTCTAATTTATATGTCATTTTATTTTTTCATTTATGTATCCAACACAATTATGTGATACTTGTTTTCAATTAGTTCTAATATTTTATAATCTATATGTCATTCTATTTTTCAATTTATGTATTCAAACACAATTACGTATTTTTTAAGTATAAACATGCACTTATTAATACTATCTATGATAAATTTACTTAAATCCATGCTTAAACCCCGCTTAGCTACCTAAACCTTAGACTCCATCCGTTGTTCAATTAGCGTCTAACATTTTTTAGATACTTTCCCATATGGTAGAGAATTCCGACTTTATTACGGATTTGCCCCCCTCCTTTATGAGGAGGCTGCCGCTGGACTTCTCATCTTCTCGCGGGGTTAGGGATTTGGATCCTCGGAGAGGATCTCATGGTCGATTATCGTAGATCGTTAGATTTTTATCCAACGGTTATAAACAGAAATTAAAGTTATAATAATTGTAAAATAAAAATCCAGGATCCATAATAATTGGTTTGGAATCCTCGCCATTAGCTAGGAGAGGATCCAAATCCGTTTGGATAAACATCCGCCTTCGACAACAACTTTTGCAAATTCTCTTCCTTTCTTTCATCCCGATACAAATTCATCCTCCGCCTACTCAAATTTTCCTTCCCCTTTCAATTTCATAACATTCCCAAATTCTAATTCCAATCAATTGTCCAAAAACCCTAGATCCCCTAACCCCTCCTCCGCCTTCAACCAACCTCCGAATTAGGGTTTCTTCTCCCCGACCCAGGGGCACGCCCAGAGCTTGAACGATAGCCATGGACGATAGCTGTGCCGTGTGTGCCGATCCTCTCGAATGGGTCGCATACGGTGCCTGTGGACATCGCGAAGTCTGCTCCACCTGCGTCGTTCGTCTCCGCTTCATCTGCAACGATCGCCGATGCTGCATCTGCAAGACCGAGTCCGACGTCGTTTTTATCACCAAGGTACTGGATTTTCCTTTTCTCTTGAGTTAAAAGATTATTGCTTTTAGCTTAGGATTTTGTGCTGAAACTTCCAATCATAATTGTTTGTTTACGTCTCTTTGATTTGTGAATTTTCTTTGAGAAGGAATCTTTGATAAGCTTAGCAGCTGGAAAGATTTGCTCTTTTTTGTAAGAGATTGAATGTTATGTTTTTCTGGGCTGTTGTATTCGATTCGCTTGTTTGGGTTGAATTCTCATGGTAACTAGTGACTTATCATTGTGGTGCATATTGGGTTCTCTTGCCTTTCAATGTAATGAGCTTCTCGACTGCATTATAATGTTTTATTCTATGAGTTTTTCACGTAAGCTTAAGTGGCATGCATTCGCCCGTGACTGCTTTTTTTTTTGTTCAATTGTCCATGTATCTGTTTATTGTGAAAAGATTCTAGCTTTATATAATTCAGCAGATACATTATTCAGTGCCTGCTCCGTTGTAATTTATTATAACTTGGATCCGTTAGCGTTTTCACACTTTCTTGATTCCTTATGTGGTGTGCCTTTTTCTATCTTTTCAGGCTTTAGGAGATTATACAAGGATGGTTAATGATTTCTCAGTCTTGCCAAATGATGCAAGGGAGGGTCGTGTGGGATCGTATTGGTACCACGAGGACACTCAAGCATTTTTTGATGATGTGGACCACTACAAGATGATCAAGGCAATGTGCAAGCTTTCATGCAGCGAATGTGACAAGATGGATGAGCAATCAAACGATGGCCCCAAGCGTCGCGGGAGGATTCGGAATCTTGGTCATCTGAAGAATCATTTATACCACCAACATAGGTTGTGGATGTGCTCTTTATGTTTGGAAGGGAGGAAGGTAAAATCAATTATACTGAGACTTGATATTTATCATATATGTACATTTCAAGCAGCGCTTTCTCTCTATTATCTTCTTTGTCTTCTTAGGTACTATCAGTTTTATTTGATTTTTTATTCTATTTATCTATTAATGTTATGCAGGTGTTTATATGTGAACAAAAGCTATATACGAGAGCACAATTGAATCGGCATATAAATACAGGTGATTCTGAAGTGGATGGAAGTGAGAGTGAAAGAGGTGGCTTCATGGGACATCCTATGTGTGAATTTTGCAGAACCCCATTTTATGGGGATAATGAGCTGTACTCCCACATGACTACTGATCACTATACTTGTCATATATGCCAAAGGTACCGACCGTCTTTCACTTCAAGAGTGCTTTGTTTTTATTGTAATTTTAAAATGTTTAAGCTCATATGAGATTTTGTGCTGTTCAATGCAGGCAGAATCCTGGGCAATATGAATATTATAAGAATTATGATGACCTGGAGGTGAGTTATTAGTGTTGTATTTATTTTGTATTCTCTTTCTTCCTGTTGTCTTTTATGTGTTTTGAATGCTTTTTCATTGTATGTCACAGATGCACTTCCGCCAAGGTCATTTCCTATGTGAAGATGAGTCGTGCCTCAGCAAAAAGTTTGTTGTCTTCCAATCTGAGGCAGAAATGAAGGTGACTTTTATAAAATGCGAGAAATTTCTGTGTTCCTGCCCTTGTAGTATTTAATTCTTGACTTCCCTTTCTTTTTATTTTTCAGAGGCATAATACACTTGAACATGGAGGTCGCATGTCTCGTTCTAAGCGTAATGCTGCTCTGCAGGTAAGTGTACAATTTTTTTTTTGTTCTCTGCAATTTCCTTTGTGCATTGAGGCTGGGTTCTTCTCCTCTCATTTTTTTAGTAATTCAGCTTTATGCAATATAATTAATTTTCCTCGTAAATCTGTAACAGATACCAACCAGCTTCAGATATCAACGGAGTAGTGAACAAGATCATCGACGTGGAAGAGGCGGAAGAGGTGGAAGAGGTCGGACATTTCGTCCTGATTCTTCTGAAAATCAACTTTCTATGGCTATTCAAGCAAGTTTGGAGACTGCTCATGCTGATAGAACATACGATGACCCTTCATCCTCCAGTGTGCAAGTTTCTCCAGATATTGGGGATACAGGCGATATTGATCCAATCACTGATTCATTTGAATCATTAAGTACAGCAGACGCTGAAACATCTTCAAGGTACCGTCAAGCTGTGGGGCCTATTTCTAGGAATGGGCGTTTGGAAGAATCTTTCTTTCCTCCCCTCTCAACAGCACCTGGCAACAGTTCAAACCCCAAACAAGATTCAGATGGTTTGCCTAGCAACACCATGGCATCGCATCTCCGCCGGCAAAACCATAAGGTGGCTGTTAATAGCTCTGGAAAGGCTTGGCCAGCAGCCACGCGTGGGCCTGTGGCTGTTAGTAGTTCTGAACAGGATTGGCCAGCAGCAACGCGTGGGCCTGTAGTACAGCCTACTCATTCAGCTCAGGCTTGGCCTGCAACAAATGTTTCATCTGTGTCATCTCTTGTTTCTGGTCAGAACAATATGGGCTTTGGTAATGGACCCAGACCATCTAGTTATGCCTCTCAGGCTCAAGCTGAGACTAGACAGAATGCCTTTGGTAATGGTGCGAGACCATCGAGTTATGCAAGTTCTGCAGCTCATGTTGAGACTAGACAGGCAACAGTACCTGGATTATTATCATATGGTTCTTCGAGGGATTCAAGCAAGCCCAAGCCTGGTAGGATCAGCCACTCTACGTCAGCTCCTAATTTGGTTGAAAATGGATCTGTTCATCCTTCCAATTCTGATTTTCCTCCAGTTTCTGCAGTAAAAGTGCGGAAGTTGCCCTCAACTACCCAGCCTTTATTGAAAGTGGAGGATGTTCAAACTGCCAACAAGTCCTTGGTGGAAAAGATTCGAGCTGGTCTTGAATTTGATGAGGAAAAATACACTATTTTTAAAGATATATCTGGACAGTATCGTCAGGGTTTGGTTGACACGGGAATTTATCTAGATTTTGTGCGGCAGTTTGGCTTGCTTCATCTGGTCCTTGATTTAGCTAGACTCTGCCCTGATTCGCAGAAGCAGAAAGAGCTGATTGATGCCTACAATACCGGTACCCGCAACGGATGGTCTCAGGACAATGCTAAATTGAAAGATGGTAATAATTCTAAGAAAGGTAAGGGGAAGATATCAGAGGCTGAAAACAGTAATTCTAAGAACACGCTAGCAGATAGCATTATTAGTTCTGTACGGGAACTTCAATCAAACGACAGGCCTATGGAAGAAGCTGTGGAGGTGTTGACAAAGGACGGGTACCGTGGTGCCAAAGGAAAATCAAAGCAGTTTGCTAATGAGCACCAGGAGGAGTTAAATTCTCGCAGTCAACCTCTAGTACAACTGAGCGGCCAAAAGGATTCCCTGCCAGCTGCTAGTGGATCTAATCCGAATTTAGTGGATGGCGGTGGAGGGAGTAAGCAGCGGAAGAAAACTTCCAAATTTCATAGAGTCCGCTTGGGTGATGCTGCAGCACTTTTAGATCTTGGAAATTCTGATTCTCAGCCAGATGCCGGTGATGAAGGATTAAATGGAAGCAGTAACTCGGCTGGAGGATTGCCCGTCAAAGGTGTGTGGCGGAAAGGAACTCAGAAACTCTTTAGTTAGAAGAAGCACGATGATTTAGGTCATCAATTTTTTGTTGGTAAAAAGAGTTTGCTTTCTTCCCAAATTTTGCGACCATTTAGTTCTCAACTCTGCAACCGGGCTGGACCCTTCGGTTTATGCAACTGGGCAGTGGGTTTTGTGTGTGTGGCTTTTCTGGAAGGAACCTGCCTCTCCATGTTTATCGACATCGCGTAAGTGTTCGTATATACTCTTCGGAATGGGAATAGGTTTGTTCACATTTCTTGTCTTTCAGATTTCCATGGTTCTGGTATTATACGCAAACGTCCCAAAACTATAAACAGACTGAAAGTGGAATCGTGGAACTTTATGAAATTGTTTTCAAAACCTAGAAAATTAACAATTTTAACTTTTTTCTGCTTGAGATTTGTGCAACGGGTAGCGATTTTCACGCTTTCAATTTCTCCTCCTGCACTCGTCCCTCATTTGCTTGATTCAAAATGCTAGAAAAATATAGTGAAAATTATTTCTCTTGTTGTCTTTGAAGTGGCTGAAAATATACAACTGGTGCACTCAAGAATTTTCGTTTGTAAACTACCGAGTTGGAGTTGAGTTTGAGTTTGAGTTTGGCAATATAGAATCCCTTTCGATCTCCGTTCAAAATGGTAGGATTAAAAGGGAGAAGTTTGTTTTAATGTATAATCCCCTTTAAAAGAAAATTTTTCGCCTCCACCTTTAATGCGTCTTAAATTTTATGAGTTGTCCAATTCGTTTAAATCTGAAGCACCGAACGAGCTTGAATCCTAAGCACCAAACGAGCCCAAGCCTTCGATCGAGCCGGTAAAAAATGTCGAGTTTTATGGGAGTATAACCTCCGCTTCAACATGTAGAACCCGGACTGGACTCTGCATTCTTGCACAGGTAGTTCAACGGGATTCCCACCTAGACAAGGAAAGGAAGGGAACCCCTGCATTCCTTTACAAAATTTCACTCCAACGAGGGATCGGATTGGAGAATCTTGGAGTTTTTTACATGAAATTGTGAAAATCTGGGTTCTGCATAAAACAAGTCAAGCGATGCGGTGTTCAGCTGAATGTTAAAAACTCGCACGCACACTAGAACAAGCGATGACGAACAGTTGGGTTGCAGAAACTTGCAGCATCTAAGTGTAAAATTAATAGACTTAGCATGGTTTAGAGGTCCTCCAACATTTATACCTGCCATAGAACAAGAAAGAAATGTAAATCTGGTTACAATTACGAAAAGGCCGCATTTTGGAGTCCTTCAGAAGTTGGAGGCACAGAAAAGAAAGCTTCAAGCTTTTACCTTTATGTGTTGTCTCACAATTCTGTTCCATATCAAATCTTTAAAGCCTCCTTTTTCTCACAGCAATTCAATGGATGCCAACTGGCGTGCTTTTAGCTTTTCGTATCTAGGTGGGTTAGATCCTGGCAAAGTCTAGGCGTCTTTTCTTAATTTTTAAGCATCTAAGAATTAATCAAAGTGATGGTCAATTATCTAGCGCGTAAGCAGGAATTTTTAGAACAGTGCTCAAAATTTTTTCAACGGTGTTTGAAAGACTGATCCAAGACATTAAGAAAACTGATTCTAATAAGGTTCATCAAACCCTATTATTTTAGCCTCTTAGAATTAACTTAACTGGCGTCACTCTGGTCCTTAGGATTGGGATTGGCTAACTACTCACTAGATTCAAGATACGTTGAAATAAGAAAGAACACTCAGCTTCCGAATTTTATTAATGCATCTTTTGCTTTCAACTCAGAAAGAATTGGGAAGCTGACCTACGTTCCTACATGCAACATGCCTTGAATCTATTGCGTTATTCAATTCAAACCAATTCTAGGCATCAAATTACAGCCAAAAGGGACCAAATTGATATGAAAACTACATTAAGGAGATATAATGAAGAGTATAGCACTATTGCACGTATATTCGTTTCTCAGCTGTCAAAAGTTAAAAAATGAAAGCACCATTTTTGTATATCTGAATAATATCAACTAGCTCTCGGTCAAGTAGTACTTCTCTTCCAAGGTTGGAAGAGGTCCAAGTTTGAATCCCCCCTCCCTTATTAGCACTACAATTGCACCTACTTTAATTTCAAGATGACAGCGGCGTTGAAAGATCATATACAAACCACTTAAGTATTAGAAACAAGTTCAGAAGGGGTTACCACTCTCATAGTTATAGAGGAGCAACGTATAAACTCATTCCGGAGTACCATTCAAAGACTACGAAATACTAACGTAAGCTCATCATATGAGTCTCTCTTTGAAATCTTACTTCATAGGCTATAGTTAGCCATCTGCACCAGTTGAGTCGACAAATAAGTCAGTCTCAGCACGTTGTCTAGACATACAGTTGAAAAAAGGCCAAAAGCTCAGACGAAAAAAAATTAAAATAAAGAGAAAATGAAGATATCATAGTTAAAATGACACTTTATACCTTTGTGTAAAATTATCAGCCAACACTTAAAACGCTCTATTTACACTGTTTTAAGCTTAAATGTCAAAATAATCCAAGCCAGTATGGCATGTGGTTTAATTGTTGGGCTTAAATGTCTCCCGTTAACTAATCGAGAACATTCCATCCATTTGCTGTGTCGCCATATTCTTACTTTTTTGGCCCTAATTCAAAATTGATAGTACATCCAAGGAACTAAAAATGCAGTGACAACTAAAATGAAACTCTATCCATATTCAAGAACTCTAATAAAATTTGATATCTTAGGAACAAATCTCACGGTGTAGATATTACCGTATCTATTAAAAAAAAAAGTGAGTAAGGTTGGAGTTAGAATAACCTCCCTTAAGTTAACCTCATCTATCTGTTTGGATGAAAAATTAAGATTATAAGGAATTTCAAAATGTGAAATTTAAAATGAACTTACAAAGTTTCTTGTTTGGCTAACATAAAATAAAAATGAAATGTAGTGGTTGTGGTGACAACGGCAACAATAATGGTGGGTGACAGAGGCGTTGTTGATGATGAGTTGTGGAGGTAGTGATGTTAGTAGGGTTTTACTCGACCCTCAAATAATACAATTATGATAAGATAAGATCCTCTCGATTTAATCGGATTTTATTTTAAGTTTACATAGTTACATTTCTTCTTTTTTTTTTCCTTTTTTTTTTGTTTGAAGCAGAAGAAGATACGAAAGCAGTTTTATTTATATTAATGAAGCATACAATCATGTAGGAGGGCATCCTGAATAGTAACCGGAGGCACCTCCAACCAGAGACTAAGAACAGTAGAACTTAAGGCCAATTTAGCCATACAATGCACCCCAACATTGGCAAATCTACATATATGATTTACTTTCACTGCAGCAAAACTCTGGAAAATGACTTTCACATCCTTAATTAATAAACCAATAGCAGAAACGCCACAATGGGGACTATGCAGTGCTTGGACCACTTGTAAGGCAGCACTCTCCAAAATGAATAGCCTCCAATGTCGTTGTGCATCCTAGTGCAGGCTTGCACGAGCTGCTAGAATATCCACATTATAGGGGTCAATCGCATGAGGAATATTGCAAACGAAACCTCCAGCATAGCTACTAGCTTCGTCACGAAAAACCACACTCATACCCTCTCACTTTGAATTTGAACAAAAGAAAGCATCGATGTTAATCTTATCCAGTTTGACAATGGTGGAGGCCACCAGTAAGAAAATAACTCTATTCGCAACAACCTTCAAATATACATATTTTTTTTACACAGAATTACTAAGTTTCTATCATTCTAAATCAAATAGAAATTAAATAATATCAATTTAAAATTTATGACTTCGGTCTAAGTTTTCAAGTTCATAGGGTCGGTTTTCACTTTGTAGCCAATTAAAAATTGCTCTAAAGATCATTAAATTAAAAATAATGTTATTTATATACTTATTTTTTATCTTTTATATATTATTGTTATTTTTTATTAATATTCCTCTTTAATACATTTAATTCGGCAATCAAAATTAGAAAAAATATATAAGAAACGGACGTGTGAATAACACTTATCCTAAAGTAAAAGAAAAAAGTGACAACGCCGGCAGGGGAGAGCAAAAATAAAAAAAGCCAATGCGGCTGTTGTGTGGGCCCAAAAAAGCAGGAAACGACATTCAGATGTCGGAAACAAAGACATAAACAAAGTGGGCCCCGCAGTCCCACGCTTGGGCCGTGGGCCGCTTCGCATTTACCGAGATGGACGACGGGACTAAAATACCCCCAAACAGTCCTACCCTTCCGTCACTCAGGCCGTAACGGCCGAAAAGCGAATCATGACATTTCGCCCAGCGAATCTCGTCAGTCGTAACGGTGAGAAATTTTGGCGGTAAAAAACACCTAACCCTGACGACGTGTCCCATTGCCATTGGCCACAGATGCATGTATGTATGGGAGTCACGATGGGATGCTATGTTATTTTTCCCGCGCGCCCAAAAAGAGGCCTGAAAACCAAACAAATTTAGAGAGAGAGAAGGGAAGAGAGAGAGAGAGAGAGAGAGAGAGAGAGAGAGAGATAGGGTTCCACAATCACAGAAAGAGAGAAGAAGAAGAGAGAGAGAGAGAGAGCTTCGGCGTCAGAGAACGCTGTCGTTTTGGGTAACATTGGCAGATCTGCTGCTCTCCGAGAGCTCCGACTACGATATCAGATAGGTAGATCTCTGCGGGTTTCGCCTCCAAATGAAAATTCGTATGCTTTTTTCTTACTTTAATTTTCATTAAAGCTGCAAGTTTTGGGTTTTCTTTTTCTTTTTTGTCACACTTTTTGTGCTTGTCGATGGTTGGTGACTATTTATTTTTCAAAATTAATTTTTTTATTTTATTTTTTAAGCTCAATTGACTTCTCTGCGAAGTAAATTCATTGATTTTTGGAGCGAAAATTAGCTCGAGTAACTGAAGAGATCAATTACAGCAGTTGGTAAACGTACAGTGAGAATTTGAGTTCTGGATTTTGGAAATTTTCGTTATTTTTTGGGTACTAAATCTCTGGATTTTGGGGTTTTTACAGTAGTGGGTTTTTGGAAATTCAAATTCTTGCATTCGCAAATCCATGTAAAACCCTTCGATTTTGTTTTATTTAAACTTTTGAGGTATGATTTATAGAAATTAACGGTTAGTTAATTTTGGTAATTTTGATTTGGTTTGGTTCAGCTAGGGTTCAGATGAGTCCACCTGCTATGGTGAAGATGGAAGATACTAAGCCTGAAGTTTCAGCTTCCAACAATTCAAATTCCGAAAGCAGCGATTCTGGTCCCGTCCAAGATCGATTTACTGATTTGTGCAAGGTTGCCACTTTTTGCCCCATTTGGACTGTGATCGAATTTATCGTTTTGTTCTTTCTTATTGTAAATGTCATTTTGTTTGTAAAGTTTAGTTTGTAAACTGTACTTCCATTTACATTTTGAATTTCTGTTTTGTTTATGTTGCCGTTTCTTAATTTTAGTTTCTCTGAATTTACATGGTTCTGATTACAGAATGTATTATCATTGGACGAGAACTCTTATGCGGAAGCTGCAAAGCTGTTCAAAGAAACCAAACATCTGTTGATATCAAATGCGTCAGCTATTGGCAACGGAACAGTATGTGTTATTGTTTGTCCATTCTATAGTCATATTAGTAATGTTATGTTGAAATAAGGTCTGAGGTGATATCTTTGCTGGAACACTTGCTTTAATCTGGATTTGGCTAAACTTAAATGCATTTCTATGTACAGCCTGAAGAAGCAGAACGATTCTGGTTTGCCTTTGTTTTGTACTCTGTAAAAACATTGAATGACAAGAATTCGGATAATTCACAGAAGAGTTCTGATGATAATGGATTTTCTCTCTTCCAAATTTTGAGAGCTGCAAAGTTGAAGTACGTTGTTTCCCATTCTGCTTTCTTTCCTTTAGCTTATAATTAGCTGCTCATGAATTCTTGTCATCTAATTTTTTTCTTTTCTTCTTTTCGGGGGTGTTTTACAGCATCGTAGATTTTTTCAAGGAGCTTCCTCAGTTTGTTGTTAAAGCTGGTTCAATTTTAAGTAATATTTATGGTGTAGATTGGGAGAACAAACTTGAGGTATTAATTTTCCAGAGATAGTCTATGCTTGAAATTAGCCATGTTTTTATGTTTTTCAGCATTCTGTTTTCTTGGAGTTACTCGATCCAGTGCTCATGATTTGAGTTCTTAATTTTTCAGGCAAAAGAGCTGCAGGCAAATTTTGTGTACTTGAGCTCGTTAAGCAAGTGAGTTTCTTTCTTTTGCGCCATTATGCCTGATATTAATATCATCTGATGGTTTTAGAATTTCTTCTCTTTCACTTAAAAGGTTGCCTTATCATGTGTGAGCTATCTATAGTTAGGATGAAACTAAGTAAACAGTGGTGCATGTCTGGTGATGCCAGATTTTGAAATTGATAGTAGTGGCTTGACGTAGAAAAATGTAATGGGATTGGGTCACAGGGGTGCTATGGCTTGGAATAGATTAATAACGTTGATTAGAAAAAGAAAGGGAAGAGGTTTACTAAATAGGCATAATTTGTTGTATCTTATCCTTATCATGTATTGAAAATCCTTCTTTATTATGTTAAAATAACACCTGGTGATGTTATGTTGTGAAATACTATGCTTATGTTAAAGAAAAATATGCCAAAGCAGTGTTTCTAATGTATCTTTAGGATAGTTGACTACATGGCTGAAACCTGTTGTACGTCATTAAACACCCCATTGGTGATTGTATAGTATAAACGTGTGAGGGCATTGTAGAACTGAAATCATGAAGCACCTACATGGGTGGCTTTCCCTGCTCTCACATCTAAATGTTACAAGGGCATTGTAGAACCATGCAGTCTGTGGAAATCCTTTTCTTTTTTCTTTTCATGATTCGCACTGACCTTTAGTATAAAAACAACATTATATGACTGAAAACTTTCCTTAGTTTGATTACCATTTTAGTTCAGACTAGCTAGATTATTAATCGCATTGAGATGATATGCGATTCATAATCAAGTCCATTGGATTCCAAGGGACTATATTTGGTACTGCACTATTTTATGTGGAAGTTATGCTGGAGTTTTATAGTATGTGTAACAGATATGGTTTATTTATTTGAGAGGTTTTAAGCTAGTAGAGTCCTATTCTAACAATTTAATGCTACAAGGTACTACAAACGTGCATATCGGGAGTTATTCTTGACAAGTGATACAACTGCTGACAAGCAGTCAACTGTTGCCAGTGGAACTGGTTATGTGTCTGAGTATCATCGTTTTGGATGGTTGCTGTTTTTGGCCCTTCGTGTACACGTATTCAGCCGATTTAAAGACCTGGTGACTTGCACAAACGGCTTGGTTGCAATATTGGTCAGTTGCATTTCTGTATTACTTATGCTAGTATGTGATACTAGGATGGCAATCAGTTACTTGAAATATCCAACATAATATGAAATGAATGGATTTCCGTTTTAAGTAAACAAGAAATAGGTTCCTAGAAGAAGTGTGAAAAAATTGTGTATATGTATTATGTAATATTCCTACCCATATACATACCTCCTTTTTGACTTCATACTTGAACATGTGGTTTTTCTTACTTGCTGAGTTTCCTTGGTACAGGGAATTTTAATAATTCATGTCCCTGTTCGCTTCAGAAAGTTCAGCATCCATGATTCAACACGCTTTGGTAATATTTTCACCACGTTGCATATAATAATTTCCCTTTCATTTTCAAGGAGGGATATTCAATTTTTGAAACTTTCTTCTGCTTTTGATAATTTCACCGATTTGTTTCCCCTATCTTCTTCTTTCATTTTGGCATTTTATCGGAGCTGATTTGATTAGTGTCTGATTCAGCGAGGAAAGGCAGCAAAGGTGTGGACCTGCTTGCATGCCTCTGCAACACTTATGACACCTCAGAAGATGAGTTGAGAAAAACAATGGAAATGGCTAACGGTTTAATAGCAGAAATTTTGAAGAAGAAGCCCATTTCGGCGTCTGATTATAAAACGGAAAATCTAGAGAATATGGATCCAGGTTTGTATGAAAAGTTTCTGCTATATACAATGATTTGATTCAAAACTCAAAAGATGTTTTGTATGAAATTTTCATGATTCTGAGATATGATCCTGTGAATGCAGATGGTTTGACGTACTTTGAAGGTCTTATGGAGGAACCATCTTTGTTGTCCAGTTTAGAGATTCTAGAAAAAGATTACGATGATGCAATTAGGAATAAGGGAGAAGTTGATGAGAGAGTCTTCATCAACGAGGACGATAGCTTAATTGGTTCATGGAGCTTTTCAGGAGGATCCATGAGTGTAGCCGGTGTGAAGGTATGCTTTTAATAAATTCCACTATTCAGGACCATACTTGTGGCATTTTAAATTCTTTTCCCTTTTCTTTTTCCCCGTCGCCTACATTTTTGTGTAGAGGAGTTGGTTGATAGTTTCATATATTCTATTGTGTTAGAGGAAATTTGATTCCATGGCCTCCCCAACAAAGACAATTATAAGTCCACTCTCTCCCCATCGCTCTCCTGCATCTAATGTCAGTGGTGGTGCTAATTCAAAGATGGTGGCTACACCTGTGAGTACTGCAATGACAACTGCAAAGTGGCTTCGGACCTTTATTTCTCCGCTTCCTTCACAACCCTCAGCTGAGCTGGAGGGGTTCCTAGCATTGTGTGATAGGGATGTTACTACTGATGTGATACGTAGGGCACAAATTATATTGGAGGCCATATTTCCATGTAGTGCATTGGGAGAGCGATGTGTAAGTGGTAGCCTGCAAGGTGCTAACCTCATGGACAACATCTGGTCAGAGCAACGAAGATTGGAAGCACTCAAACTTTACTACAGAGTTTTGGAGGCAATGTGCAGAGCAGAGGCTCAAGTACTGCATGCAACTAATTTGACCTCCTTGTTAACCAATGAGAGGTTCCACAGATGCATGTTAGCCTGCTCTGGAGAGTTAGTCCTGGCAACACATAAGACTGTCACAATGTTGTTTCCAGCAGTATTAGTGAGGACGGGTATTACCGCTTTTGATCTTAGCAAGGTGATAGAGAGTTTCATTAGACATGAGGAATCTCTCCCAAGAGAATTAAGAAGACATCTGAATTCATTGGAAGAACGACTTTTGGAGAGCATGGTTTGGGAGAAGGGTTCCTCGATGTACAATTCTTTAACTGTTGCAAGACCTGCCCTCTCAGCAGAAATAAATCGTCTTGGGCTATTAGCAGAGCCCATGCCATCTTTGGATGCAATTGCCATGAATATTAACTTCCCTTGTGGAGGGTTGCCTCCAGTACCTTCTTTACAGAAGCATGAGACTTCACCAGGTATTTATTCACACACACACACACACACACACACACTATATATATATATATATATATATATATATATATATCTTCTCGAATATGAAGTTGTAGTTTGGTCCTTCAGTTTTATGTGGGTCTTACAAGTACATGGAAATGGATTTCTATCCACTTCGTGGTAGATGATACAGTAATGTGCTGAAGTGGTGATTTGATTTTTTCATTGTTGTTTTTTCAGGCCAGAATGGAGATATCAGGTCTCCAAAGAGATCCTGCACAGATTATAGGAGTATATTGCTGGAGCGGAATTCCTTTACATCTCCTGTGAAGGATCGTGCTCTGGCGTTAAGTAACCTTAAGTCAAAGCTGCCACCGCCTCCTTTACAATCTGCATTTGCCAGGTATCAGTCACCAGTCCGAGGAACTAATAAATCTAATTTCTTGTAGCAACTTACTGACTCATTTGTTCTCTTAATTGTAATATACTTCTGAAATTCATGTGTGCAGTCCAACTCGACCAAACCCAGGAGGCGGAGGGGAAACGTGTGCAGAAACTGGAATTAGTATTTTCTTTAGCAAGGTGCGAGGCGGTCCAAGAATTTAGTTCTCAATATATTTTTCCTGTAAATAGTCATAGAAAAATCTTTTTGATTGGAGAGGACTTGTGTTGTAGACTGTAGTTTATACTAATAACTGTTTATTTGGTGTGTATAGCCACATGACCTCATAGCTGTGCCTTATTAGGATTTATCCTTTGCTTAACCATAAATTTCTTTATCTAGATAATCAAGCTGGCAGCTGTCAGAATCAATGGTATGGTTGAAAGAATGCAACTGTCTCAGCAGATAAGAGAGAATGTTTATCGTCTCTTTCAACAAATACTTGTTCAGCGGACATCTCTCTTTTTTAACCGCCATATTGACCAGATTATCCTTTGTTGTTTTTATGGAGTTTCAAAGGTGTGATATTACTTTTGACAGTTTTATGCAATGCTGTGAAATATTTTTCTTCTTTTCTTACTCGATACTGTTTTCTGGTTGCAGATTTCTCAACTAAATCTAACATTTAGGGAAATCATATACAACTACAGAAAGCAACCACAATGTAAACCGCAAGTTTTTCGAAGCGTGTTTGTTGAGTGGCCTTCAGCACGCCGTAATGGGGTACTACACCTAATATTTACTCTTGACTGCTAGTTTTTCTTGATAAATCCTAACCTTTCTTATATTTTGGTTACAGAGGCCCGCACAGGAACACGTGGATATCATAACATTTTACAATGAAATATTCATACCTTCTGTGAAGACCCTGCTAGTTGAGCTTGGACCTGCTGTTACAACAACTACAAGAGCTAACATGGTTCCTGAAGTTAACAATAATAATGATGGTATGTGTTAAAACGTATGTGTAACTGCCTAAATGTATTTCCTTTTTCTTTGGGGAGAATCATTTTTACCATTCCCTAATAAGTTCATCTTGTTTTACTGGCCAATTAGCTCCATGCCCGGGATCACCTAAAGTATCTACTTTTCCAAGTCTTCCTGATATGTCACCAAAGAAAGTTTCTGCAGCGCACAATGTTTATGTCTCTCCATTGCGATCATCTAAGGTACTTGTTTGGTTTTCCAGAGTTGTGGCAGTTCCATTTTTCTATTTCACAGATGTTGCCTCTTAGAATAAAAGAGGTCATCTTTCATGTTCAACACAAAGTTACGTTAACTTCAATATGTTTTAATCTGCAACTTATTTAACATAACTAGTTTTATATTACTGGAATCTTGAATCTCAAGTCTTTGATGGGTCAACTTTGCGGTTCTATTATGCCCTTTTTTTGGGTGAACATTTGATGTGTTGGCCTCTTGTTCCTTTTCGTTTAAGAAACCTCAAAGCCCTGGGTTTATTAAGGGGAAAGTCTATTATGTTGTTTTTGGCTCAAAGCGTTCGGTGTTTCTTAGGATTTTGCTATATAGTGTATACCTGAATTCTCACTTTGATCATACTTTATGAGCATCTGGCTTAAGTCTTAGGACTCGCAATTTGGCCAAGACCAAGGATTGTTCAGTTTCATTTTTCCACTTCGGAATGCAATATAGAGATTGATTGAAGTGATGCAAATGAAATCATTTCAATATTTTTTAATTCCATTTTTTCATTGTCATACCATTTGTATACAAATTGAGCTTAGTAGTGAAAGAAATAATTTGAGTTGAGATATCAGATGTACGTCAAGTTGTCAACTATCTGCATCTCAGTGAAAGTGTAGTCTCATATATGTTTTCATTAGAGGTGTGTCTATCTTCCAAGTATTCAATATAACGTCAACATACTTAATTTCAAGAGTTCCAGGATACTATATACGTACTTCATGGACCATGTTGCTTTACTGAGCTAATGGTTCCATGTGACATGGTAGCCAATCGTTTAACACAGGCAAATATGTGTTGTTTTGTTAGCCGAAGATACTATCATGTCTATCCTTTGGCTAGTCTTCAAGTTCTTGGGATCATGATAATGTAGTAACATTGAGATTCTCTCAATGCATTTGCATTACGTTTAATGAAATTTCTGCAAAGAAAATTCTTGATTTCGAGTCCTGAACTGTGAATCTGATTCCGAACCGTTCACAGATGGATGCTTTGATCTCACATAGCTCAAAAAGCTATTATGCTTGTGTTGGGGAGAGTACTCATGCTTATCAGAGCCCTTCGAAAGATCTCACTGCCATCAACAACCGCTTGAACGGGTATGCTTTTAGTTTATGGATGAAATAACCAAGGTAAACTGTTACTAAATAAATGGTTCCTCTGATGCATTAATTTCCTTTTTCAGTACCCGAAAGCTCAGAGGCACTCTCAACTTCGACAGCGTTGATGTAGGCCTGGTCAGTGATTCGATGGTGGCCAACAGCCTGTACCTTCAAAATGGGAGTTGTGCATCCTCATCCGGTGCTCCAGTGAAAACTGAGCAACCTGACTCATGATCCAACGGCTGTATAGTTTTCCTGTATGTAAATCTAGTCCTTGATTCTCCATAGTTATTCTATACAATTTTCCGTCTATGACATGGGGCTCTGAATGAGCGGCCGGAGTTATGTAGAATGGCCGCCGCAGGCTCCCTTCCTTTTCCATATGCTGATGATGTATGCTAGGTAGGAAAGTTGCTAATTCTAATAAAATTTCTCCCCTTTTGTCTTCTTTCACCTTTCTAGTTTCAAGTAATTGTATCGCCATTTTTCTGTTGAATGTGAATTCTTGTGGACGTGAGTATGTTCAGATATATGTACTGTTCTAAAAATTTCTGCCTACGGCGCTAGGTGCTAACCACCGTCACAATTAGTTTCTAGTTGTTTGAAAATTAAGAAAGTGCGCCTAGACTTGTTTAGGCAGACTGTCTAGGAGCTTGCCTAACCCACACAAACCCATCACGGCACATGCCTTGGCCATTACTCTCATGTAGATAAAAAATCGTTAACTCTCATTTTGTATTTGGGTTTTTCAATAAAATGTAATAGACTTGTTAGATACTTAGATAAACACTCATTATATGTTGTTTTTAGTATGTTCTAATTCTTAAAGGGGGTGTGATATCTATACCCCATTTTTACTTCTCTCATATCCTTTTAATTTTTAGCCGTCGGATCGAATGAATTGAAGAAGATTAAATGATAGAAAGTAAAAAAGGGTGTGTGGACAGCACATCCCTACTTAAAAATCTACGTCATTTTATTTTGCAATTTATATATCCTAAAACAATTATGTGTTCTTTTTAAGTATAAAAAAATTTATTTTTATGAATATATAATAAATTTACTTAAATCCATCTAGACACTCAACTGCAGCGTGTCACATGATTAGCGTCTAGCGCCTTTTAGAACTTTGTATATATGATATATCTGTATTGGATGCTCCAATACGCACTCGTTACTTCCAGAATACGTATCTGATACTTCAAATCCATCAAATCCATATTCTTTGAGTTTGTTTTTGTTTTTGTTTTTTTTAGTTTTTAGTTTTTTGTTTTTTTTTTTTTTTTTTTTTTTTTTTTTTTTTTTTTTGGGGTTGCAAAATTTGAATTTTGGAGATACACCCTGAAGTCAATGTAGTTATTATTATTTGCAACAGTTCTTGCAGAAGAAAAGATGAATGTATTTAATCTAAATCGCAAACTTGCTCCTACACCCTTAACCATCACCATCACCATCACCCAAAGCTACTAGGGCTTAAAAATAGAATGGAAGGCTTATGCGAACAAGAGTTTTGACCTTATGGGCCAAATAATGTATTTAATCTTGTATTTAATGTTTTTGTATTTAATCTTGTTTTTTTATTTTTTATTTTGGCAAGTGAAGCTACACATAAGGCTTGATCGTTGGACTGCAATAGTAGCCTTACTCTTTAAACCCGTATCAGACGGTCAGAAAGAATCAAAACTACAAAATTGAGCTATCAATTAGGTAGACTACTTTCTCTATGCTCATGATCGAATTATTCCAAACTACGTTGCTTCATAAAATAAAAAGACTAATACAAGATGAAGAAAGCCCAAAAGGTAGTCCACTCAAATACAAGCCTAGCAACAAGAAGAAAATACAATAGATTGGCCCCAAAAGAGCCATCCCATAACAATAAAAAACCCAAATTTTGGAGAAAGACAACAACCTCCACCGAATCAGTTGCGCCACCATCGCAAGGGTACCACCACCAAGAAGACAAACCAACTAGATGAATGAAATCTGCATTGTAAGTGCTTCCATAATCCTACCAAACAGCACAAAGCACTTTAAAGGCCACACAACACAAAAGTACGCCATCAAAGAGAGATACCCGATGGGCCTGTAGCAGAGGTTGATGGTTGAAGACTTGCGACAGGAAACGACATCTGAATAGAAAAGGGGCATAAAAGCCCAAATCTGAGATGAGCACATGGATAAGGTAGGACAAAAGCTCAAAAAAGGCCACCAAAATAAAGGCTAGGAAAATAAGTGGAGGACGTGCATGGGAAGTTGCCGCCGACCCATTCCTAAGATTTAGAGTGGGCGACAACAAAGGGAGATAAAGCTAGGGAATTTATTTATTTATTTTTTTTTTTTGTGTTTTTTTTTTGTGGGGTGGGGGGGAGGGGAGGGGAGGGGAGGGGAAGGACACTTATTGAATTTCCACTTGTCGTTTTGATAATATATAATAGATAATACATTTAACTATCAAAGTGTATTGCAAGTGGTGAATTATTCTGGTGGTTAAAGTCTTTTGAAGATTATTAATACCGAAAATTACATAACTCAACATAAACCTTTGCCTTCTTGTTGAGCTTGGTTCTTTTCCATGCCTTGTGTACCAAAGACTTCAATATTTACTTGATGTTATGCCAAAATAAACTCAACATCAATATCTCTTTAAATGTTTTCAAATAATGATGCTGGCAGACAAGGAAACACAAGGACTCATTGTATAGAGATGAATTCGCTAAACTCAACATCAATGATCATCATCAGGTAAAAGTTGGTAATTTTCCCCGTCTTCTAGGTGGCCATTGGAGTTTGCTAACAGTGATGTAGTTATTTCTCAACGTAGTGATCTGAGAGTAAAGTTTGATTCTTGGTAGGAGGGTCAGAGTACTGGAGGATGTGCGCCGCCGTTATTGAGTAAGCAACCTTCTAATCTTAATAACAGAAGTGCTAACCTAGAGGAAATGTCTGAGAATTCTGATTTTCAGGATGCGGACCAAGTTGATGTCAGGGAAGGCAAACGTTTATCTGGGAATGCATATCTGGATGCTTTAGGGTGTACGAAAGAGACGCTCATAATGTTGAAACAAGTGGTTCAGACACAAGCTTAACAAGAGGAAAAAAATGCTGGTGATCAGATGGAAAACAGTGAATATCAAAGTCGAGTGCACACATAAAAGAAAGTGGATATGGGGGAACCCCAGAGGATGAAAAGGTTGAAACTCTTCCTTCTGACGAAAAGCAGCGGAGAAAACGCAAACGAACAATAATGAATGATATGCAGGTGGAACTTGTTGAGAGGGCCCTATTGGATAAACCTGATATGCAGCGAAATGCAGCCTCAATACAATCATGGGCTGAGAAATTAGGTTTTCAAGTAAGTTGATACTTCAAACTTTGTAAATAACGTATGTTGAATTTATCCGCTATATTCAACAATAATACCAAACTTCTTTTCACTAAGAAATGTACCATTGTGTTACCCAGGGTTCCGAGGTTACATGTGCACAGCTAAAAAATTGGTAAACCATCCCCATTTTTCCTGTATTTGTTTCTCCAAGGCATTGCTTAAAACTACTTTCAGTATCCTAATGGCGTAAAACATCAATGTTTTGTGTCTCCGCAAGTTAAACAATTGAAAAGCCAGGCTAGCACGCATAGCTAAAGATGTTCGTGCAACACCAGAGGCTGACAATGCTTTGCCAGACAAGCAAGGTGGGCGGGGGCAAAGGTCCAACATCTCCCCCGATAGTCCTGGTAGAGATTCTTCTGCCTAACTAAATGTGAGGAGAGATCCTCAAATCATGTTGAGAACTACTATGGGAGCGCGCATTGGCAAACCAGTTGATACTTTAGCTCTTCAAACCATTGTTGGTAAAGAAAATGAACACTCAACTGAGACATCAACACTTTATGAGGTATGTCACAATTGACATCTACTTTTGAGTACATCAGTTGCTTGCTTCATACTAACTTGTCCAATTAACCCATCACCATCTGCTCAAGTTGCTGCTATTGTGCTAACTTCTCTTGTAGAGTCTAATACTCCCATTCCAAAGCAAGTGGAAGTGAAGCACCAACCTTTGTGAAGGTTCCTGAAGCTGATCAACCAGTGGCAACTACTCTTGGGTCTGGCTCATCTGTGTTGCTCCAACTTGCCAAATTCCAAAGGTTCACTAGTCATCCCAAGCCTAGAATTCAAAAGAAAAAAATTGAAGAGGCCAGGGATCTTTTGCAAGCATGGGTGAGTCAAGATTTTGATGTGGGACAAGTTGCCAAGCCAACCAAAGATGTGCTTGATGCCATAGCTCTTTTAGCTAGGACAAGTGTAAGATAAAGGCTAGGAAAATAACAGGAGGACATGTAAGGGAAGTTGCCGCCGACCCATTCCTAAGATTTAGAGTAGGCGACAACAAAGGAGAAAAAGCTAGGGATTTTTTTTTTTTTGGGGGGGGGGGGGGGGGTGTGGTGGTGGTGGTGGGGTCGTGGGGGAAGGGGAGGGGAATGACACTTATTGAATTTCCACTTAGCATTTTGATAATATATAATAGATAATACATTTAACTATCAAAGTGTATTGCAAGTGGTGGATTGTCCTGGTGGTTAAAGTCTTTTAAAGATTATTTGTATCTCGAATGTTGTGTCATGTAATTTACGGTATTCATGCAACATAGTCCCTCCAACTATCCAGCCACTTGAGTTACAAATGTCCTTGACTCGTACAACTATCGAGGCACTATGGATCATTTTTTATCATTCTTACTCCTCCAACAACCTCTGAGCTTGGTAAATGTCCCTTGACCTCTGAACTTGCCACTCTTGGCAGTTGGTCAGGGGTAACAAAGTGCCTTCCACTTGCTCATTTTTGGCCTGTAACTCTCTTGATATTTCAAAGGGAACGGCCATTTCCTGGTCTGTCATTGGGGCTTTTAGAGTTACTGAGTTGATGAGATAGGCTAGAGATGCCTTGATCAACTTTCTGGTACTCACCAGGAGCAATACAGAGTTTGTGAATGTCATTCCTCTGCTCTCTCTTTTTCTTTCCTTCTTTTTAAGTGCTTTGGCATGAAACACAGTATCCTACTGGGCATGCCAAAATTAAATGACTTCTATTCAAGTGATTGTGCCATGAGAGGGGTACCGCCTCAATTTGGTTCTTTTCCATGCATTTTGTACCAAAGATTTCAATATTTACTTGATGTTATGCCAAAATAAACGCAACATCAATGTCTTTAAATATTTTCAAATAATGATGCTGACAGACAAAGAAACACAAGGAGTCAATGTATAGAGATAAATTCGCTAAACTCAACATCACTGATCATCATCAGGTAAAAATTGGTAATTTTTCCGTCTTAGACCATCTCCAAAGGAGATGTCAAATTTTAAACCTAAAATTTAAATTTGAAGGCTTACATGGCACTTTGATATCTTTTAAACTTTTGTTCTCCAACCGATATGTCAAATTTTAAACATAAAATAATAATTCATGTACTTTCTTTGCATTGAGAATGAAAAGAAACAAAAGGATAATGCTTTAAACTAATAAAAAATTAATAAAAAACATTTAATAATTAATTAAAAAAATCTGAACGTGCTGTCAAATTTGGCAGTAAGGAGGAGAGATGTCAATCCATGTCATGCCACATCAGATTTGGCTTCTCGGTTGGAAAACATTAATGCTATCTTTTGTTACCGTTATTGCTGATTTGGATAATTTGACATCTCCTTTGGAGATGCTCTTATAGATGGCCTCAAATGCTGGTAGTTATGCTTGCACTGCATGGCCATATTATTAATTTGATGCGCTTCAATGTGTACTTTGGTATGACAAGCTCCAAGAACACAATAAACTTAAACATGAGACTCGTAGCAATGGGGAGACAAACTGATTAGTATTTTGAAATAGTCACTGTTGCATGCTTAATTCAATATTTTAAGATAATACATTGGCCATTGGAGTTTGCTAACAGTGATGTAGTTATTTCTCAACGTAGTGACCTGAGAGTAAAGTTTGATTCCTGGTAGGAGGGTCAGAGTACCGGAGGATATGCGCCGCCGTTATTGAGTAAACAACCTTCTAATCTTAATAACAGAAGTGCTAACCTAGAGGAAATGTCAGAGAATTCTGATTTTCAAGACGCGGACCAAGTTGATGTCAGGGAAGGTAAAGGTTTATCTGGGAATGCATCTAGACGTTTTAGGGTGTAGGAAAGAGATGCTCATAATGTTGAAACAAGTGGTTCAGACACAAGCTCAGCAAGAGGAAAAAATGCTGGTGATCAAATAGAAAACAGTGAATATCCAAAGTCGAGTGCACACATAAAAGAAAGTGGATATGGGGGAACCCCGGCCAGAGGATGAAAAGGTTGAAACTCTTCCTTCTGACGAAAAGCAGCGGAGAAAACGCAAACAAACAATAATGAATGATATGCAGGTGGAGCTTGTTGAGAGAGCCCTATTGGATGAACCTGATATGCAGCGAAATGCAGCCTCAATACAATCATGGGCTGAGAAATTAAGTTTTATACTTCAAACTTTGTAAATAACGTTTGTTGAATTTATTCGCTATATTCAACAACAATACCAAACTTCTTTTCACTAAGAAATGTACCATTGTGTTATCCAGGGTTCCAAGGTTACATGTGCACAACTAAAAAATTGGTAAACCATCCCCATTTTTCATGTATTTGTTTCTCCAAGGCATTGCTTAAAACTACTTTCAGTATCCTAATGGCTTAAAACATCAATGTTTTGTGTCTCCGCAGGTTAAACAATCGAAAAGCCAGGCTAGTGTGCACAGCTAAGGATGTTCGTGCAACACCAGAGGCTGACAATGCTTTGCCAGACAAGCAAGGTGGGCGGGGGCAAAGGTCCAACATCTCCCCCAATAGTCCTGGTAGAGATTCTTCCGCCCAACTAAATGCGAGGAGAGATCCTCAAATCATGTTGAGAACTGCTTTGGGAGTGGTAGCTGAGAATAACGTGGTAGAAGCAATTGAGATCACTGCTAAAGCAATCCGATGAGAAAGATATTTGCATTGGCAAACCAGTTGATACTTCAGCTCTTCAAACCATTGTTGGTAAAGAAAATGAACACTCAACTGAGACATCAACACTTTATGAGGTACGTCACATTTGACATCTACTTCTGAGTGATGCAAATGAAATCATGTCAATATTTTTCCACTTCAGAATGCAATATAGAGATTGATTGAAGTGATGCAAATGAAATCATGTCAATATTTTTTAATTCCATTTTTTCATTGTCATACCATTTGTATACAAATTGAGCTTAGTAGTGAAAGAAATAATTTGAGTTGAGATATCAGATGTACGTCAAGTTGTCAACTATCTGCATCTCAGTGAAAGTGTATTCTCATTTATGTTTTCATTAGAGGTGTGTCTATTTTCCAAGTATTCAACATAAGGTCAACATACTTAATTTCAAAGAGTTCCAGGATACTATGTACATACCTCATGGACCATGTTGCTTTACTGAGCCTAATGGTTGGTTCTATGTAACATGGTAGCCAATCATTTAACTCGGGCAAGCATGTGTTGTTTTGTTAGCCGAAGGTACTATCATGCCTATCCTTTGGCTAGTCTTCAAGTTCTTCTTGGGATCATGATAATGTTGTAACATTGAGATTCTCTCTATGCATTTGCAATACGTTTAATTAAATTTCTGCAAAGAAACTCAATTCTTGATTTCGAGTCCCGAACTGTGAATCTGATTCTGAACTGTTCACAGATGGATGCTTTGATCTCACATAGCTCAAAAAGCTATTATGCTTGTGTTGGGGAGAGTACTCATGTTTATCAGAGCCCTTCGAAAGATCTCACTGCCATCAACAACCGCTTGAACGGGTATGCTTTTAGTTTATGGATGAAATAACCAAGGTAAACTGTTACTAAATAAATATTTCCTCTGATGCATTAGTTTCCTTTTTCAGTACCCGAAAGCTCAGAGGCACTCTCAACTTCGACAGCGTTGATGTAGGCCTGGTCAGTGATTCGATGGTGGCCAACAGCCTGTACCTTCAAAATGGGAGTTGTGCATCCTCATCCGTGCTCCAGTGAAAACTGCGCAACCTGACTGATGATCCAACGGCTGTATAGTTTTCCTGTATGTAAATCTAGTCCTTGATTCTCCATAGTTATTCTATACAATTTTGTAAAAAAAGGTATGTAGGCTAAAAATTATATTTGTTATTGATACATGAATGTGGAAAAATGGAAGAGAATGCAAATGGAAGAGAATGCTTATGGAAGAGAATGCAAATGGAAGAGAATGCTTATTTTTTCATTGTCTTTCTCTACAAGATTACAAGGATATATATACATGATACAAATGTGTAGGTAGGACAAGGTAGCCGTCCTAGTGTGTAGCTAGGACAAGGTAGGACGGCTGTAGGACGGCTAGTGTGTAGGTAGGACAAGGTAGGACGGCTGTAGGACGACTTGACGGCTGTAGGACGGCTTGACGGCTGTAGGACGGCTTATTCTTCCAATAATAATATTATATACAATTACACAAGGACTCCAACCATATTCCTTATTTGTCTAACACTCCCCCTCAAGTTGGAGAGTGGATGTCAAGAACTCCCAACTTGCGTAACATACCCGAAAACTTTTCTTTCCCAAGAGGTTTGGTAAACAAGTCTGCCAACTGTTGTGCCGCACCCACATGCTTGGTCTCTATTGTGCCATCTACAATCTTATCTCGTATAAAGTGACAATCCATCTCAATGTGACGAGTTCGTTCATGAAAAACAGGATTGGCAGCTATATGTAACGCTGCTTGATTATCACAAAATAAAATGGAAGGACCATCCAAAGGAATGTTCAAATCCTTCAACAAAAAACGAAGCCAAACTATCTCGCAACAAGCACCTGCCATGGCCCTATATTCCGCCTCTGCTGAAGAGAGCGAAACGGTTTTCTGTCGTTTCGTCCGCCAAGAAATCAAAGAACCGCCCAAGAATACACAATACCCAGTAGTCGAACGGCGAGTGATAGGGCAACCTGCCCAATCAGAATCACAAAACGCAGTTAACTTGGTCTGGTTGTCAGAACGAAATAATAAACCTTGACCTGGAGTAGCCTTCAAATAACAAACAATACGAAGCGCAGCATCCATATGAGATATCCTTGGCTCGTGCATAAAACGGCTTAGAACATGCACAGAATAGGTGATATCCGGCCGAGTGATAGTGAGATATATTAACCGACCTACTAATCGTCGATACTTTTCAGGATCCTTGAGAAGTTCTCCTTTATCAGATAATTTTGTGTCATCCATAGGAAAAGCAATGGGTCGTGCTCCCAAAAAACCATAGTCCTTGAGAATCTCTAATGCATACTTGCGTTGAGAAATATAAATCCCTTGTTTGGAACGAGAAACCTCAATACCCAAAAAATATTTTAAATCACCAAGGTCTTTTATCCGAAAATGATCACGGAGAAAAGACTTCAGAGAATTAATGGCACTAGCATCATTGCCTGTAATCACAATATCATCCACATAAATGAGCAAAGCTGTGAAAGAAATACCAGATTTTTTAGTGAACAATGAATAGTCAGCTTTGGATTGTTGAAAACTGGCAGAAATGATGGCACTAGTGAATTTGGCAAACCATTGGCGAGAAGCTTGCTTAAGACCATAAAGTGACTTGTGAAGGCGACACACAAGATTCTCCCCCTGTCGCCGAAGACCAGGAGGAGGAGACATATAGATTTCTTCATGGAAGTCACCATGTAAGAAAGCATTATTAACATCAAGCTGATGAAGAGACCAAGACTGACTAGCAGCAAGAGCAAGAAGACAACGCACCGTAATCATTTTAGCAGTAGGAGAAAAAGTGTCATGATAATCAATACCTTCAGCCTGAGTGAAGCCTTTAGCAACCAAACGAGCTTTGTAGCGGTCAATAGAGCCGTCGGAATTGTGCTTGAGTTTGTACACCCACTTACAACCAATGGGAATTTTGCCATAGGGCAAGGAAGTTAAAGTCCAAGTACCATTAGCATGTAAAGCTTGAAGCTCCTCAGTCATAACACGTTGCCAATTGGGGTCAGTGGCAGCCTCGGCAAAGGAGGAAGGCTCCACAGTCCGACTGACAGAGTTAATGTAAGAAAAATGCCTGGGAGAGTAACGGTGATAAGAGAGAAAATTACAAAGTGGATATCGCGTACCTTGTGTAGAACCGGGTTGCGAAGTCGAAGATGGGTGGGATGGCAGAATCACCTGCGAGCAAACGTAGTCTTTTAAATAGGATGGAGGTTTATGGGCACGGGAAGAGGTGCGGGGAAGGGGAGGATTGGTAGGTAGTGGGGGGGTAGGGATGTCCGTGGGTAAAAGGGTGAAAGGTAAGGAAGTAGCCGCGGGGGGGGGGGGGGAAGGAGGGGATGCCGAGAGGGCAGGGGCATGGGGAGGAACGGGTAATGGGGCAGCTAGGGAATCTGTGGGAGGCGTGGAAGGGGAGGAAGGTGGAGGAGGGTGAGGCGTCGGGGCAGGAAGGGGTGGGTTATATGTAAAGTCCAGAGGGGGTGGGATGGGTAGGGTAGGTGAAGAGGATGGAATAGGAGGGTGAGAAACGGCATAAGGGAAAGTACTTTCGTGAAAGATGACGTCTCGACTAGTGAAATGCGGTGATTGTTGAGATCGTAAAGGGTATAGGCCTTTTGTCCATGAGGATAACCGAGAAAAATGCAACGATGAGCCCGAGGGGAAAATTTGGTGGTGGGAGTGACAGAGGTGGCATATGCCAAACAACCAAAGACGCGGAAGTGGTCATAAGATGGAGTTTTCGAAAAGAGAACCTCAAATGGGGATTTATGATGGAGAAGACGGGTAGGGAGACGATTGATGAGATAAGTAGCGGTAAGAACACATTCCCCCCAAAACTTGATAGGAAGATGGGATTGAAAACGAAGGGCGCGAGCGGTTTCAAGAAGATGACGATGTTTTCTTTCAACAACGCCATTTTGTTGGGGGGTATAAACACAAGAAGTTTGTAAAAGCACCCCATGATCAGAGAAAAAACTACGAAGAGATAAAAATTCACCACCATTGTCAGTACGAATGCATTGGATGGTAGTGCGGAATTGGGTAGTGACATAAGCAAAAAAATCCTTAATTAATTGTTGAGTGTCGGATTTATGTTTCATGAGGAAGACCCACGTAAAGCGAGAAAAATCTTCCACAATGGATAAGAAATAATTAGCACCAGAAAGAGAAGATTGACGATTCGGGCCCCAAATATCACAATGAATTAAAGCAAAAGGGAAAGTTGATGAAATTGAACTCAAAGGAAAAGGTTGACGAGTTTGTTTTGCCAACGGACAAACATCACAAATATGACTAGAATCAAAAGTGCAATTAAGAGAGCTAGATGCTAAAGCTTGCAAACGAGTGGAGGAGGGGTGACCAAGACGCCTATGCCAGAGGGAGGAGGGGATGGTAATGATGTTGCAGAGAGGTTGACGGGTGGGGAGAGAAGAGGTAAGGGCCACAAGGTAATACAGATTGCCACGTCGCTTACCCACACCAATCATCGCCTTCGAAACCAAGTCCTGCAAAACACACCAAGAAGGAAAGAAGGTTATGGAACACGATAATCCATCTGTAAGTTTACCAATCGATAAAAGGTCCACTCGGAAATTAGGGACACATAAAACATCCTTCAAAGTAACTGAGGAATTTAAAGGAAGAGTGCCGGTAAAAGTAATGGGAGCGGAAGCACCACTAGGCAAAGAAACAGGCGGCAAATGTGAAGGAGAACGATTAACCAAACATGAAGCGGAAGAAGTAATATGATCCGTAGCACCACTGTCAAGAATCCATTGACCATGACGAGAGGTGACAGGTAACAAACCTTGGGCAAAATCAGTAGTGAGCACGGCATTGGCCTGAGGAGGGGTGATGGTGTCACGTAGAGCAGCTAGAACACGGGAGTGCTGCTCGGTAGAGAGATCAGGCATGGCAAGCTGTAAGTCATGCAAAGTGGGCTGGGTCCCGTGCACTTGGTGGGTCGTTGGAGTAGAAGATGAGGCGGGGGCCTGGGTGCCTTGCACGTGATGGGTCTGGGTGAAATTATGGGGCCGGGAAGCAGAAAACCGTGGCTGCTGGGGAGGACTGGAAGGTGCATGGCTGCGGGAAGAACTGGAAGCAGTGGCACGACGCGGTGGTCGCCACGGTTGGCCATGGAGGGGATGGCCAACGGGATAGCCATGAAGTTTATGGCAGGTGTCTTGGGTATGATAATCAAAATTGCAGTAGGTGCAGTGGAGGGGAGGACGAGCAGAGGAGGGACGGGACGGGCCACGAACAGCCATGGGAACGGCATAGAAAGCTGCCGAAAAAAAAAAAAAATTAGGGCTAGGGTTATAAACCTGCTCTGATACCATGTAGAAAAAGGTATGTAGGCTAAAAATTATATTTGTTATTGATACATGAATGTGGAAAAATGGAAGAGAATGCAAATGGAAGAGAATGCTTATGGAAGAGAATGCAAATGGAAGAGAATGCTTATTTTTTCATTGTCTTTCTCTACAAGATTACAAGGATATATATACATGATACAAATGTGTAGGTAGGACAAGGTAGCCATCCTAGTGTGTAGCTAGGACAAGGTAGGACGGCTGTAGGACGGCTAGTGTGTAGGTAGGACAAGGTAGGACGGCTGTAGGACGACTTGACGGCTGTAGGACGGCTTGACGGCTGTAGGACGGCTTATTCTTCCAATAATAATATTATATACAATTACACAAGGACTCCAACCATATTCCTTATTTGTCTAACAAATTTTCCGTTTATGACACGGGGCTCTGAATGAGCGACCGGAGTTATGTAGAATGGTCGCCGCAGGCTCCCTTCCTTTTCCATGTGTTGATGATGTATGCTAGGTAGGAAAGTTGCTAATTCTAATAAAAATTTTGTGTCTCCTTTTGTCTTCTTCCACCTTTCTAGTTTCAAGTAATTGTATCGCCATTTTTCTGTTGAATGTGAATTCTTGTGGACGTGAGTATGTTCATATATATGTACTGTTCTAAAAATTCCCGCCTAACGTCTAGGTGGCGCTAGGCGCTAACCACCGCCACGATTGGTCTCTGGGTATTTGAAATTTAAGAAAGTGCGCCTAGACCTGTTTAGGCAGATTGTTTAGGTGCCTGCCTAACCCACCTTAACCCATCTACGCATATGCCTTGGCCATGACTTTTATTTAGATAGAAAATTGATAACTCTCATTTTGTATTTGGGTTTTTCAATAAAATGTAATAGACTTGTTAGATACTTGGATAAACACTCATTATATGTTTGTTTTTAATATGTTCTAATACTTAAAAATCTGTCATTTTATTTTGCAATTTATATATCCAAACACAATTATGTGTTCTTTTTAAGTATAAAAAATATTTATTTATATGAATATATAATAAATTTACTTAAATCCGCCTAGGCACCCGCTTAGCCTCTTAGGTGCTCAACCCTCAGCCTGTCGCCTGACTAGCGTCTAGCGTTTATTAGAACCTTGTATATATGATATATACATATTGAATGCTCCAATACTCACTTGTTACTTCTGGAATACGTATCTAATACTTCAAATTCGTATCCTTTTGGCCAAATAATGTATTTAATCTTGTGTTTTAATGTTTGTGTATTTAATCTTGGGTTTTTTTTTTTTTTTTTGACGAGTGAAGCTACACATAATGTTTGGTCGTCGAACTGCAATAATAGTCTTACTCTTTAAACCAACATCAGAAGGTCAGAAAGAATCAAGACCACAAAATTTAGCTATCAACTACAAGGTAAATTACTTTTTCTACACTCATGATTGAATTATTCCAAACTATATTGCTTTATGAAGTAAAAAGACTAGTACAAAATAGAGAAAGCCCAAAAGGTAGTCCAAAACCACTCAAATACAAGCCCAACAACAACAAAGAAAATACAATAGATTAGCCCAAAAGAGCCATCCCATGACAATAAAAATAACCCAAATTTTGGAGAAAGACGACAACCTCCACCTAATCAGTTGCGCCACCATCACAAGGATACCACCACCAAGAAGACAAACCAACTAGATGAATGAAATCTGCACTATAAATGCTCCCATAATCCTATTAAATAGTACAAACGTACTTTAAAGTCAGCACAACACGAAAGTATGCCACCGAGAAGAGACACTCGATGGGCCATGTAGCAAAGGTTGATGGTTGAAGACTTGCGATCGGAAACGACATCTGAATAGAAAAGGGGCATAAAAGCCTAAATATGAGATGAGCACATGGATAAGGTGGGACAAAAGCTCAAAAAGGGCCACCAAAAAGGCCAAGCAAAGAAAGATGACGGCTATGAAAATAATAGGAGGACATGGAAGGGGAGTTGTAGGGAGATAAAAAGTCAGGTTTTTTTTTTTTTTTTTTTTTTTTTTTTTGGTTTTGTGGGGGGTCGGGGGAGGTAGAGGAGGGGAGGGGAGTAGGGACACCTACTTATTGAATTTCCGCTTGTCATTTTGAGAATGTATAATACATTTAATTATCAAAGTGTATTGTAAGTGGTGAATTGTCCTGGTGGTTAAAGTTTTTTGAAAATTATTTGTATTCCAAATATTGTGTCATGTAATTTTCGGTACTCATGCAACATAGTCTCTCCAACTATCCAGCCACTTGAGTTGCAAATGTCCCTTACTCCTACAACTATCGAGGCATTTTTGGTCATTCTTACTCCTCCTCCAACAACCTCTGAGCTTGGTAAATGTCCCTTGACCTCGGAACTTGCCACTCTTGGCAGTTGGTCAGGGGTAACAAAGTGCCTTTCCACTTGCTTATTTTGGCCCTGTAACTCTCTTGATATTTCAAAGGTAACGGCCATTTCCTGGTATGTCATTGGGGCTTTTAGAGTTTCTGAGTTGATGAGATGGGCCAGAGAAGGCTTGATCAACTTTCTGGTACTCACCAGGAGCAATACAGAGTTTGCGAATGTCATTCCTCTGCTCTCTCTTTTTCTGTCCTTCTTTCAGTGCTTTGGCATGAAACACAGTATCCTACCGGGCGTGCCAAAATTATCGTCGTTTGCGTAAAATGACATCTATTCAAGTGATTGTGCCATGAGCCGGGAACCGCCTCAATTTGGTTCTTTTCTGTGCCTTGTGTACCAAAGACTTCAATGTTTACTTGATGTTATGCCAAAGTCAAGGTTGTCGAGTTGTTATAGCTTTAGCTAAATGTTAAACTTATTTTTTAGCTACATTCATTGGAAATTCATTTTGATCTCACTTAGCCCCGTATAATTCAAAAGTCACAATTTTATTTTTTAAAACTCAAAATTTGTTCTACTTTGACTTGTGGACTCTCTTCTTCCTAAAAGTTATAAGTGGCCTCCTAAAATATATGTAGGACCCAATACTCAATAAGACTATGTCACATGTGCAATAAGTTTGATTATAAATTTCCATTATGCACTAACATACAACAATAAGAGAGAGTTTGAAAGAAATTGAAGATTTTGAGTTATATAGAAACGATTTTCAAGTTTCAGAGGCATAATGGATCAAAATCGAGTCTCAAGTGTAAAAGTAAATCAAACTTTGAGTTTTAGTAAGCAAAATTATGACTTTTAAGTTAAATGGAACAAATTAATATTAAAATTAAATTCTAAGGAGCGTAACTAAAAATAAGCCTAAAATGTTATGCCAAGTTCTTCATTGCTTCTATTTTGTAGGATTTTGTAGTCAATTTGTTGGAATTTGGGTAACCGTTGGATAATAACATGCTTATATCGAGTTTTATTGTCAAAATAATTTCTGATAGATAAAACAAACAATATTTATTTATTTATTTATTTTAATATAAATAATTTCTTTTGTTAAAAAAAAAAATTTTATCGATTTTTATATGAGTTTTATTGTCACGTGCGAAATGAATAAAGTGACCATTTTGTAAAGGCCCAAAAAAATATAGTGATGTCACTTTATACGCACTGGGTTCAGCGGCTTCAACATTTCGGTTCTTCTGCTACGTTTCACCGCTTCTCAGCCTGTCAGCTACCAGAGCACCCGCCCAAAAGCTAGTCGGAAGCAGCAGCAGGGAGGCACTCCCGCGTGTGAGACAACACGCTGCAGATGCACCCAGTTATCTACTTTTTCTTAATTCTTTGTTTTTATTCTTTCTAATGTAAGAAGTAGGGTTTAATATTCCTGAATTTGAAGATTATGGTATGCTAGTTAGATTCCATTTGGAAAAATCGAATTAGAAATTGGGGTGTTTAGTGTGAAATCGAATTTAGGGTGAGGAATTAGGAACTGTTGTAGTGCTGCTTATGTGCTTATTATATAGGTTGGAATTGGAAATTATCAATTTGAGATTCTGTCTTATGTTATTTAATAGTTAGTTTAGTCATATTTCAAAGCTCACATACTAAATTCATGAATCCTAGTGACTCTGCATTTGATCACTAGGTTAGTGTGGTGGTGTGATTCTCTATCTTGAAAAAGAATTTGTCATGGAATTGATACGGATTCGGTGATTGATGGCTTGAAGGCGAGGAGGCAACGTTTAAATAGTTTTACACTGTACAGCAGTGCACTTTGGTTTGTTATATTGATGTTTTGCTGTTTGGTTAGCTTTTTATTGTTTTGGTTGTTGTTTATGTATAGATATGCATTTTGAGGGGTAAGGCTGATTACATCCCCCTGACAAGGTGTATCTTTTTTGTTTACTAATAAAATTACGCGTACCGTTGAGTGTTCTTTAAAATCTTAATTAGGTTTGTAACTTCCGAAATGTATGAAAACAAATTATATTGTGCTAAAAATTTTGTAATGCTTTCCGTTCAGGTAAGTAAAAAGTTAGCTTAAAATCCATCCCACCCGAGTTTCAAATCCTGGTTACACTTAATGTTAGTCAAATATAATGTTTGGTATGTCAAACATGCACATTCACAAGCTTAATATGACGGATTCTTGGAAGTTGCATCGGTAAAATTTTACTCCAGCGAGCATGAATGTTCTTATATTTATCCTTCTTTTTTTCCTCATTTGTGCATAGGTTTTGTAGAATGAGAGGTGCTAAGGAAGAAGTGTCATGTAGTGCTACACAAGTAGGATTCTCAACTACTAATAGTTGACAGTTTGAATAATTTATTTATTTTTTCCTTGTGTAGGTTCTGTTCATTAGGGATCCAGATATTCACATTGTCTTGTATGCGCTTGATTTTTAGTTGAAGTGGCCTATTATTCATCCAATAGCTACTAGTGGATATTTTAGTTTTGTTATCAAACCCTAAGCAGGATGGAAGAATCTTGAGATTTCTGATGGACCACTAGAATTAAGAATCAAGGATACCCTCGAAAAGGAAAGGACCCGAATTTATTAATTAGGCAACCAATTAGACTGTTCTTTCCAAATTCAGTCTGTTAGCATGAATAAGTATTTATTTCTTTGCATGGACAGGTTATTGAGTTAGTCAGGGGGTCCCATGGGTTTAACTCTCAGAAGCTTAATAAATTACTGAGGGACCATGAAACTTTTACTATTATGTGTGTTGTACCATATATTGGGCCTCAATATTTGGGTTTCATTACTTAGCCCATGATTCATGTAAGAGGGTAGGAAACCCTTATTCTATAAAAGGGCTCCCTCACACTCACTTAAGAAGGGGAGGAGACTCAATGAGAGAGAAGGGAAACAGACAGGGGGGAAACGGGAGAGCAAACAGAATAGTAAAGAGAGCAAACACTGCCTCTATAGCCTCCATGTATATTCAACATTCATTTACATAGTGAAACGGAATCAACGCTAGTGTGGACGTAGCCTCAACTTGAGGTGAACCACAATATATCTTTGTGTTCTTGTGCGTTTGTGTGATTCACGGTCGGATTTATGTCGGTCTAAGATCGACCCGATTTTGTGCATCAACGGTGTGTGTTACCGAAAAGGGATCAATTTTAAAAAAGGTCAGAAATCATCACCACTGTTAGTATTTTCATACTATGCCTTTGTATCCTGAGTTTTTTTTTTTTATATTTTTTTTATAGATATCTCAATTTTAAAATCTAGTAATATTTCAGATTGATGTGGAAAAGCTTGTGGGCTTTCTTCCTCTGCACCTTATTGCAGTGCTTATGTCATCTGACAGAGATGAAGCTCTGTTCGAATACCTATCATGCGGTATCAGGCTATTGCACACCTTGTGTAATTTAGCACCTCGACATGCCAAACTTGAACAGGTTGATTGTATAAAGGATTGCCAGTAGCTTCTCTGACTTTATGTGAAACAAAGATGTTCTTACTTTATGTGAAACAAAGCCTGGTTTGAAATCAGGCTTCCATTGAGAGAGACAAAATAACCCATTAGTCAGAGTGCGAGTACCTCCTCCCCACACACGTCGAATATCATCTTTGGTACTGAAATGGATGTCAAAAAAACCCTTACCCAATGGTACAAGACGCCATGAGGCAACTGGACGCCATAACGCAGCCAATGATGATTTCAAGGCTTCAGTTTTAACGGGAATGGAACCCTTTTTGAGCAGAAGACGGCCAATAAGATTTGTTTTGAACGATTGCAACTGATTTTGATAGAGATCCTCACTAATCTTTTTTAGGTTTTATCTCGACGTACCAAAGGAGCAGGAAGCTGACTGAGGTGCACGGTTGATTCCACCGAATCAGGGAGAATGGAGGCAAAAGTCCAAGCTTTGGAAACAGGATTTGGAGGAGACAGGACTTTCTCCGGCGTAGCCAAGAAAGACCAAGGGCAAATTGTCATGGTGAATTCAATCCAACTAAGATCGTACCATAAATCAATGACCGAGACGCCAGTAGAACCAACAAGGAAGACGACAATGGTAGAATCTCAGAGCAAACCAAGATGAATCAGATCGTCCACACCTTCCGGAACAAACTAGATCGTCCCTCGAACTGTTTGACACCGGCAGAGAAATCAGACGCCGTTGCCATCGACACCGACTCCGCAGCCACAGAACCCTAGGGAAGCGAGCGCTGGTGGCCTTTTTTTTGTGATAAAACGTAACATCTGATTTCTCTGCCACGTAACATCCGATAGCTATCTATATATATAAACACACCTAACAAACTTCTAACAAAGCTAACAACTCAATACATTAAATGATGTCATCTGTCCATTGCATCCAACATAACGAATAGTGACATGTACATGCCACTTAATAAAAAAAAAGACGTAGAATATTCATCCTCTGATGATTAATTACATCAATTAAGTGTCTTCTTCTTCTTCTACAAAATTATTAATTAATGATGCTTCCCTTGAAGCAATCCCCTGGAGGCAGGAGAACAACTCCTGCGGTTTAGATAACATTACCATGTGATCAGCACCATTTATCACGTGCACTTCATTCGGCAGATTTTCATCGATCATCCACCTCTGCCATTTCTCCGGTATTATAAGATCTTGGTCGCACACAATAAACTCTTTACGAACTGATCCATATTTCTCATTGGTGAGTTTTATTTCATCATGAGTCAGTACAGGACAGAACCTCAGCAAGGATGATGCTAGTTTTACATCCTGTTAATTAATTAGTAAATCCAAGAAAGAAAAGAGAAAATGAACAATATTGTTAGCCAACCAATTGAAATATAAAGCTCACATGCATGATTCGAAGGGATGGTTATATGTACAAGAGGAAACTGATTTCTGCGCACCCTTCTATGCATAGGGGAAAAATGTGTGCTGAAATAATTTCTCGATATAAAATTGACACAGGCATACGATCGGCTTTTACGTTTTTTTTTTTTTTTTTTTTTTTTTTTTGTCAAGACTTTACCTCTGGTGGCGAGAGCTGGTACAATAGTAACGACATGATCTTAGGCCCGAAAATTGCCGAAGTTGGAGGATTGTTGGGTCCGTTATCAAATCTATGGTAGTAGTCCATCAAATCCACACCAGCAAACATCTGAACAATATATATTTTCAAGGATATTAGTTGTTAGTATTCACCAGATATGTCAACTGAGACGCGTGCTTCGAGTTCATATTAGACTACGTACTAGTACTAGCTGAGTGAATTTATTACCTTCTCCATTATATGAGGGTAACTGAAAGTAGGACTAGGCATGAAAGCGGTGGCGAAAACGGCCGCCAATATTTTCTCAGGAAACATCTCCATGGCAATAGATATGACGGGCCCACCGAAGCTGTGGCCTACCAGGAAAACGCGCTTCTCTGGTGGGAGAGTCTTCATGAATTTGATCAATGGCTCAGCATAATCCGAGAAGGTCTGTACATATTTTACCTCCTTTGGGTGGATCCCACATGCTGCTAGGTCTAGGGCTGTGACATCGTAACCTGCAGAGGTTAGTAAAGCTGACAACTTATACCAGCACCATGCTCCGTGACAGGCTCCGTGAATCAGCACAAAATGCTTCTTATCGGCATCTGGGTTTGGGGATGAGGAAGACATGGTTCTTAACTATTTTAGCCTCTCTTTCCTTGGCATAGCTCCATTTGGTCTAGGCTGGCTTTTATATTCATGAAATCCTTCATTTGCTCACTCTATCTGCATTTTGTCTTTCTATTGCGTTTGTAGTCGTGAAAATATTAAGATTAAGATTAAGATTAAGCTTAGTATATTCGATGATAGCAATTCTGGAAAAGTAATAAGTCGAATCAACACTGCGTTTGGATAAATAAATGTAAGATCACCCAAAATGACGGAATTTTATTTTTATAGAGTTTGTGAATTTTATTGTTCAGCTAACTTAAAAGAACAATGAAATTTAAATACGGAATGCAATGTGTGTATAGAGTCATTAATATATAAATGAGAGACTGTAATTAATTTGACAAAAAAAAAAAAGATTGTAGTTAGGAGATATGCTAGTAATGGTGGTAGTGACTGCGGTGTGGATAGTGGTGGCGACGGTGATAGCGGCGGGTGGTAGTAGTGTGGCGGCAACAGTGGTATGTGGTGGTGACATGTGGTGGTGGTGGCAACTCTTGGTTGAGCTTTTTATATTTTTTATTGTTAAACTCTTACTCTTAAAAATTTGGAAATAATAATTATTTATATGGAATTTAAACTTGAAAATTAAGGGTCTCAAATTCTAATTTTTATCCACACCAAAATTCTAAATTTCTATATTTATAAAACAAAATAAAAAAGTATGGTTCATGCCAATTTATAGATTCTAACTTTTATCTAAATTCTGAATTTATTTTTCTCATTCAATAAGGAAAATTATTCAGGTTTTGATGGATGTATTGATAGCATTAGAAATCTAACAATATTCCCCACTCTAAGTTGCCCGTAGTATTCTTTTCAAACATTATATTCTTTGGTTTTATTAGATTTTTAATCTTACACAGTACATAATATATATATAATTCGTTAATTTCGTCTAGTTTGTTTAGCTTGATCAAAATAAACGCCATTTATATAATAAAATGCCGTCGAGCGCCAGTAGTGACGTTTGTATGCTAGTATTGCAACAGTACTATGACTATTATTGGTTTAAACGCCTACGTACAGCCGTCTAGGGCGGAAGTCTATTTGCGAAAGTCAAAGTCAATGCCACGTATAATATTTGTTAAGACATATTTAGGGACTGTTATTAGCACTTCAAAAATCTCATTCTATACTTCGCACAGATGTATTTTTCTTTCTAATTATTGAAAGTTTGGAGTGCCAAATGAGATTTTTGGAGTGCTAATAACAATTTTCTATATTTATAGACATTTTATTTTAGTTTGGACGTCGACTTCCTTTTTTTCTTCCTTTCATTATCAAGTTGGGAGTATCACTGACTATGACCCTGTGCAACTAATTGTTGATTCGTTTTGAATAATCAACATTATTTCTTACAGTGACTTGGGCGTATGAATAACAGAAAGAAAATGGTCATGATACAAGCTGAATAGCAGTAATACTAATTAGTAAACAACTTGTGCATGATGTTTTATAACCAAGTGGCATGAAGGGACAAATTTGGAGGTTTCATGCATGACTTGGAATAGTGTTTGATGTTTGCTTATAACCAAGTGGCATGAAGGGACAAATGTGTATATTTCATGCATGACTTGGAATAGTGTTGGCTTATAATCAAGTGGGATGAAGGGACAAATGTGTACGTTTCATGCATGACTTGGAATAATGTTTGCTTATAACCAAGTGGCATGAAGGGACAAATGTGTATGTTTCATCCATGACTTGGAATAGTGTTTGCTTATAACCAAGTGGCATGAAGGGACAAATGTGTATGTTTCATGCATGACTTGGAATAATATTCATAAATACATGATGTTTGCTTATAACCAAGTGGCATGAAGGGATAAATGTTTATGTTTCATGCATGGCTTGGAATAGTATTAGTCGTTGGAAGATTTTGCATCAATTTTTTTTGTTTTTAATATGTATAAATTAAGTTCTATTTTAATGGGATTGCTCACCACCCCTAAGTTGTGATAATGCCTTTATTTATCGTTGTTATGTGAGTTTAATTAAATTTTGAGATTGTGTTATAAGCAAACATCATGCACAAGTTGTTTACTAATTAGTACTACTCTTATTCAGCTTGTATCATGACCGTTTTCTTTCTAGTATTCATACGTCCAAGACATTGTAAGAAATAATATTGATTATTCAAAACAAATCAACAACTAGTTGCACAGGGTCACAGTCAATGATACTCCCAACTTGATAAAGAAAAAAAAGGAAGTCGACTTCTAAACTAAATAAAATGTATATAAATATAGAAAATTGTTATTAGCACTCCAAAAATTTCATTTGGCACTCCAAACTTTCTATAATTAGAAAGAAAAATACACATGTGCAAAGTGTAGAATGAGATTTTTTTGGAGTGCTAATAACAGTTCCCTAAATATATCTTAACAAGTATTGTATGTGGCATTGACTTAAACTTTCATGAACAGACTTATAATTTATGGTATCTAATAAATATTAAGATTGAAAATATTCATCGATCTACAAAATTTTCTCATGGAGCTACCCATTTTTTTTGCCACAGATACCAATATAGAGGCTAAAGGACACTACGCTATTAAATTCATATGCAGTCGATATATTTATGAATTTAATCATTAAAATGCATAAGCTCAATTATACATTCAAGTTAAATCAATTCCCGAAGTTTTGGTCAACAATAAAAACTGCTTACCTATGAGTTCACCTATAAAACATGCAAAGGCAATATACTTTTTTACCACAATTCTATATATTGTGAATATTTGTTTGCAACTTTTGTGGCATATAGAGGCTAAAAGATACAACAATATTAAATCCATATGTGGTTGAAATATTTATCAGTTTAATCATTAAAATGCATAAACTCAATTACACATCTAGGTTAGATCAATTCCTGAAGTTTTGCTCCAAAATAAAAACTGCTTAGCTATGAGTTCGCCTTTAAAACGTGCAAAGGTAATTTACTTTTTAGCCACAATTCAATGTAATGTGAATTGTTGTCCACAACTTTTGTATCTAATAAATATCCACGGTTTCGACAAAAAAAAAATAAATATATATATATATATATATATATATATATATATATCCACGGTTAAAAATATTCGTTGATCTACCAAAAATTATCATCGACGTACCCATTTTTCTACCACAGATAGGAATATAGAGTCTAGAAGATTCTCATTTAATTGAAACATACCAAACTCATTAAACATGAAGCTTGTTTGTACCATACTTGACCAATCCCGAAACTACTAAGCACCGGTCAACATTATACCGTCAAGGACCCACAAGACTTTTCCTCCAACCAAGAGGCCAATCACAACGCGACACATGTTGGTATCAGAGGCCAATCATAACGCAACACGTGTCGATATCAGAGGTCAATCACAGCACAACACGTGTCAATGTCAGAACAAAGCTAAAAACTCTCTTCTATAAAAGGGGATCATTCTCCCACAATAACCCCTAATGTCATTTGTACTAAAATATTCACTAGAACTCACTAAAAGAGAGATTGAACCTATGTATTTGTGTAAACCCTTCACAATTAATGAGAACTCCTCTACTCCGTGGACGTAGCCAATCTGGGTGAACTATGTACATCTTGTGTTGCTTGCTTCCCTATCTCTATTCATTTACATACTTATCCACACTAATGACCAGAGCAATCTAGCGAAGGTCACAAACTTGACACTTTCTGTTGTACCAAAGTCCTCGCCGATTTTGTGCATTAACATTTGGCGCCGTTTGTGGGAATCGCACTTATTCCTACTCTCTCCAGCTTTGTCAAGCTGGTTTCCACCATTCGTACACTTTCTTTCGACCAGACACCCCTCTCCAACATGAGGAGTGAAGAGAGCCACAGCACGCAGAATGACACCCCCTTCGCACTTAGTGCGAAGCAACGAAAGAAGGAATGAAAGAAGTTTGCTCTTCAGGCTAAAGTCGATGAGCTAGAGGCTCAGAACAATAAGATAGCGATAAAGAATGAGATCCTCCAGGAGCAATATGAGAAGCTCTTCGGGATACTCCATGAAGCTAAGCATACCCAAACACACAAACTCATCGTCCTTGAGGAAGTCAACCACCACCTGGGTGCCCCCCAACACGAGGGATCACCTGCCTTCAACATGGATATCCTTAATGGGGAGCGAGTTACTCATCAAGGTGTTGATCAACATGAGACCTCTCTGGACCTAGCTGCTTCGAGCCGAAGTAAGAGAAGTGGAAGAAGGCACCTTCTTGCAGAAGGAGTAGAAGGATCAAAAGCCGTTTATCACGACTGTCGGGACTTCCTAAGGCAACGTTGAGAGAACCCCATCCACATAAGCTCGAAGGTCAATAACCCAAGGGTTTCTAAAAGATTCAGTCATCTCCCATACCCCAAGCCAACTGCCAATCCAGGGAATAAGCGACATGTCCTAGAGGAATATGAAGGTACAGAGGACTCGGGGGCGTTTCGACAGGCTCGCCCTAGAAGTCAGTACAGTGAGTCCAAAGAAAAATCTCATGCCCTTGATTAAGCTTTCTTACTTACAAGAAGAGATGGAGACTTACGGAAGAAGGATCCAGCAGTGCTGACTCCACTCAAGACCCCGTTGTCCTACAACTCCTTGAGGAAGTAAACAAGTTGAAAGCCGAACGTTAGGCCGAAATACCTGACTGGAACCAACCTAGGCCTGGCCCTCTTACAAGGAGGATCTTCGACAGCCCCCTCCAAGCAAAGACAAAGCAGAAGCTTGGCTTACAACTCTACACTGGAAGGGAGGACCCGATTAAACACCTTAACCTCTTTGAGTCCACCATGGCATATCGGATGCACAGTAACGAAGAACAATGTCTTCTCTTCCCCTCTACCTTCTCTGGCGGAGCTTTGAATTGGTATTGTCGTCTTCCACCTAAGACAGTAGACTTATTTGAGGAATTGAGGAAACTGGTTATCTCTCAACACATCTTCCAGATAGATAGCTTGCATTCCACAGATGACTTGTACACTATTCGCCAGAAGCCAGACGAGCCACTATGAAAGTATGTCGGCCGCTTCAGCCATAAGTATTCTCGCTGTGCTGAGGCAGATGACAAGACCACCCTCAAAACCTTCACGGCAGGCCTACGTGATTGTTTCTTCAAGTACATGATCAATGCCAACACTTGGAAGACTTACTCTGGGGTGATGGCACAGGATTACAACCACGCCTCCGCCGAAGCAAGGACATACCAAGGGAACCCCCATATGGTTAACCCCTATCAACAAGTGGGAAGTGGAAGTCAAGTTCTACCAAGTGAGGAGATCTTGGCCATTTAGACACCCATTGCATCATCTCCTGCCTCATTTAGCTACTCGCTAAGTCACCAAACGTATTTGTCTCTTGGTAAGAGGAAGAATTTTTACTCTCAGCAAACTTATTACAACAAGAGGGATAAAAGTTCGTATCAAGACAACCAGGGGTGAACATACCGTTGACTATTATGACTATAGGGCCAAGCCTCACTTTTTCAAAATGGATGACTGGGTACTGAAGGAAATGCTATTATAAGAAGGCATACACATTACAAATGTTTTGACTCTCAACCATTTGAGATCTTTTGTCACACAAGCCATTCAGCAAATATTTAAAGAAGAGGGAATTCAGACAACTTTTTCTGAGTCTTCTGCATTCCTAGCACTAGAACACTTGGTCTATGCTGACCTACCCCTATACTCCAACACAAAGCTTCAACATGCGTACTTTGACACAAAGTATGTGCTACTAAGTGTTACAACCAACATGGTTCATCTATTGAAAGCATGGATCCCTTCATGCATAGCAAAACATTCATAAGCATCACTCATTCAATCAACATAAACATCATACATTTCAACACATTCATACATAAACATCATATATTCTAACACATCCATACATAAGCCAACTGTGCTTCGAAAGGGTTCAACATACTTTGTGTCATTCGACACTTGCTACAATATGCCTCGACATCTCGCCCCTATTCTCACCAACCAAGTGATGAAATGTGAAGAAAGAACTCACATTCATGTCACCAACGAGGTGATGAAATGTACAACCTGTACTCTCCTTCATGCCACCAACTAGGTGATAAAATGTACAACCTGTACTCTAATATCATTTGGCAACTTGCCACTCATGCCACTAACCAGGTAAAGAAGGAACTTATTTTCATGCCACCAAACAGGTGATGAAATGTACAACTCGTACTCTCATTCATGCCACCAACCAGGTGATGAAATGTACAACCTGTACTCTAATATCATTTGGCAACTTGCCACTCATACCACCAACCAAGTGAAGAAAAACCTCATCTTCGTGCCACCAACCAGGTGATGAAATGTACAACCCGTACTCTAACATCATTTGGCAACTTGCCACTCATGCCACCAACCAGGTGAAGAAGGAACTCATCTTCGTGCCACCAACCAGGTGATGAAATGATGAAAGGTGATAAAGGAACTCACATTCGTACCACTAACCAAGTGATGAAAGCAACTCACCATTCATTCCACCAACCAGAAGACGAGTGGTACAACTTGTACATGTGAACTCCTAGCATTCATAAATAATCAAAAACCCTCAAGTTTTACAACTCAACTAGGGGAGCACTTATGCCTAACAAGAGCTATAGCCACCAATAAAGTCTTATTACAAGCCAACAACGGCTTCAGTGCATGGTATACGAAGATCAAGCTCTTCAGCCCTCTTACATCTGCTTCAGACATTTCTCCTCTGTAACAATGCAAACAATACAGCTCATAGAAAGCTTCACACACTCTTGATCAAGATTGTTCGAAGCAAATTCAATTTATATGGTTCATCCAAACCTTCGACTACTACAGGGTGTGGCTTGCATCACAATCTCTTGCTTAACAGTGTGGAAGCAAAATTTGTATATGTTGTCTCTCCCACATTTTCAAATTTCTAATTTCCCTTCCCCCCCCCCCTCACCAAAAAAAAAAAAAAAAAGGAAATTAGGAAATTCAACAACTTCAACAAATTGAGGGTAACTACAATTCTCAAAAGCTTCACACACTCTTGATCAAGATAGTGTGAAGCAAAATCAATTCATGGTGCCCAACAAAGCTTCAACCTCAAAGCTTCACCTACAAAGCTTCAACACAAAGCTTCACCACAAAAGCTTTAACAAATGGAGGGCAACAACAAATGTCAAAAGCCTCACACACTCTTGATCAAGATAGTGTGAAGCAAAATCAATTCATGGTGCCCAACAAAGCTTCAACCTCAAAGCTTCACCCACAAAGTTTCAACACAAAAGCTTCAACAAATGGAGGGTAACAACAAATGTCAAAAGCCTCACACACTCTTGATCAAGATAGTGTGAAGAAAAATCAATTTATGGAATGCAACAACTTCATCAATGGAAGACAACAACAATTCTCAAAAGCTTCACACACTCTTGATCAAGATAGTGTAAAGCAAAATCAATTTATGGTGCCAGCAAAAGCTTCAACAAGTGAAAGGCAATAACAAATGTCAAAAGCCTCACACACTCAATTTATAGTGCCAACAAAAGCTTCAACAAATGAAAGGCAACAATAAATGCCAAAAGCCTCACACACTCTTGATCAAGATAGTGTGAAGCAAAATCAATTTATGGTGGCTAACACAAAAGCTTCACCTACAAAGCTTCAACATCAAACAAAGCTTCAACAACAAAGCTTCAACATCAAGCATAGCTTCATCAATGAAAAGCAACTACAATTCTCAAAAGCTTCACACACTCTTGATTAAGATAGTGTGAAGCAAAATCAATTTATGGTGCCCAACAAAGCTTCACCTACAAAGTTTCAACACAAGAGCTTCACCTACAAAACTTCAATACAAAAGCTTCACCTACAAAGCTTCAATACAAAAGTTGAACTAATCGATTGAACACATACCAATTTTTAAGCTAATTAGTGCTCTAGAAATTTAGAGATGTCAAATGATGAAGAAAAGGAAGAGCAAGAGGAGCAAGAGGAGTAGATGGGGGTGCAGAATGATAACCATGGGAAATGGCAAGATTTTTTTAAAGAGAGAGAAGGCTAAAATCTAACCAGTTTGATTGTATCTGTGTTACTTAACACCCTTAGAGAGAGAAGGCTTAAACAATCAAATTGTGTTAATTAAACCGAGACCTTTTGTGATAAACATTTTGCTGTCCAGTCATTACTATCCTTGTTGCAGCTATTGAGCCTGAGTGAAGCAGAAAGTATGTCTTACCTGGACGAAGTTTCTAGATCGCCAGCAAGCTTAGATTTGGCAAAGTCTGTTGTATTGGAGGTTAGCGTTCGTTCCATCTTATGAACTCTCAAGAATGGTGGTTTTAATCAGCCCTTTTTTTAATTTTCCAGCTTCTTGCTGTTAATTTTATGTTTTAGCTATGCAAACCTAATATAATTAGTTTATGTCCAAAGATGATTCTAGAATTATATGCTTTTGATGCATTAGAAAACATTTAGTTAAAGTTTTCTATTTCTGTCAAATGTTAGATGAACAAAACTGACCAAATGATTTTGTATAGTTTTTCAGTCACAAGAGTCACTTCCCTACAAATATCTAGAATAAAGATGTTGAGCTCACAAATTTTATGTTTTAGATCCCATGACTAATGTTTTGCTAATGGGAGTATTTGAAAGGTATATGTTTCATTTTGTAGGCATTTATAAAGTTTTTTTTTTTACTCTCTTAATCAGTGGGAGTAATAATTTGTTTATCTCTACTAATCAGTGGGAGTAAGAAATTACCTTTTGTGTTAAAAATTTGAAGTGTTAGTGGCTGATAATTTAAGAGTAAATTTTGTTTAAGTTTTGTTTATAAGTTTTAATAAGAGGTTCTGATTTTGTAAAAAGTATGTCGTATTTTACTTGTTCTCTTATCATATTCTAAATTGACAGAAAAGTTGGATGTTGTCACCAACGTTGTTGAGTTCTTTTGTAAACTACTTTTGTACCATATTTCAGTTCGACTATTGTGAGCTAATGTTTTGACTATTAGCTCTTGACACCATGACTTTGATAGCAACAAAGTGCTTTTAAGTTGAATGTGTATGTGATCTTGGAGTGCAAGGAACAGACCAAATTGTTCTTTGTTTTCTTTGGTTCTGCATTCGATTCAAAGTGACACGTTGCTAGGAAAGGTTGTTGCATACTTATGAAGACTCAGTGATCACCATGAGTTCTTATTTGTTAGGATAAATCATTGACATTCAAGTGGGAGAATGTAAGGTTGTGAATGACAATGAATGATGTATTGGATTACTTATGTTGTAGGCCACTTGTTTAGTGAGTTGTTAACAACTTAAGTAATCTGATAATCCTAATAAAATAAAGATTATGGAGTCTTATCCCTTACAATTGACCTAAAGAAATCTGATGGATTTCGCTACAAAGATATAGTATCATGGTGTGACTTAAACACTTAAGTGATAGGGTTTGATTTTTACAACCAATAATAGGCCGGCTGTGATTAAACCCTAATGATATAAATACTATGGTTAAGTCCCTGCTTCCATACGTTTAATCTCTAAGTTACGCTAAACCCTATTCATATAGCAGAGAGATATTATTGAAGTATTGGAAGGAGAAGATAACCTGGAGTTCATCAATGACTTCATCTTCATAACAATGTCTTCCGTATTCTACAGATAAGTTTAGTATAATTAGTTAATCTCTATTTTATATTGATTTGATTTATTCGTGATCCTAATGTCTTGTTGTTGTGATTTCAGAATATGTCTTACATCCTCGTCAGATGACTTACTAAATGCAAGTTTAGAATTTCCTGTCACTCCCAGTATCGTGACCCAGGCTTCCTATTCACATCAGAAAACATCATTATTTGTGAAAGTAATTGCAAATCTCCATTGTTTCATTCCCACCATCTGTGAAGGTGGTTCTTGATTTTGTAATTCTTCATAATCACTTCAACTAGTACATGTCATTGTTTTGTTGTCTTTCTAATGTAGTTCTCTATTTGAATTTACAGAACAGGAGAAGAACCACTTTGTTAACAAATTTCTGGAGTACTTGCAAATGGATGTATCCAACACATTGCCCAGATTTTCCTTTGCTTCTGATACTTCTAAAGCTGCAACTGTTTGCAGAAATCTGCGTAATAATCATCCTCGGATAATCTTTTGTAAAACACAATTGTAGAAGTAAGTTCCTTCCTTACAAATAAATTTTATGTGTAGGTTCGTTGATAAGTCATGCAGAATCATTAATTCCCAATTTTTTGAATGAGGAGGACGTACAGCTCCTAAGGTGATTTACTGTCAACCATGTTTCTTTTTTGTGGTATCTGAATCCATTATTAATGCTAGATGTGCTAGAATTTTACCTCAACCATGTTAAGATCATCTTCGCACGCAGAGCTGGCAATGGTCTCGTGGTTGTATAATGGGCTTTACATGGAATCTACTTGATAGATGTTACAATTATTATATAATAATTAACTTCTGAGATAATGCTCTTCAGCTAAATTTGATGCCAGACAAGTTTTGTGTTACGTATAGATACTTAGGGCCTGTTTGGTATTGAATTTGAGTCCAAAGTTTTTAACTCAAAAACAATTTTTAAATTTTAAAGTAAAAAAATCCATTTGGTAAGCCCATTTTGCAAAACTGGACTCAAAAATTTTTAAGAATAACCCATTAAGATTTGAAAACAACAAAAGTGAGGTTTTAGTTTTTTTTTTTTTTTTTTCCATAGATTCAGTTCGCAATGGAGGTCTGAGTTGCACCGCGCAAACCACGAACAGGGCTTCTGTCTCACCAACCATGAACGACCAAGAGATTCCGGCGAATAGCTTTAAGCTTCGAATCTCTGAGTGTTTGATTGGGGACGAGACTGGGCCATTCTCTTTACTGCCAGGAACGATCAAGGTAATGGGTCTTTCTCTTACTGTGAACGGAGAAAATGATCAGAAAGTTGGATTTATGTGTTTTATGTGTTGGGTTGTGAGAAATTGAGTTTATCTATCTATTTGGTGTGATTCATTTATGTACTGTGTATATATATTAACTTAACCTAGCAACGGAGCAGAGACAGTGCGGCATTGCAAATCGCAATCCAAACTGATCGAGCTCAAGAATCCGATCATCGAACAAGGTCCTCCTCCTCATCTTCTCTGTTCAGAAAATTATTTCTATTCATACTTACATGTTAGGGTTTTCTCCAAGCATTTAGAATCATTAATCACTTCGGCTGAATTTGAAGCAAACCGAGTTCAGGTAAAACCTTTTTTTTTTTTTTTTTTTTTTTTTTTTGTAGAAATGAGTTTTGTCATTTTGTTTTTTCTTGTCCTCCCTACCATTTATGTCTTTAAATATTTCCAAACAATGATGCTGGCAGACAAAGAAACACAAGGAGTCAATGTATATAGATGAATTCGCTAAACTCAACATCAATGATCATCATCAGGTAAAAGTTGGCATTTTTCCCGTCTTCTAGGTGGAGTCAAAATGCTCGTAGTTATACTTGCACTGTATGGCCACATTATTAAGTTGACGCGTTTCAATGTGTACTTTGGTATGACAAGCTTCACGAACACAATAAACTTTAACATGAGACTCGTAGCAATGGGGAGACAAACTGATTAGTATCTTTGAAATATACATTAATAGTCACTGTTGCATGCTTAATTCAATATTTTAAGATAATAGATTGGCCATTGGAGTTTGCTAACAGTGTAGTAGTTATTTCTCAACATAGTGACCTGAGAGTAAAGTTTGATTCCTGGTAGGAGGGTCGGTCCGAGTACTGGAGGATGTGCGCCGCCATTATTGAGTAAACAACCTTCTAAGCTTAATAACAGAAGTGCTAACCTAGAGGAAATGTCTGAGAATTCTGATTTTCAAGATGCGGACCAAGTTGATGTCAGGGAAGGCAAAGGTGTATCTAGGAATGCATCTCTAGACGTTTTAGGGTGTACGAAAGAGATGCTCATAATGTTGAAACAAGTGGTTCAGACACAAGCTCATCAGATGGAAAACAGTGAATATCCAAAGTTGAGTGCACACATAAAAGAAAGTGGATATGGGGGAACCCCGGCCAGAGGATGAAAAGGTTGAAACTCTTCCTTCTGACGAAAAGCAGCGGAGAAAACGCAAACGAACAATAATGAATGATATGCAGGTGGAGCTTGTTGAGAGAGCCCTAGTGGATGAACCTGATATGCAGCGAAATGCAGCCTCAATACAATCATGGGCTGAGAAATTAAGTTTTCAAGTAAGTTGATACTTCAAACTTCAATCTTTGTAAATAACGTATGTTGAATTTCTTCGCTATATATCAACAACAATACCAAACTTCTTTTCACTAAGAAATGTACCATTGTGTTATCCAGGGTTCCAAGGTTACATGTGCACAAGTAAAAAATTGGTATACCATCCCCATTTTTCCTGTATTTGTTTCTTCAAGGCATTGCTTAAAACTACTTTCAGTATCCTAATAGCTTAAAACATCAATGTTTTGCATCTCCGCAGGTTAAACAATCGAAAAGCCAGGCTAGCCCGCACAGCTAAGGATGTTCGTGCAACACCAGAGGCTGACAATGCTTTGCCAGACAAGTAAGGTGGGCGGGGCCAAAGGTCCAACATCTCCCCCGATAGTCCTGGTAGAGATGCTTCCGCCCAACTAAATGCTAGGAGAGATCCTCAAACCATGTTGAGAACTGCTATGCCAGCGGTAGCTGAGAATAACGTGGCAGAAGCAGTTGCCAGTTGTCCTGCAGAATTTGTACAGTGCAAGCAAGGTGACTCTGTTGTGCTGGTAGGCGCAAATGGAGAGAAGCTCGGAATTGGAAATGTGTTTCAGGTGCGTGGCCAATGGTACGGTAGGAACTTAGAAGAGCTGAGGACGTATGTTGTGGATGTTAAAGAGCTTAAAGCTCGAAGGGCAACGAGGCTTCCGCACCCATCTATGGCCACGGGCGTTTCATTTGAGGAGGCAGAAACAAAGATTGGCGTAATGAGGGTGTTGTGGGATTCGAACATGACTTTATCGTCCTCAATGAGTTATATGCAAGTAAAAGGTTAAATGCCCTCGGCCTCATTAGAACTAGAAGTGCTGTTATATATAACTGCAGAGATACTGTCGTACCATCTTGTAATTACTTGGACCTCTTTATAGCATCTTTTTTGTTGATTTCTAAATTTTGTAGCCTTGAAAAAGTTTTAATTTAGAAATAAACTAGAAAAAATGCCCGCGCGATGCTGCGGGGCTTAAATGCATCACCTTGAACTGCATTGTACAATTAAAAGGACGAAACAAAACGTTTTGGTTCGCTAATATATAGTATAAACAAAAGTAACACATAGTTTACAGACATGTTGCCCTTGTAGCGAAGGTGAAAAAATGTATTATCTTCTAGGTTAGGTACATGTTTGAGTAGTTGACAAAAAAGATAAAGATTGTTTTGTTCTCATTCTAGCATCTAAGTTTCCAAGCACAAACGTGCAAAGCAAAGAACATGCAGGTGTTGAAGCAAAAAAGTTGCTAGCTGAAAAGATGTAGAACGGCTTACAGAGATTGCGTTGTTCACTTTTTTTTAGAGTGGACATCTTCCGCACTATAGCAAAAAACTGATAACTGCAAGCAACAGAGCAGATAGTATTAAGATCGAAAATGCATTCTGGAAACCATGGGAAAACTGTAAAAGTAAAAAAAAAAACTGTGACGGTCGAATGGATTAAATTTGTGAAAGTGCAACAAACAAAGGGTAAATGTCATAAAGGTTTAACTGACGACCAATCATTTATACTTGATAATGTTCTGAATTATCAGCAGGATAAAGCTGTTAAAATGTGTTTTGGAATCAGTCCTTTCACAGCATGTTTATCCACGTTGTTTTTTTTTTAACTGCCTTTTATTTAGAATTGCAAGTTATGGCTATAATTAAATTATCCAGTATTTCTCATCTAAAATTTTCCAAAAAAAAAAAGACATCAAGGACAATTACGCAACTCCAAAGTACAAATGCTAAGCGTGTTACTTCAACCGAAATAACTTCTAGATACAATGAGATACACATGCTCATTTCAGAAATGGAATCCATATAAAACCATAATCCATAAAAACTGCAATAGTTAAACTGCAAGCTAAATCGATTAAGTAATCAGAAGGTAAACACACCAATTTTCAAACAAAGTGAAGAAATTGAAATTGTCTTATGAAAACTAACTAAAAGTTTATGTAAATTCATTGTAATATTATCTAAGAGGCTACATAGAATGTTAATATTGCATGATACAAAAGCAATGCAAAATCTACATGTTTAGGTAACATCGTTATGCTTAAGAAACAGAAAGCATCATAACAACATCAAAAGTTACAAACTTGCAGAATCCCAAATTACACTTTCCCATCAAGACAATTTCTTAACTAATGTAATTTGTGTGGTTTTCGTAAAAATATTAACTTGGGTAAAATCATATTCCACAAAATTAGAAATTGGGGAGTGAAATTAAACACCAAAACTTCACAGGCAACCAGCAGATCATGGAGCTAATATCCTACGAAAAAGGTTAGAAAAACAGATATCATACAGGAAGGAAGAAGCTCAAAAAAAGCAACCGCACACAACTATTTAGACAACATACATCAATTTTCACGAAGCATTTAGCACAAATGTCAAAAGATACACCAATTGACAGAAACCAGTCATAAACACCATCAGGAAGCAATTTGTATAAACTTTACATTCCTCACTCAAACAATGAAAGATAATAAAAAAAGAACAATACCTTTTATTCCATTACAATTTGAGCATCCAATCCGAAACCAATTGGTGATGGGTGGAGATGCCCGAGATCATTCAAACTATTTACGTAAGGCTTGAATTCCAATATGGGATTCAACATCTCAAAACAAATGACTTTATGATCACCCTTTTACCTTTAGAATCAAAAGGATGCAGCAAGGGCAGGCAAACAAATCCCTCGAAATGGGCCCTAAAAATGACTTTTACATTCTTTCTCACTTACCCTTGTCCCATCTCTCTCTCTCTCTCTCTCTCTCTCTCTCGCACAAATAAAATCCCAAATATAATCCCTGAAATCTCACCCAAACGTAATCCCTGAAATCCCCTCTCTGGGACATGCCCCACCTCTCCGTGTCAGAACCCTAAACCAAATCCGTAAAATCCTACTCTCTCTCGTTGCAAATCGCACAAATCAAACCCCAAATCTAATCTGTCAAATCCTCTTGCGATACGCCAAACCTCTCTCTGTTAGAACCCTAAACCAAACTTGCAGGCATAAAATTATGCAAAACATAACAGAAAATAGGTAACTTCAAAAACATGGTGGACAACCATAAAACTCACAAAAACATAGTGGAAAACCATAAAACTCACTTTGCGAAACAAAACTTTTGGTGGCTGTTATTTAACATTAGTCATGTCTATAGATATGCATGCTCGTACACAAACAGAGGCATATATACACATGCACGCATGCATGCATACCTATATAGGCATGTACATACACACATAGATGCATACATACATACATTTACATGTACATACAAACAGAGCTGCATACATACATATGTACATACACATTTATATATGCACACATATACATATAGCTATACAGATGCCTATATATATATATATTTAGATATATACTTAGGTATATATTGATACATATACTTGCACATACATTTGTACGTAGACATACAACAAATTTTGATAACCACAATCAAAGCAACAAAAAAAACCAAAAGCAAAAATTCAATGCTTTAAGTAGAAAAAGTTAAGTTTGGTTGTTAAACCCATTCCTAAAGATGAAGTCAAGTATTCATAATCAATCATTGTTGAATCAACAAAAAATTAGAAGGAAAAAAATTCTAATGACTGAAACAGATGATTGTGAAAGGGTTAGCATATACCTGCTGCTAGGAAATCCAGATTCCGGTGGATGAGACTCTGTTTCTGAAAAAAGTGCATATACTTGAGCTGCAAGGATACATCACATAGTAAAGAAATTGGAAGGAAAAAGAGTTTGTATTGAAACACAGTAAAGAGATTTGCATCAGAAATTACTTTGTATAAACAAAATTTAAAATGGATAGATAGATACCTCACTAATGGTCTGTCTTGTGGCTGTTGTGTGAATGGATGTTTTGATCTGTATGGTTGTGTTGGATTTACATGCATATCAAGAATGAAATCAAAAGTTAATTTCAGAAATATATAAGAAACCAAGAAATGAAAAAACAACCTAGCAACATATGGATTCGAAAGATGTGAAGTGGAAAATGAACCTGAAGATGATTTGTTAAGAAGCAAACAGTAGGAAAGTATGAAGAAACACAAAAAAATGAAAACAGTGCAACCCCTTTGTTTATAAAGACAGAAATATCAGCTAAACAGTGAACTAAACAGTGAGCTAAACACACCCTAATTTAAATGCAATAAACTTAAAAAGGAGTCTTAATTTTGTTTACTCATAAGCAAAGGAAAATAAAATTATGAAAAACAGAAATATCAGAATTTTCAACACTGTGTAGTCCCTTTATTTGCAAAGACTAAGAGGAAAGTCTAATAGGTAAGTAAACAATTTTAAAATATCTAAGACAGCTTTAATGAAGGAAAAATTAGCCATGCCAATTTTAATAAAGGGAATGGTAAATCAAACAGTGAACAGCAAAATTCAAACAATAAACTTTGTAAATTAAGGTGCTTTTTTACTTAAATTCTTTTTGTTTTGGCGTCAACCTTTCATTTTGCTGTAAATTCAAGTGTTTTCTCTCTGTGTTGATCCAGCTGCTTATACTTGTCAAATGTTGGTTCTTCTTATGCAAATATTGATATATTTAACAGGTAACAACTACCTACATGCAATGGAGCACCAGAAATTAATGTACAGTATGGTTATTAGGACAATGGATTAAATTCTAGGATAAGTTTAGATATGCAGCTAACCTAGAGGTGAACTAAACAACCTACAAATGACTAAGAGGAAACCCTAATAGTTAACTAAACAATATAAAATATCTATGAGAGCATTAATGATAGGAAAAAATATCTATGACAATTTTAATAAATGCAATGGCAAAGCAAACAGTGAACAACAATTTAAAACAATAAGTTGAAATAGAGTTAACCCTAAGATGACCTAAAAATCTACAACAATCTATTGATAATTTTAATGAAAGAACACAAAATCTGTAACAATTGCCAAACAGAAAAATGATGAATCATACAAAAATTTATCAAGAAACAAATAAATTAAATCAGTGCAAGGCCCTAATTTACAAAAATTGAGACTTAATCCTAGCACCCAACCGAACAAATTATTAACATGCATTGCAATTTGAATGAAAGAACCAAATATGAATGGCAATTCTAACAAAGCAAATGGCAAATTAGACACTAAACAATTAAGGAAATACAGTGCATTACCTTTTGAATCAAGGGAGAAAGCTGAAAACCCACACCCTACCATTCCTCCCTCACCCATCCCCTCCTCACCGACTCTGTGCGTGACCTCTTAACCCTAAACAATGCATACACACATGCTTTCCGTTCTGTATCTCTCTCTGATAATTCCTCTCTCTAAAATCGCAGAAAATCCCATAGATCCTGGCACTAAACCCGTAGCTCCCATCTCTCTCCAATCTGTCAGCCTCTCTGTTTCCATCCTCTCCACTCGCTCTGTCCCCTTCCTCTCCTTTCGGCACAGCCACACCCAGTTGTGTCCCAGTGAAAAAGCAGAGGCATCGTCTTCTCTCTCCAATTTGTCAGCCGTTCTATCTCCCTCCGCTCTCTGTCCTCAAGTCAAAGGTTGAAATGCAGAGGGTGGAAATCGGGGTTAAAGAAAAAGTTGTTTAAAAGCATTTAAGTGGCAGTCTTGTAAATAAACTGAAATGTGATCCAAAATACTGTTCATATGAATAGTGCGATTTCCCCCTCCTTCTTTAGACTAAAGTAATACTTCAAACTCAATAGTTTAGAAAAAAAAAAACCAAAACGTCTTGAATCGCCCATGGTGGCTCCCATGGCGCCAAAGACGATTGCAATGCACTCATTTCCCTGGTTGACGTGTAGAGATAAAAATCGCTGGATTAAAAAAGAAAATTCCTTTCAAATCTCATGAGGTTGAAACCAAGGTAGGAACATACAACCATTGTTTAAAATATTGGTATCTGTGAAAATATCGATATGTAATATATGAAAATATTGACGGACATATCGAATATTGATGTTGATATCGGTTGCTTTCGATGGAAGTGTTGGAAATTTAAAATAAAACTTAAAGAATTGTCAAATATTGATTTGAAAAAATTATAGAGAGTTATTTCAATATTTAATAAATGTGTCATAAATACCGACGATATATATTGATTTTAGCCAAGACTTGAGAGTTTCTCCGATATGAGGTGAAGTTTTAGATTTCACCCTCCATTTCCTTATCTTTCTCTAATTTTTTGGATATTTCCATAGAAATATCGACCATTATCTTTGATCAAAACACGCATACTCATCTAAATGTTATGAATAGTTAAAAAGTGTTTGGGGATGGTTTGTTTTTGTGTCCAGAATACACAACCAGCAATCGAAAAACGGCAACGAAAAAAGAACAGCAAGCAAAGTGGGCACATCAACTCTACTGAGATGCCCATAGAAGTTTGCATTTAGAAAACCATAAGTCTCCCCTATTTCACAAGTTTATTTAAAGATCATTCGGCATGCCTTTTTGAGCTCTCAGGCATGCATGCAGAAGCACCATCATCCTAAAATCACTACCCAAATTCACTCCCCAAATTGTTCCGTCTGTCAACATCAAAGTCATCTTTACAGGTTGAAGTTCTTCCCTTTTTAGAGTACTTAAATATTTGGCAGAAACATAAGCAGTTTGAGCCAACTATTTATATCTATTCTTCTGGGTGAATCAGAAACCTCACCAGCCGGCTAAAAATGCCGTATTTCGCTTCCTCTCGGAGACAATCCCTACTTCCGTCCTCTCTCTTTTTTTTCCCTTTTTGGTCTTTTTTTATACAGAAGAAATTTTGAATAAGCTTAGGATAAGATCTCGAAAGATCAGGAATTTCTTTCTTACTTTCGATTATGCAGAAGCCCACTCGAAGTAATGGCAACGGGCGCCTCTAGTGGCGGTCCAGTTTCCACAGCCAAAGAAGAAGCTCCCTTGCTTTGGCCCTGGCTTCCGGACCATACCTTTGCTGCTCTTCACCCCACAGAAACAGAATGGGTGATGATAATGGAATACTGGAGCGCCCATCTCCTTCAGTTTCAGAGGGTGATGTGGTGGTGACATGTGCTCTGGGGATTGTTTCATTGTCAAAGGACGGTCAGCAGTCTGCCACACCAATGAGTTTGTAATGGCAAATTTGAAGCCCCTGCACATGAGAAGCGAAAGTAGGCGAGCAGTGTTTTTGGCATCATCCAGGCCACAGTGAGCACGGCCCTGCCATGCCAAGCCTGCCATTTGAACTGCCTCCTTCAGGTTGCACCTAGCACCACCGAAAACCTCACAGAAAGGGACCTTTAAGTTGATCCATCTATCAAGAGAAAATCAACATGAAAATATGAGAAATATTCTGATGTCTTTTCCGTATATATTAAACACCAAAAAATTATTGACAAAGTTTCTTATATTCACTACAGAAATAACTCCAATGAACACTAGTTTCTTTGATCTGCATTTCTTACCGGTTAAAATATGGAGGCTTTCGAATTTTCTTGAATCGGCACTCAGATTCCAACATGACCCGACAGTCCCAGTTTGACCATGTCACAACAGCAAAGTTGGTGTTTTTTATTCCCTTCTTCTCAAGCCATTTGTCATGCCTTAAAAGGGCCTCACTTATGGTAACTCCTCTATCCACCTACCAATACCCATATTCATCATCAATGAATTTAGCGGATCACAGTAAAGAAAGAAGAGAAACACTGGTAACACAATATCACAACAAAAAGTTGCAAATTCCATCACATAACATACAGTACTCAAAGAATGTGGTGATATCTAGAGACTTAGAAGATTCTAAGTTAAGAAGTACGCACAAAGCATGCCATTACAACATCAACTACAAATTAAAATATAAAAACCTCGTTTGGTATAGAGGATTGGATTGGAATGGATAACCGTCCAAATTCAATGTATTTTGAAGGTAGAAGATAATGATTTTTTCATTTTGAGGGGATTAGAAGAGGACTACGCAAGAAGAAAACTTCTCCCTTTGAATCCTCTCATTTTGGGGAGGATAGGAATGGATAACTTCTCTTCTAAAGTAAACTTTCTCCTACCTCCAAGTTAGCCACAAAATTTTTATTTCTTCTTTCAACAGACCTTGAAATAGTGGCTTATCCATTCCAAACCAATCCTTTGCACCAAACAAGGCCATAGTTTCATACAACTTCACTTTCATAACCATTTTTTCTCTTGACCAACAAAACTGGAAAACAGCTCCCACAAAATTCACTTTCATAACTCATTTTGTAGAATAGTGCTCATAGCATCAATCGCAAACTCAACCTACTCTCTATGCCAGTTACTCCATTTCAGTCCACTGCTAAGTGTATCTATAGACACGTGTAAGCAAGTACACTGCAGCTTTAGGGTGCATGTTTTCAATCATTGTCGCATCAAATCTTCCATGCGACCACAATGAGAACTATCATATATTCTATCATGAACTATATAGTCCACCACTTATATATTACATGACCTAATTGAGCCCAAGGTGATTGTGTATAAAATTTATCTTCATAGTGACCATAGGATTCAAAGTAATCAGCAATTTACCACTATCCAAATTCTTCCAGAATTGATCTACAGATTTTACACTGAATAGCAAAGTCATGCAGTGCCAATAGCATATAAGATGTATAGAGAATGGGAGCAGGATTATAGCTTATGAAATTAACTCCCCAAGGGAGGTGGGTGGATACTAAGGACAAAAAATTTCTGCTAAGCATAGGTGGAACTATTATTGACAACTTTACAGTTGACAACACTAATTGAGCCAATGAAAATCCACACACGACCAAGATTCCCATCTTTAACAGTTGCAAACATAACATTGACGTAAAACATACGATGGACCCATAAGATGATTCACCAGACCGTATCATGTTAGACAATCAGGATAATGTCAATAAATACAGCCATTAAGAAGTCTACACAGTATTTTGTTCCTATGGATAAATAAAAGCAGGCTAAGTTCAGGACAAACCTGAATTTGCTGGATTCCTGTCAGATCCTTGCAGAAATCACTTAAGAGTTGGTTGCATGTTGGTCTCACGTAAGTCTGAAAACATGCTTCCAGTTGGCCTGTCATGCTACTCACTATCACAGATGGAAACTCGATTATCTCTTGAGGAGGGGGATTTCTATCCTTATCGCAGGTAGCCTCAAAGTCTATTACCACAAAATACTGAAAGTCTTGGAACTGGAAGTCATTCGGGTAACTTTGAGCAAACATATTGAATGGAGCATAATGAAATCGATTTTCCATGGGAAAGGGATAAAACTGGCTCTCAAAAGCATTCGTCTGGCACTGTTGCACCTTTTGGGAGTCATAATGGAAGGTTGACCAGTATCCAAAATCATGATGGTAGTTAGGTTTGTTGTGACATTCAGTTGGAGGTTCAAGAAATTTGCTGCCCAATGGACGGTCTGATTCAGGAACATCCCCAACTGGATGATTACCAATTGCATCTTTAAGATTTGGAAATCCTTCAATGGGACTCCCATTACACTGGAGGTTGTACGGGAATCCCTTGTGGGGGCATTTAAAGGAAGCCTCACACTTCCTTTCCATATCTTCTGCAACAGGAAAGAAATAAAATGAGATGAAACACAAGTACCGTGTCATTGGATAACCAGCAAAAACCAACACATCAAACAACAAAGAGTAGACGAGTTTAAAGTGTTTGCAGAACACATGCAGTATTCCACCGAAATTAAAGCATCGATAACTTTATAGATGTGTTCAACATTTTTAGTGTACTTATGTAGTAGAAACAATGCACCGCTCCGAGGAAAAGAGAAACTGAAATTCATGTGTTTAAGATGCAATTGGTTAATCGGTCACCAATCATCATCAACGTCCAAGAGCACAATGTCCAATCTTTCAGAATCAGGAGAAACCTACTCCACTGAGTTCAGAATCCTTTTCAAAGGTCACATATTCAATTAGAAGTTTAGAACACAGATCCAGATATATCTCACTGCCTCAAACTCATCTACCTTTTAATTTTCGATCAAACTGTAACATGTAAAGCTGCTAGACTGGAAAACAACTTTTAGTGATATCATTACCAAATCGGTTATACTAACCCCAAGGCAGTGAGTCCGTCTCTTGGACCCAAGTTTGATTCATGCACTCCGCAAATTAGATTTTTAGATATAACTTTGTCAACAAAAAAGAGGACAAGATGAAAGTTTCATTGTTCTCTGAATTTCAAAAAGAAAAAAAAAATTCACAGCATTGGCATCTCAATTCAAAACTACAATCATGACGGAGACAATATTCTACGACATTCGTTTCCTTTTAAATTTAGAGGCTACAATCATCTAAACACTCCCAACGAGCCAGAATATTATACCACATCATCAAAAGACTTCTACTTTACCCAATTGCATCATATCAACCTAGATTAAATCATACAACGCCAAACAAACTGCTCCCAAACAATCAAAAAACACAACCAAAAAAAAAACTAAAACCCACCACAAAAACAATTAATTGCAACAAAAATCGCCACCGAAAACAAAATTCGCCAAGCACAAAGTTCACACTGAGAATTGAAGCAGTAACTGTGAGATCAAATTTCGTATAAAAATTTAAACTTTAAACGAATTTCGCATCAAAAAAAAGAAAATCGAACCGGGTTGTTCAAGGGCCATCATGATCTTGTGTAAAGTTGAGATCCACCAGCAAGTACATCAGATCTTCCTCTGCAATTCCCACCTACACCACTCCAAATAACCCCAAAAATAATAATCCGAATTAAACCCAAAATTAAATAACCCAAATTAAGCTAAAAATTAAATAAAAAATCGAGAGAGAAAGTACCTGGTTCGATTAGAGGTGGAGTTGTGAAAAAGTACGGTGGTCTGTTATATATTAGGCGCTGTTTTGAAGACGGAAAGCATCGGGCAGTTGATTGGGCCCCACGTAAGTGACAAAACGCACCGCCTTACAAACTGTCACGTGTTATTGCGCGCCCACAGATATTTTCCGTGAGTGCGTTGTAGAGGGAAAATCTGCGGTGAGTTGAGTTGATCCTGGCCGTCGGATTAGCATACTTTTTTGAGGGTCTGTGGATCGGTTTGACTTTGTTGAGAATCTGGGGGTCGTTAAAAGGTGGGACCCTCTTTTGGATAAACTATTTCTGTTTCATTCTCTAAAATTGCAATTAAAATAAACATACATTCGACTTCGACCCCCAATAATAAAAAAATGTCTCAATTTTACTAGTGAAAGAATTTGATTTTAGTCCACGAGGTTTGCGTGGAGTTTCATTTTGGTCCACGTCGTTTCAATTTTTGCGATTTTAGGCCTGTCGTTCACTAGTTGTTGAAATTCAAGAACAATACTTTTTCTTTTTTTTTATGAATAAACTCCGCAAGGAAATAAACACAAACTAGAAAATTCTTCGGGTTAATTACAAAAAACTACCTCAAGTATGGGTCAAATGACACTTTCATACCTCATCTTTTAAAATTGACAATGTCATACCTCATCTTACGAATTTGTGTCAATGTTATACCTTCCGTTAGCTTGGCCGTTTATTTCTCAGTTAAATGCTGACGTGGCATGATCTGGGACCCATTTTTATTAAAAAATTAATAAAAAAATTATTAAAAACAAAAAAAATCATTTAATATTATTTAAATATTAAAATAATAATAAAAAATTATTTAAAAAAACCATTTTTTTTTTTTTTTCTTCTTCTTCTCTCTTCTTCTTCTTCTTCTTCCCTCTTCTTCCCTCTTCTTCTTCTTCTTCTTCTGCACGGAGACAACTGGGTTTTTTTTTTTTTTTTTTTCTTCTTCTTCTTCTCTCTTCTTCTTCTTCCTCTTCTTCTTCTTCTCTTCTTCTTCTTCTTCTTCTTCTTCTTCTTCTTCACGGGACAAACTGGGTTTTTTTTTTTTTTTTTTTTTTTTTTTTTCTTCTCTCTTCTTCTGTCCCTCTTCTTCTTCTTCTTCTCTTTGCGGGTTAGGTTGGGTGGGGGAGAGAGGAGAAGAGGGAAAAGAAGAAGGGACGACGAGTGAAAGCAGAACCGCAGGAAGAAGAGAGAAGCAGAAGAAAAAAAAAAAAAAAAAAAACAAAAAAAAACAACTACACAGTGTTTCCGTGCAGAAGAAAGAAGAAGAAGAAGAGAAACAGGGAAGAAACAGGGAAGAAGAAGAAGAGAGCGAGAAGGAAGAACAAGAAAAAAAAAAAAAAAAAAAAAAACAACAACCAGTTTGTCGCAGAAGAAGAAGAAGAAAGAAGAAGAAGAAAGACAGAGGGAAGAAGAAGAAGAAGAAGAGAGAAGAGAAGAAAAAAAAAAAAAAAAAATGTTTTTTTCATAATTTTTTATTATTTTAATATTAACTAATATTAAATGATTTTTTTTGTTTTTAATAATTTTTTTATTAATTTTTTAATAAAAATGGGTCCCAGATCATGCCACGTCAGCATTTAACTGAGAAATAAACGGCCAAGCTAACGGAAGGTATAACATTGACACAAATTCGTAAGATGAGGTATGACATTGTCAATTTTAAAAGATGAGGTATGAAAGTGTCATTTGACCCAAACTTAAGGTAGTTTTTTGTCATTAACCCAAATTCTTCAGAACCAAAATAGAAGTGAAACAACACAGACGGTACAAAACTAAACCGAATTCGGCCGATCTTAGGTCTGAATCGTTATACCAACGTCGACTGAAGTTACACAGGCCAAATTGTGGTTCGGACAATCAAGATCAACTCCAGCAGTCTCTCGGAAAATGTCAACGTTAAGATGTTGAGAAGTAGGGGCAATCAGGATTCCAAATTTTGATCATTAGACTAACCAAGATTAAAAATTTGAACAGGCCAATTACGCTTCCGACCATGAGGATCAACTCCAGCAGTTTCTAAGGAAATGTCAATGTCACGATGATGGGAAGCACGAGCAATGCTTATTCGCAGATGAATCCTTGCAGCCGGACAAGCTTCAGTGCCAACTGCTGCTGATCCGTCCACGTTAGATTTTCCTGATGTCACAGCAATTGGTTCCTTAAATGTCAAAATTGTTTGCTGCCAGTGCGTTTTGGGAGTATATGGGGATGTTGACAAAACAGCCGGCATCTCTTTGCAAAACCTGCCGGTAAACCCCGTCTCAAACCACAAGACAACTCCAAAACACCAGGTTGCTTTAGATTGCAAATCAGTTAAGCTGTTAGCTGCACCGCTCAAGTTTGGTTCCAACTCAACACTTGCAGTAAAATCAACTTCATCAGGCTTCATTGTCACCAAGTCAAAGCTCTGTGAAACAAAATCAAAGGAAAATCATTGTCCACCAAATTGGAGCCACTGGTATGCTTATTCAGTTTTGGTACATATAATGTTCCATAAATTCACATGTACGATGACAATAATTAAATAATATAATTAGTATAAACGTTATATTATAAATTATAATATCATATTACTAAAACTAAATTATTAGGTGGATTTTCCCCCTTTAACGTTGTCATGTTGAGCCTAAGTCTTGTATACCTAAGTTTTGATCTATGTTTATCATGCTTTGGTCCCAGCAACTGCCATATTCTGCATCTTATTTCTTCATTTATAGTCCTATTAAGGACATGTCACAAGAGAAAATAACTGATTTGTTACATAACCATGTAACAAATTTAATACAAAAACTAAGAATGCAAACCACTTGACGGGCACTGGGACTTTGCTGCCGTTAGCAAAAAATGATTTATCGCATGCAAAAGGCGTGAATTTTGAAAGATGAATATAGATAACAAGACAAGAAAGATAAAATTGAGCATGAAGGAGTGCACAGAGAGCGACTGATCCATCACAAAGTCATGTTTAAAACCTAGACTAATTGAAGACCCGATACATTGCATATGCACATATAAATATAACACTTACATAACACCAACCTGGAGAACAGCAGCATTGGTCACTAAACAATGACCATCCACTGTATCCACAATAGGGATTTGGGCTGCACCTTCAACAAGCTCCTTGCCAACAGAAGACATGTTGAAACCATACACATTTTCCCAAAATGGAAGACTGGTAGCTGCTTTTCCAAATCCTGCAACAAACTAAGAAAAAAGGGAAATTTGAATGGAAAAAACGAAAGAACAAAGTAACCCTAAGAACAACATATGGAGACATATGTGAAGAATTGAAGAGATAAGAGGCTCGAGAAAGAACTCACAATAGTTGCCGTATCAGGAAGCATGGCACCTCCAGGTTTTAACCACCGATCCCGTGCATAAAGCACTGAACTGAGCATTGCCTCATAAAGTAGGCAGTACCCCATCCATTCACTCAGTAATACATCAACACTATGAGGTTCAATTAGTATGGATTTATCAAGCTCCTCAACCATACCTTGAACCACTTCTACTACCCCAGTGCCATGGTTAGTACTTTCACCAGGGCTCTTACTAGACAAAAGGCCATTGTCTTTTGCAATCTGCAATTAAAAAACCAATTAAGTACTTACAACAATTGAGTACTCACAACAATTAAGTACTCACAACAAACTCTGTCAGGACATGAAGAAATCCAATTAAAAAACAGGGAAAATTTACCCGAGTTGCCACTGAAGCCATTTTCTCACTTGCTTCAATTGCAATTACCTTTGAAGCACCTGCTTGGGCTGCAAAGAGACTATTAGGGGAAAACAAGATTAAGTTAGAGGAGCAATAAGTTGTTGAGTAATGGAACATTGATAATAATCAACATGATCACACTTCAGACCTTCATTGCCTGAACATAATATATAGAGACTGGCTATTTGAGAAACTGTTGTATTGTTCTTCAGCACAAGTTATGAATTCTATGCAAGAAACTCGTAAATCTCTTGCCCACATTAATGTTGAATTGATAGAGGAAATATGGTCACTAGCAACTTTTTACATACTCAGCAACCTCAAATATTTAAACTGAAACTATAGTATTTGTAAACATTTCTAGAGATAATGCAAAAAACATTTCGTATAATTTGTCTCTAGAGACACACTTTAGATTGGACACTGGGAAGATTTAAAGAATCTCAATATCAGCTACAATAGCCAACACAAATACAGGGTTTTGCAACCCATTTTCATTATTGTAAACTCATACCATACAAAACAGTTGCCTGCAAAGTCAATCACACATGTTATTAACAGAGTCGCAAAACTTTTACTTTTCAAAGATTTTTGCTTCTTTTCTCCTTTTTCTTTTTCCTCACTGTTCAAATATTTCCCAAGGAGATTGTTCAAGTAATTATTATTCCAAGTTAAAGTTTTCCTAGAGCACATCTTCAACTGATCATATCAGAGGTCTAAGTTTCTAGTCATTACTAGTGTTCAAATGCAACAAGCAATCCCGTAGTTAACAAGACTCATGGGTAATGCCGTCAAACCAAGAAAGCATTATCACCTCGATAGAACAAAGAAGCACAGAGATAAACATAACAGCCCTTGTGACAAAACCGGCATTTTGACTGAGATTAAATCCACTATGAAGTACAGAATCAGAAACCTCCAACTAATTGTTACTTCCATAAGAAAGCAACTAGCATGTCATCTCACCTTAGTATACCTGTGCCACAACCTACATCCATCACCACTGCACTCTTCAAGAGAGAGGGGTTCTTTAAAATAGCTTGTCCATAAGCATCCATTCTTACCTGCATAAATGACAATATAGGAGTCTAAATCAAACTAAAATACAAACACAAACAGGCTTTTTCATTTCAAATTTTCTTCTGCCAGGAAATACAGATTAACTTAATACCTTATCACTGAGCATCTCTCTGTGAATGCCAAATGAACTGTAAGCGCCAAAGTAGTCATTGTTAACATTCTTGATATCCTTTGAGCCATGATTTGGAATATATGCTCTTAAAAGCTGTTCTTTTTTCTTTCTATCAGCTGACCCAACATGTTCTCCTGAATCCAAACCATTGATGATCGCCTTTCCAGGAGAATTCACATTATTCAAGGGGCCATTGGATGATGAAGCAACATTTCTCCCACTTTCATTAGAGGTATCATAATCAATAGCAATCTTTGGCACATGAATATCATGATCAATGCAGATCTCTTCAAACTGCCTCAAATCACTCATAAGTTCGTCCTTGTCAACTACTGCAGCATAGTCATCTTCACCTTCTTCATCTTCACCAAAGCTATACAAGACCGAATCATCTTGCAAGAAAGGTTTTAGATACTCATCACTATCCCATCCAGGTGTAATGTCTTTGAAATTGACTGTTTCATGTAAATGATTCTGTAGATCTTGGTTGGAATGACAAGTCAGCCCACAACTCCAACATCTGTTTTCAGCAACCTGGAAACAAATGGAATCAGCAGAAAATACAAAAAATAAAAACTCCAAAATTACAGGATGATGAAAACAATTTGCTCTGCCCATTAACATTCAAATTCCCAACAGCCGAAAAAAACAAAAGGCACGCACCTAATACCAACAAATGAAGGAAAAATGAATAAACTTTTTAAAGGACTAACAATGCATTTCATACATCAATACAAATGCAGACAACTACAACAATTTGTCGTGGCCATTTCGTGTTATGCGCAGCGTAAGGATTCAAGGATTTCTCTTTTTAACCAATTTTTCATTTGTATCCTAACACCAACCAAAACAATGAATATAATTTCACATTAGATAAACAAAGTTCCATTTCCGACATCTTAGCATTGCAGCTGAAGATACTACCCGGTAAAAGCGAATTCCTCAAGTTTCGCTTACTCAAACAAATCAAAACCGAAAGCAAAAGAACTACTCAAACAACGCTAATCCAATCCAATTACTAAATTCTATCTCAAAATTTCATTCCCTTTGTTTGTCTGTCAGCTCAATGACTGACCTGAGAGCGAACGAAGTTAATGAGCTTGAAGGAGCCGTAGAAATTCAGACCCAGCGCTTTCCGAACGGCCTGAAAGTCGAAACGGTGGGTCGAAGTGCAGTGGTCGAAGAGGTCGTCGCACGAGCTGTACCTGGAGTCGCAGAACAAGCACAGCAAGTCTGAGCCCTCTTCTTCTTCTTCGTCTTCTTCTTCTGGTTCTGCATTCCAATCGTTCCAGTCTTGGAGCTCTTCGGATTCTTCGTCGCCGTCGTCTGTGAATGTGGGTTCGTATTCGGAGCCGTTCTTCGCCATGAGTAATATTGAGAGAGAAAGGGAGGAAGGAGGGTTTCTTCACTTTGAACCTTAAACCCTCTACAAACCCTAATAACTGTAATAAAAATCTGAATTGGCGATTTTGCCATCGGATTCTTCGTTTTAACGTTTACATTCCCACAAGCCTCCAGCCGGTATTATAAGTAAAAATTTCATTTTTTTTCTTCACGTGAAAATTTTAAATTTTTATATTTATAAATTTAAATAAAGAAATCAGTGTATGTCAATTTATAAATTTTGATTTTTACTTAAATTTTAAGTTTATTTTTCTTATCCAAATATAGTATAAGGGGAAAATGTCGTTTGACTTCCTAAAATATTATCGTTGTTGAAATTGATCGGCTAAATTTTTTTGATAATTAACTCTTCGAACCGTTTGAAATCACCAATTAACTGACACACCCTGACCAAAATCAAGGGGTGCAGAAATCACCAATTAAATAATATACCCCGACAAAAATCAAGACGTGCTGACCGTCACGCCTTAATTTCGGTCGGAATGTGTCATTAATCCCTCATCGTCATAATCGATAAAATTTCATCTATTTTTCCATCACATGACCACAGGTGATTCTCTTGAGGTTAAAATCATCCAGTACTTAATAAAAAAAATGAATGAAAATTCATCAAATCTGAAGGTAATGGGTAATTATCTAATTTAAATATAAATCTTCCAAAATCTTACAAAATTATAAAGTTCCTTAAAATTCTTTAAAATCTGTCACATAAAACAGTCCATTAAAACCCTGTTAAATCCAAATTTACTGCGCCGTTAAATTTGAGTGAGCAATCGATTCATATTTCATTTCGGGTTACGTAATTGAGGTGGCAAAGCCGACAATGGTGGCAAGTTCAGTTCAAAAAGAAAAAGACCCGCTAGGGTTTTGAATTCTACCACAGAAGTTATTCACCATCGACATCGTAGCATGATTTCGCTCTGCAATTTGAAGAGCCTTCGATTGGGGTTTTCAATATTTTCTTCTACATTTGCTTCCAAAGATCTAAAAACCTCACATTTCCCTCTTCAAATTCAGCTACTTTGCAGACAATTCAGGTCAGAAATCTCTGAAAACCACCATGATTTCACAGTCAATTACCTCATAAACTCATGTGGGTTGGCCCCGGAAAATGCAATTTCCGCCTCCAAGACGATCAAGTTGCAGTCCCCAGAAAGAGCGGACTCCGTATTGGCCCTTCTGGGAAGCCATGGATTCTCCCAAACCCAGATCTCGAAGCTCGTCAGGTCACGCCCTCAGTTCCTTTTAGCCGATCCTGATCAAACCCTTTTGCCAAAGCTCGAGTTTTTCAGCTCCATTGGAGTTTCGAGGGAGGACGTTGCCAGAATTGTGGCTTATAGCCCAAATCTTTTGGTGTTGAGCTTGCGGAAACGGATTGTACCGACTTATGAGTTTCTGAGGAGTATGCTTTCGGAGAAAAATGCGGCTTCTGTTGTCAAGCGCGGTACCTGGATTTTCTTGGAAGGACACTCGAAGAATGTGGAGCCGAACATTGGGATTTTGAGAGAATCAGGTATGCCCCAGTCATGCATTTCTCTGTTGCTTGCTAGATTTCCCCGTGAATTGATGTGGAAGACTGAAAAGTTTGGAGAAGTAGTGGATGTGGTTAAGCAAATGGGTTTTAATCTCGAAAAATCTACTTCAGCTGTTGCAATAAGCACATTGTGCGGGCACAATGGTAAGTCGAGATGGGATCAAAACCTTGAAGTTTATAAGAGGTGGGGTTGGTCTGAGGATGATGTTCTCTCTGCTTTCAGGCGGTTCCCGCAGTGTATGACTAAGTCGGAGAAGAAAATAGCGCAAGTAATGGAATTGTTAGTGAACAAGATGGGATGGCCGTCAAGAATGGTTGCCAAGTACCCGGTGGTCATGGGTTTGAGTTTGGAGAAGAGAATTATCCCGAGGTGTAAGGTTGTAAAAGTTTTGCTGTTGAAGGGATTGGTAAATATTGAAAACTTGAGTCTGAATGTCGTGTTAAAATCTGTGGAAAAGAAGTTCTTGGAGAGTTTTGTGACCAGATATCTCCACCAAGTACCTCAAATTGTGAGTGTGTATCATGGAAATGTTGATATCCAGGATGTGTAATCTCCCTTCATATTTTGCTGCAGCAAATTCACTTGGTTGCCAGTGGCTGAAAATATAAATTCGTTGGTTTATCTTCTGCTTCTCCAATGCCTAGCAGTAGCTGCTTTAATTGTACATATATTAGAACACTGAACACCAACTTGATATTGGCCTGATCTCCCTGATGCCACCAATTTACAGTTAATGGTGCTGCATGGCTTTTGACAGGATGCACAAAGTCTTGCTTCTAATATATTCAACAGAGGAGTGAAAGGGACCTTTTCTTTTTTGGGTCTATTGTTCAAATCAAAAGAAACAAAAATGCGAGCACGCCCGCATACATATCAGTTCTCATGGCAGTTGATGGGGTATGTAATGAAGAGACATTTCTTATATCTTTTATATCCGTGGATGAATGAATCTATTAGAAAACATTTGAAGACTTTCTGATCAAAAGAGAGAAGTTTGCCTTTACAATTGTACTTGTTTATTGTTTCAACTCTCTAATTAATTCCTGTTCAATAAACAAAAGGGTAATATTTATTTTTCCATAAATATGAAGAGAGCTACAGGTCATGAGAAATAAGTGCTTATATGATATTCCTGCTGTTATTAGTTAGTGCAAGCTTGTGAAAGGAAGTCCAAACTGAACCGCCAAGAAGAAAAATGGAGCACTTCATAAGAAAAGTTAGTTTATACAACATTAATTACACTTACAGGGTTTAATGTTAACCCTTAGAATACGCTGTACTTACAATTTGAGAAGATTAAAACACTTAGTAAGCTCCTTGTTGTTCAGGAGCACATGATGCTGGATTTGTAGGAATTGAAGGTTTTCTTCATGTCTCTGCTGCGAGTAACAACACAGTTCACCCTAATTGTTTTGGAGGAAAAAACTTTGGTGTTTGGTTTTTGAAGTGGATGGGGTGGAATAAAGTTTGTATTCATTTTGCATTGCAAAGATCTCTTTGCCTTTTCTCCTTGCATGACCACATTGTCATTTCTTTTGCTTTCCTCGTACAATCGTGTCTACTCTTTACTTAGCAGATTCTCATATATGTTAAGTATTGTATTCATACGTTTGTATAGCACATCCAAGCTCGTCATAAATTACACACCAATTACTCTGTGATTCAGATGTGGATTTTCTGCAGCTCTTTTTTGATTTCTTGCATTAGTGTGAATCTGTGACGATGGATTAGTGGGTTCTGTCTAACTGACATGTGATATTGCATATCAGTACTTTGCCCTTCAGTTTGATGGACAGAATTTTTCGCCTTGAATTTCAACTGGATGTCCATCTATTCTTATGTACATCTAACTTTGTCACATATCACATTGTGTGGTACGAGTACCAGTAGCTTCTACATTTGACTTGTGGTACTTGCTGTATTAAATTCATCATGACTGCATTTGAAGAATTCTATATAAGGGTGAGTTTCCTTCCCAAATCTGGAAAGTGCCAATAATTTGAGTGTCTTTTGGGCCACAACTTAAAGGTTGTGTTACGTGAGGGATTTGCAAGTACCTAAAGATATAGGCTAAATATAGTTAGAAATGGACAATAAAATATTAGATGGAGGACTATGAAATGTGCTACATGATCATTGCTAAGACATTTGTAAAACCCTCTCAAGTAGTCATTTGCATCTTAATGCATTGTATCTACTCATTTCAAATCCCTCCATATAATCTTTTGCAGTCCATTTCTAGTTATATTTAGCTCAAATCCCTTATCTAAACATAGCCAAAAGGTCATGAAGATGGAGCAGAAATAAAGGTGAACATCATTTGCTTGATACATTATGTCACATCCCGGCCCAGGCGGGACCATTTTCCGGGCTCACTTCATCACCGTAGCACGATATTATCCGCTTTGGGCCGCGACCACGCCCTTACGGTTTTGTTTCTGGGAACTCACACGAGAACTTCTCGATGGGTCACCCATCCTGGGAGTGCTCTCGCGCGCTACTTGCTTAACTTCGGAGTCTCCATGGAACCCGAAGCCAGTGAGCTCCCAAAAGGCCTCATGCTAGGTAGAAATGAGAATATACATATAAGGATCACTCCCCTAGGCGATGTGGGATGTCACAATCCACCCCCCTTAGGGGCCCGACATCTTCGTCGGCACATCACAGCCAGGATTAGGCTCTAATACCAAATTGTCACATCCCGGCCCAGGCAGGACCACTTCCCGGGCCCGCTCCACCATCGTAACACGATATTGTCCGCCTTGGCCTCGACCATGCCCTCACGGTTTTGTTTCTGGGAACTCACACGAGAACTTCCCGATGGGTTACCCATCCTGGGAGTGCTCTCGCGCGCTACTTGCTTAACTTTGGAGTTCCCATGGAACCTGAAGCCAGTGAGTTCCTAAAATGTCTCATGCTAGGTAAAGATGGGAATATACATATAAGGATCATTCCCCTGGACGATGTGGGATTTCACACATTATTTTATAATACGTATTAGTTTGCTTTTGTATGGTGCTCTGAGCCTGTATTGACAAGGCTATCTACTTGCAGGTGAGGGTAGCATGCGCATAACTAGGCCACAGAATACGAGGGAATCCTTGTCTATTGGTAACTGGTATGCCGTTGTTATACTTGTAAACATAGACATGGATTCAAGTCTTAAATAATTATCTTCATGATAGAGGGATGCCAAAGGGGATTAGGGTAACATACATCTCAGATGTAGCTTTTGAAAGGGTGGCTGGCATTCCTAGAGTCCTAGTTCCGACAACTCAATTCAGCATTCTAGAACTGCATTCGGGTGACCAAAATTCATTTTCATCCCTTTGAAAATAGTACGTTTAGCAAATAGTTCCCAGATCTTCAGTGTCAACAAAAAAGCAAAAGAAAGAACGCGTGATTAAAACGCTTATATATATAGGTGTAGATATATAGCTGTGTGCCTGTGTATAGCACATTGAATGAGATCTTTATTTAGAATTGTGGGAGTAGGGAAAGATGATCCGTATGTCCAAGCTTTCAAAAAACCAGTTTAATATTACAAATTAGATGATTAAGGAAGCAGAAGAGTTATATTTAATTTAAGCATTGAAAGTCTTCACTACTTAACAACTATAGAACGTTAAAACTTCAGAAAAATGGAATCTGAAAGCAACAAGCGAAAGCCACAGCTGAACATGTGTGTCTAGTTATTTAATATTATACCACATCCTGCCTGGACAGTTCTCACCCAAACGGAAACCACTCAGAAGATGTTCCTTTTCACTACACCTGGAGTTGGATGTTTTCTTGTTTTATATGAGTAAAAATAAAATTTAAAGGGGAGGAGGTGTTCAAGTTAGACAAGTTTGAAGGTTATATATTTAGTTGATTTCAGTTCTCTACGTGAACACCTTAACTGTAAGTTCTCAAATATGTCGTTATAAATTTCATTAAAGAATTAGTTAGAGTCATCTCATTCAGTCACGCCTTTTAGAGTATATTTAATGCATGCAAATTAGCCTACGAAAAGTGTTATTAAGCCCTAAATGACAAAATTCAATTTCTAACGCGACGTATTAAGCCCAGGCTAAACTTGCCCAGGGCTCTTTGAGCGGCCAGTTTAGCCTCGGCTCTTGCCCAAGGCTCTTGAAGAGCCAACTTAGGAAGAAACCTGGTGCCAATGAAAACTAGCCACCTAAGCCAACTTAGGAAGAAACCTGTAGCCAATGAAAACTAGCCACCTAACACATTTTAGCCCCTAGCCTCTAATACCATTAGAACAACAAAGTTTTGAGAGGGCTGGATTTCAAGAATAATGACATTTTGAGAGTCCAAATAAAGCCTCTTGCCCCTAGCCCTTGCCTTTGCCAGTAGACTTGCTCTAAATCTTGGATTGATATCATCAATTGTTTTTTTACATGGGAAGTTTTATTGACACTCTAAAAATCTCATTCTACACTCTTCACAAGTGTAATTTTCTTTCCAAATATAGAAAGTTAGGAGTGTAGAATGAGAATTTTGGAGTGCTAATAACAATTCCCTTTTACATATTCAAACTCTTGCTTTCCAGGAATCCGAACGAGTGGGAATGAAATGATGAGAAATTGACATTTATGGCATATTTGTAAGTTTATACCTTATGCACTGGTGAATTGTTTATATTTTTTTGGGGTATTTCTTTAGTCTGTCTGTGACCCTCTGTTGCTTGAACGTTTGAAACTATATATCTAAAGAAATGATGATGTTGCATGCTTACACCTGTAATCTCACAAGGGTATATCCCTGGTATATTATCCTTCAATTATGCATATGATTATTCGTTTTATATCTAATTGTTAGGCTGTATGATTTTGTTTATTACTGGTTTGGAATGTAGGTTTTAGTTAACGCCTTTGGCAGCTTAAGCTTTTGGAATTAGTGGTAATCAGCTGACAAAATCTATCACGATATACTCTATGAAAATCTTCAATATTATATTTTTAAAGCAACATAAAATGGTTATATTATCATGCAAATTGACAGTCTGACAACATAAGGATGTGTGTGGATAGGCAAGTCTGGCGAAGTGAGATACACACCTGGCATCTTGCGTCTGGTTCTATCGTCTAAGGGAAATCGTCCCAATGTTTAGAGAATATATACTTTGATACTATACGCGAAGTATTTCTAATTGATCGTGATAGTATTGTTTACGTTATATCTTGATGAAATAAGAATGAGAATATATATTTTGATACTTTCTGTGAAGCATTTCTGTGAAATTGCTCAATCGTGTCTTTCCTTGAAGTAAGTCCGGAGGGAGCAACTTCTACCGCTAATTCAGGCTAAACTCGATCACTAGACAAGCCGCAAATTTTCTTGTGAGAATCAAATCAACCAAATCTAGTTGGTTTCATGCTTTTAATCCTCATTTGTGCATTTGAATTTGAATAAATTGCAATTGATTGTGTCTTTATCTCTTCACTTTGTACCTTATTCTAGTCATGATGGACTTTCTTGCGTTACAAGTAATACCAAACCTATGAGAATTTGGCTTCCAATTGCGATTCTACTTTTAAGTTCGAACAATCATATTCCTAATTTTTTTTTTTAAAAAAAAAATTTCTACATTTGATTGTATGTGGATTGACTAAATTTTATTGGCCTCAAACCACCTACTAGTGTTCGTTTTTTGCACGACAAAATTACACCTGCCAGAATTTTGAGTGATTATTTCATTTTTCTATTCTAACACATATGATGTTGAGGGGAGGCGTATTCACATATAGAACCTCGAGTGCACATATGCATGCTCAAAACTGCTTGAGTGCTAAGCTCCCTTACAAGTAGTGTTTATTTTATTTTAGTTTTTTAACAAACGATATTATTTATACTAAAGGAAATAGAGTATATTTAATCTCATAATGAGCTAGTAATAATGTGGTTCGAATTCACTTTTGGTGAAAATCGAACCTAAATCTTTTCACTTACAAATGAAGAGAAATACTATTAGATCGTAGTACTAAGTGACAAGTATTTATTTTATTAGTAATTAGTTGATAAGCAATTCAAGATCACTGGTCAAACATACACAAATTCAACCCATCAATATTTTATAATTGCACGTCATTAGATGAAATAAAATTATGCTGATTTGGTGGACCATAGTGTGGCTTGGATCACATGAAAGTCAAAGTCAATTTATTTTTTTATTCAAAAAATTGGTAGTGTTTATTGTCGTACCCCAAAAAAAAGGAGAGAAATTATTTCAACTGACCACACAGCAAACAGAGGATTATTTAAGGCTTTTTAGTCAAAAATGATTTTTGAAATTGATATAACTTCTCATTTTAGTTCATGATAATGAAAATGGATAGCAGTGATCCTAAGTTTGTCCGCCGTAAATCATTTTAATTATTTCGTGAAAAATCTGTCAATGTACTTGTTAAGTGAAGAGGTTGGTTTGACAATTTTACCCTTAAAAAAGTGATCACGTAGTCGTTCACGTGATAATTTATTAAGGATATTGACAAATTTTTCATGGATGACCAAAATAATTTATGGTGGACAAACTCAGAACCCGCTTCTTTTCATTTTCAAGAACTAAAGTGGAGAGATGCCAATCTCATAGTTAATTTTGACTAAAAAACCGGTTTTTTTTTATTTATGATAGTGATGCAAATGAAAGTTTTGATTCACGATTGAGTACGCACTTATTAATTATTATATAAATGGCCATTGTTCTTGATCATCCATGGTCATGAGAACCTCTACATCCCACTCTCCACTGCAAATTCACAAAGGTTCAAATCTCTTTTTGATCAGCAGTTTGTTGATACTTGATACTTTGTCGAGTTTTTACTTTTTGTGATATTTGATCGATATTTTGTTGATATTTTTTTCGCTTTTTGGTGCATGACATCAGTTTATGATTGAAGAAATGATTTGCTAACCATTTTCCTTTTCTTTTTTTTTTCTTTCTTTTTTTATTTTATTTTTGCAGTGGACATTTTCTGTAATTAATTAGCAACAGTTAGAAGATTTATCCATGGCCAGGAATCAACAAGCTGCAGTGCTTAATGCACTTGATGTTGCCAAGACGCAGTGGTACCATTTCACAGCAATCATCATAGCCGGAATGGGATTTTTCACAGATGCCTATGATCTCTTCTCCATCTCCTACGTCACCAAACTCCTCGGTCGTATCTACTACACCAAACAAGGAGCAAAGAAGCCCGGCACGCTGCCTCCCAACGTGTCCGCAGCTGTTAACGGTGTCGCCCTATGCGGCACTTTAGTCGGACAACTCTGCTTCGGCTGGCTTGGTGACAAGTTAGGCAGAAAAAGAGTTTATGGTATAACACTCATGCTGATGGTGTTGAGCTGTATTGCATCGGGGCTCTCTTTTGGGTCTAAGCCGGAAGGTGTCATGGCAACGCTTTGTTTCTTTAGATTCTGGCTTGGTTTCGGCATTGGTGGCGACTATCCCCTTTCAGCTACGATCATGTCCGAATACGCTAACAAAAAGACTCGCGGGGCTTTCATAGCTGCTGTGTTTGCCATGCAGGGATTTGGGATTCTGACAGCTGGGATTGTCTCTATAATTGTTTCGAGCGCGTTTGATCACGCATACAAGGCACCCCCTTACTCAGTCGATCCAAATGCTTCTCTTGTTCCTCAAGCAGATTATGTTTGGCGTATCGTTTTGATGTTTGGAGCTGTCCCTGCTGTTCTTACTTATTTCTGGCGAATGAAAATGCCTGAGACAGCTCGGTACACTGCCCTTGTTGCCAATAACGCAAAACAAGCCGCATCGGATATGTCCAAGGTTCTACAAGTTAATCTCGAATCAGAAGACGTTCAAATCATGGAAGATCCAGATAGTAAAGCATTTGGCTTGTTCACGAAGGAGTTTGCTCGCCGACACGGGCTTCACCTCCTTGGTACCACCACTACTTGGTTCTTATTTGACATTGCGTACTACAGCCAAAACCTTTTCCAAAAGGACATATTCAGCACAATCGGGTGGCTTCCAGCAGCAGAAACCATGAACGCCATTGAAGAGCTCTATAAAATTGCAAGGGCACAAACACTAATAGCATTGTGCAGTCTTGTTCCAGGGTACTGGTTTACGGTGGCCTTCATCGATCGTATTGGAAGGTTTCCGATCCAACTAATGGGTTTCTTTTTCATGACAGTGTTCATGTTTGCCCTTGCAATTCCTTACCATCACTGGACTTTGAAACCGAACAGAATAGGGTTCGTGGTATTGTACTCCCTTACGTTTTTCTTCTCCAACTTTGGACCCAATGCCACTACCTTCACTGTGCCAGCAGAAATCTTCCCAGCAAGGTTGAGGTCTACTTGTCATGGAATATCAGCTGCAGCAGGAAAGGCCGGAGCTATAGTAGGCGCCTTCGGGTTCTTATACGCTGCACAAAGCACGAACCCGGCGGAGGCAGACGCAGGGTACCCGCCTGGTATCGGTATGAAGAATTCTCTTATTATGCTTGCCGTCATCAACTTCTTTGGCATGCTGTTTACACTGTTAGTGCCTGAACCAAATGGAAAATCACTCGAGGAGATGAGTGGTGAGACTGAGGAGTAAGGGCTCGTTTGATATTGTAGTGCTTTTAAAGAAAAATTGTTTCTCTATTGTGAGAATAAACAACTATGAAATAAAGCAATTGAGTGGTAAACTCTAGTTATAAAAGTTCTTTCAGCAAAAACCACAGCGTCCGAGAATTTGGTAATTTTTTATATAAAATTGTTGTGAATTCAATAATAGAAAGTCTTCATATCTCTGTGTTCCTATGTAGTGAACAGCCCCTGAAGTTTTGAGTAATATCACTCATATGCGCAACCTTAACTTACTAATAAAATTATTTGTGCTACATTTATTGAATACATCTATAAGGGCGTGTCACTCAGGTGGAAGGCGGCGGCCCCGTTCAAGCTGTGCTGGCCGTGGCGCCTCGGAATACAAGGGAGGATTTGTAGTTGGGCGTCAAGGATAGCGGCTATGGTTGCTACCACCTTAGTAGATTTCTTTTGAAAAAACAAAACATGAATTAAAGATTAAAAAAAAAAATTGAAGACTATTTCGAATTCCTAAGAAATAACGCAGAGGTTTTCAGCAAATTAAAGAAATCTAAACAAGTTTGAACCAAAAAAAAAAAAAAAAAATCTAAACAGGTGGTTTATATTTGGTTCTAAAACAGGCCATTTATTCATAAACATATATCTTCTCGAAATATTAGTCGTTATATTTGTATTTTGAGATGTTGATTTCCGTAATAACTGATAATTTAAACCTTGCATGCAACTCACTTGCACCTCCAGAAAATTTGGAGGAAAAAAGGATTTGGCACTTTCTTTAAAATCCAAGTTCAAAGGTAGAGTTTGGTTTAAAAAAAAAAAAAAAGTGTGGTCATCCTAAATCAAATTAAGAAAGAAATCAAAGGGAGTTTTTAAAATATGATGCTTAGTTCAACTTCAGAATATTTAGTTTGGGCTGGTATTTGCAAAGAAATTGTTATCAGTGTTGATGGTCACAAACGTATTTTCATTTACGCAAAACGGCATATAGCTGTTGGTGAAGAAATTACTTACAATTATAAGTTTCCTTTGGAGGAGAAGAAGATTCCTTGCAACTGTGGTTCGAAAAAGTAAGATCTGTCTTTACAGGATCTTCTTTGTGTTTCCACAAGAAAAATATTATTATTTCATTTTATCTTCATAAAATTTGTTTCAAAACGCCCTGGAGAACGACCTATGGTTATGTATACTACTAAGAATCATATCTTTTATTCAGGTGTCGTGGATCATTGAATTAGGAAGGCGTTTGAGTTCGCTGGTAAATAATATACACAATTCTTCCTTCAATGAAGTTTTGTAATTGGATTCTGTTCATGCTAATTATCATTCAATGTTTTGCAGGCTATGCATTGAGTTATGTCTTGCATGTTGTTGGCGTTGCAGTATACTTTCTCAGAGGTATGTTTTGCTTTTTTTTTTGGGTAAAATTGGGGGTCAAAAGACCCAAGAAAAACAACTAACTATTAACAAAACGGGTATGAGGAAACCCAACAGCATCCTCAAAGATCAACCTATCCACAAGAGGAGGAGGCTCATAAAAAACATGAAGACCAATGTCAAACCTATGGCCTAAATCTGCCATACCATCAGCCACTCTATTCTTCTCACGATAAACATGAGAAATCGAGCAAATCGAATCCCTGCTCAATAACTCCCAGCAAGAAGTAATGAGATGAGCAAGAGGGTGCATAGAGGAATTAAAATCCATTACTAAAGTAACAGCCACATCGGAGTCCAATTCAACAAGCACTTTTCTATAACCCAATCTCCAAGCAAGAGACAGACCATGAAAAAGACCCCATAACTCAGCATTAAGCACACTCCCCACACCAATATTTATAGTGAAACCAACAATCCACACACCTGCAGCAGCACGTAAAATCCCACCAGCACTAGAGCACCCCTTGCCACTCTTCATACTGCCATCTACATTCAACTTGACATAATAGGAGGAGGAGGATCCCAGGCTAAAAAAATCCTACTCTTCACAGGCTTAGCACCAAAATTTTGCACGTCAAACCACTCTTTAGCAGCTTTAAAAATGAAAATCTAAGGTTGACTTGGGTAAATGAAATCAGACGCCAAAATGCTTAAATTCCTCCATTTCCATAACCACCAACAAGCAAAGGCAAAAACACCTCATCAAGGCAGATTATGGCAGAGCAATCTTCTCGAAAAAAGATTGACTCTCATCCAATCATGAAAGTCAATATCAACCGAGGACAAAACAATTGAATGCATACCCAATTGATTCCACACTAACTTTGCACGATCACACCATCGAAGAATATGATCAATAGATTCAACACAACCATCACAAAAGTCACAATAGGAATTATCAGTTAGGTATGTTTTGCTTTTAATCGTCAATTTCTTGTACTTCATTGCAGCTCTTGTCATGCATAAAGTGATGTTGCACTAAGTTTCAGTTTTCTGGCTCGTGTTTTTCGTGAATGCATCTTTTAAGGCCTGATGATTGGAATTCGTTCCTTTTATTTTGCCCCCTTGTATGGATTGTATTTATACATTTGGGGCATTATTACTTAAGGATGATTCAATAACCACATACGGTCCTTAAAAAGGAACCGGGATGCTTGAGAGATCGTTTTTTAAAATATCATATTTGTAGGCAGCTTGCATTCAGCATGTAATAATATTGGTTTAATGTTTGATTGTGCTTTCTAAAAGTCATGCAATCTTGTGTTGATTTAGTTTGGTATGCTTGAAGGAGCTGGGGTGGTTTCTTCACATCACGATACAAAATATTCTCCTTGGCATGCTGGATGAGTATACGCGGGATGTTGTACATAGGAAGACGGATAAGTCACAAAGCCCTTCGGCTGGGTTTGGCATCAACTGTATGTTTCTGAATCGTAAACTCGTTCAACTGATGAAGCATGCGTAACGGGAATTGATGCAAAGTTTGATATTCTTTCAGGTTATGAACCGAGGTTGACATCAAAGATCGAGAAATGTGACCATCGTGAACATTACACAAATGAGATTTTGGCCGCTTGTCAAAGATGTACACACGACCCATGTGCATTCTTGTAGGTTTCGCGATGTTGCAGCTGAGTTTCTCCCCTTTAGAAACTGTAAATCAGTTAAATGTTTTACTGCATATACATATCAAATTTTGGAACATAAAATATTGTATAAACATGGGAATGTTGTCGACGACTTCAAGGATCTTGCATTATTTTTTGCTGATTGGAGAAGTTGTTCTATGAGCGTAGGAATGTTGTCGATAACGTTCCCATAAGAATGGTTTACCTCTTGGTAATTTTTAGTTGCAGAGTGTTGGAGTGTAAGGAGGGAAGGTGCCACTAGAACTCGAATTTACTGAGATTTAAAGGAAGCGTTTGATAATATTTATTGAGAGTTACTGAAAAATACGTGATAATCTAGCTATTTGGTTTGTAGTTTTGACAAACGTATAAATTATGTGTAAGTTGTTCTTCCCTTTTATTTATTTAATTTACTTTAAATTTTTTTTTTTTCTTTCTTTCATTTGTTGTTATTTTTTTCTGTGGTTGCAGGAATATTAGGATAATCAAAACTTTCGCAGCTGGGCGGAGGTCATTTGTGCCCCCTGGTATGTATATCTTTACTTGTGTTGTTTCAGTTCTTTTTGGGTTAACATTTGAGCCAGCCGATAAAAAAAGTGGCAGTAGTGTGACATTAGAATAAATTTTGATGAAAATCTAACAATTAAATAGAAAGGCTAAGCACAATTTGCATCATGGAGGTTTGGCCATGAGTTTCGACTTTTTGACGTTAAACCTCAACCGTTTCATTTGTCCAATTTACACCTTTTGTTCAATTGATTGTTTGGTCAACTATTAACTAATTATGTGTCAGAGTTGAACTCACCCTCGAACACACTAAGCGTGCTGCAGTAAACACATTGAGCACATTTTGATGGTGAGTCCTGCACTTCCACGTCATTGGTTAAAGCCGGTCAATCTAACAAAAAGTATAATTTGGTTAAGGGAAAAAAGTCGGGGTGGAATATGAAAAAATTGGAACCTCATGATCCATTTTGAAGCCGACTATAAACCTCTGATGTGAAATGTACTTTGCCCTAAAAATATCAAACCAAATCAATGAACAACGATATTATTTAAATGAAGGGTTATAAATATTTTTGAGTAATGCTAGGGAGAGCATATGTGTATCACATTGTTGTCCCATTTTATGTGGTAACTGGTTAGTGATGCATACAGTCATTAGTTGACGTGGTATGTACACATTATTTGCCACATCAAATGATACATTAGTGCGGTATAAAAATGTGGTCTCTCAAACAATTTCCATACATTTTTTTATCCATGTATTTTGATTGGATTTCGTTTTGGTCCTGTACTCCTGTATTATAATCCTTTGTCAATCTTGGTTTTCGGTTTCTGTGAAACGAGCTTTAAATTTTAAAGGGTTAAATACACAGTTGTTCCTTGCTTTTGTATTTCTCTCGTCTTTAAGCTCTTGCATGATTGCACAGAAACGCGAATTTGAAGGAAATGATCAAGGTTGTTAACAGATTAAAATACTTGAAAAATATGAACCGAAATTGATATCTCAATACAACACGTGACAAAAAATGTCTGTAATCCTCAAACCAACACTCTGGTTGTGTGTGGCATACAAGAACAATAACGAAATGGTGGGATTTTCTGAAATCAAACTTGTAATTTCACTAGGGCTTTTGCTAAAAACAAACTTTCAATTTCGGCACCATGAGTTGTGTAAACTTGCACGTCGTGCTTGTAATGAGTCGAATGAAGGTTAAATTGTGCAAATCGCCTTTATGGTGTCAGTCCCGTGCTAATGCAGATGCTATGAAAAAACTTGTCATAACATACTTTTGATTCGAATTGGAGTGAATTTTGGATAACACGTCTTTTTTTTTTGGTGAGACGATGTTAGCAAGGATCATGATCGCAAAGGATACATGGTGAATTTTAGCCGCCGGTTGAATGGCATTGGCCAAAAAGCAAGATTGGGGAAATGACAAGGCCGAAGAAGCATTGAGAACAATTTCTTTACGTCCTTGGATTTTATGCATAAATGTACAGAAGCTGCCTCGACACATATCAACTCCGCCTGTGTCTTAATGTTTGTTAGGCACAGCCGGTCCCAAGCCCGGATAAAGGAGGGTTGTCAAGATCTTTGGTATGTGTAATGCCGCGGGAGATTGAAATGTTTCTTTCCGTTGATGTATGTGAGTTTCGTATGCATTATTTAGTCAAGATTCAGAGTGCCCACCAATCTTAGTGGTGCTCTCTAAGTTAACATGTGGTGCTTAAAACTGGATTGGATTGGACTGGATAATTCATTAGGATTATAGTTTTTTTTTTTTTAATGCAAGGAACGATTCCTCCTTATGCTACAAGTTGAATTTAGCGCTCTTATTTGCGAGTGGAGAAGAATATGTTTGAGACAATGGGTTGGTTTTTTTTTTTTTTTTAGTACATCGATATTTTTACACTAAGGAGAGGGGGAGTGCGGCAAAGGCACATAATGAACAGCCTAAGTTGGTATGAAATTCACCATTCACAAGATTCGAATCTAAAATCTCTCACTTTCAAGTGTAAAGAAATACCATCAGACATTGAGTGGTAATGGGTTGGCTTTTTTAAATTGGGAAGAAATCCATTCCTTTGTTTATGGTCATGAATTATGGTGTTGAATGTTTCATTATTTTGTTTAAAAAAGAGAGAAAATCTTAATGTATGTTATGCACAAAGCAAATGGAATTGAAATGACTCTTTCCTTAACTTATTTCAAATTGTTTTGAATGTGATAATTGAAAAAGGTTGACAAGGTAGAATCCCTTTCAATTAGGTAATTATTCCTTGAATGGATCTCCCGAATTTACTAATAGCATCCGTAACGAAATTAACTCGTGTTTTTTCACATCTTAATTGGATTACTTCATGTCATTGAGGGTGAGATTGATGGTGAGTGTAGCGAGTAGGGCTACGTCTAAAGTTCGATACTCATATCATATGTAACTAAAATCAAAAGAATTTTCATTAATTTATATTATATAACCAATTAGTCAGTCAAAATTTTGGCAACATAATTAAGTTTTTAGTTAAACTTCTAACCTAAGAAAGGCCAAGTACATTTCACGCCATCTAGGTTTATGGTCCTTTTTATAATGGACCATGAGGTTCTAATTTCACACTACCAGTTCACATTTTCACATTCTACGGATTTACATCTTTTTCAAAAAAAGAAAGTTATTTTATGTCTCCCGTTTCTCTCATTGCACTCCTTTTTATCTATTTATAGTATTTATCGAACTCAAAACATATATAGCATGTCATCGTTATTCAAAAGTCGAACTTGAGATCTTTCACTTGCTAGTAAAAAAAAGATCACTAAGTCGTATGTTAGTTGGTACGTAATTAGTTATTACAATGTTGATAGTTACTTGAGATAATTTAGTAACGTTGAGTGAACATCATTAGTAAAATGCTGCTAATTATTTTTATTTTTTTTAATAAATGATATTATCCACACTAAGGGAGAATGCTGAGTTTAGCCTCACAATAGGCTAGCAATAATGTGTTCAAATTCGCTCATGGTGAGAATCAAATTTAAAACCTTTCACTTGCAAATAAAGAAGAATACCACTAAACCGTAATAAGTTACGCTAATTACTTTTATTTTACTTAACCAGACGGATCTACTTAATAAGAAATAAGTGAATAAAGTGAGCAGAAAAGGTTAAAATACAAAATTAAATGATTAAAGAAGACTTTTGAGATCCAAATCTCACCAACAGGGATTTTTCGTCGCCTTCAGAACCCGTTGCCTGGACTTCCGCTTCAAGCTTTACCCAAACCCAACTCAACACCGAGCAAAACTACGCCGTTTCACTTCCCTTCCTCTCAGCTCCGCCTTGGACTCTCTCTCACTCACTCAAACAAACTCAATGCTCTAATCAGTGTTTGGTTGCTGAGAAAATTGAGGTATGAAAATGGAGTTTCTTCCTCAAGTTCGATTACTTCTTCTCTCATTTTCTTGCTTGCCAAACAGAGCAAAGTACGCAACTTTGCACTATGCTTGAGCTTTCTTGTTTTTGTGGTTTTTTTTTTATCACAGGTATAATAATTGGAGTCGCTTCGTGATGGACGAGTAAGTGCTAAGCTTTACTAATTAATTTTTGGAAATGTATATTTTTTATTCTTTAATTTAGCTGCATTCAATAGAAATGAACTTCAATTTGATGATCGAATGCAGGGAAAATGCGGTGGAGCTTTTACAGCGGTTTCGCCGCGACAGGCGCCTACTTCTTGATTTTATACTTGCGGGTAGCTTGATTAAGAAGGTTATAATGCCTCCCGGTGCGGTTACGCTGGATGATGTGGATCTAGACCAAGTCAGTGTTGATTATGTGCTCAACTGTGCTAAGAAAGGTGGTTTCTTGCGTTTATTTATTGTCCATTTTTCGAGTTGGAGTTTCTTTGTTTGCACACACTGACTGTTTTTGACAATGTAGGTGGAATGCTTGAACTTTCGGAAGCTATTAGAGACTACCATGACCATACTGGGTTGCCCCAAATGGTATGTGCAATTCATGACATGATTTAGTGAGTTATTTTGTTTGGATTAGCGGATATTTTTCCTTTTCAGCTTTAGAATTTGAATCTGGTTGTAAATTTGGTAATGTGGATTGCAATTAAGACCCATCATGCATATATAATTCCTATTTAAATGGTCTTCTGTAGCTCCTCCACTTTTACTCCTCTTTTTTGGGTTGCGGTTAAATACATAACTTATATATTAGTTTGTTTTCTTTTGTAATTTGGATTAGGATATTCACAAAACATTTCATTCCTAATCAGTAATCTTCTGCTTATTGTCATGTTCATTTCCTCCATTTTTTTATTTGCTTATTTATATGTTTTTTGTTGATTATTTCCACTTTACCAGAACAATACAGGTTCTGCTGGCGAGTTCTTTTTGGTTACGAATCCTGACTTTTCTGGTTCTCCTCCAAAAAGGGCACCGCCTCCTGTTCCTGAGTTTGTGCCGCCTCCTGTTATCATGCCGCCTCCTGTTATCATGCCGCCTCCTGGTGTCATATCATCTGTTCCTGACCTTGACTCATCCCTGGATGCATTAAGTGTGTCAAAATCAGAATCTTTTAACTCTACACAAGTTCAGGAACTTACGGTAGATGATATTGAAGATTTTGAGGATGATGATATTGATGAGGCTGATAGTCTCCTCATTTCACGAAGGACACGAAATGATGCTGCTGATCTTGCTCTTGGATTGCCTTCTTTTAAGACAGGTACTAGATTTCAAAGCCTAGGTGGATATGGTGCTTTTAGTGTTGTGTCTTGTGTGGAGCCAAGGTGCAAAATAGCTGGAACACTAATTTCTGTAGATTGTTTCATACCTATATGGTGAGTTAGTCAAGAGTGAAAACATGTGTTATGGCCCTGGCTATATTTCAATCTATAACTACTACGCATCTGTGCCCCACAATTTTTTTGTAACTATTATTGAAATTTGGATATATTTGTTAGATATTAGAAAAATTGGGAAGTTCTAAAAAGGCATAGTCTTATAGACTATAGAGTAACTGACCTACGGGTATACTGTAGTAACTGTACAGACAGATCTGTCTGCTTTTTCTAGATAGCTGACGAACATTTGGCAATCAGCAGCAAGATTGCATTTCCATCTCCTAGGTTGACTGATGAAAACTGAAACATGTCATGGTTGTCATAATTTTTCTTCTTTTTCAGCTATCACAGAAGATGGTCTCCGTGAAACTGCATATGAAGTCCTTTTAGCATGTGCTGGTGCTTCAGGGTATACTTTCAGTTTCTTATTTGGTATGCAAATACTTTGTAATGCCTTGAATGTTCTGTTATGACACCATCCATGCTTGCCCTCTCTCTGTCTGAACAGGGGTCTCATTGTGCCTTCAAAAGAGAAAAAGAAAGACAAAAGGTCCAAGCTGATGAGGAAACTTGGACGAAGTAGAAATGAAAATGCTTTGAGCCAGTCTCAACGAGCCCCTGGACTGGTTGGGTTATTGGAGACCATGCGTGTCCAAATGGAGGTATTTAGTAGTCATTTACTTTTCAAAAAGATGCAATACCACTCTGTTTCCTTGTTCCTTTCCTCTCCATTTATAGTTGAGTTAATTTTTGGTATTATAAATATGGAACTTCCCCATCATCCCAAATAGATAGGCAATTGGCATATGGATTTTCAGAAGTACTTGCGAGGCTATCACATAGATGGTTTTTGATAAGACTTAGAGATTAATTATGTTTATTTATTAATGGTAGCTACAAATATGTTCGCGGGCATATTCATTTCCCAAATAAAATTATTTTTACAAACCTATTTTATGTTTGTATAGTCCTGTTTGTCCTCTTAAACGTTACAATATGTGACACAGTACAGCATATCCGGCCTCTTAGTCCTGTACAGTACCCCCATATAGTAGTAAGGTGGATACAATACAAACTATACATTCGCATCGGACTGAAATTGTACAGTTCAGTCTAGAGTACTAAACAAGCCCGTAGGTAGTAGTTAAAAACTATGTAAGCACGAAGGAGTTTATGGAATGTTTTTCTTTTGAAGTTGGAGGGTTAATTAACTGATGGTTAATTATCATGTATAAGCTTCTCAGTTCTATGGAGTATGGACCACATTATCATCTGGTTCTGCTAGTTCCTAGCACTTGTGATGTATAATATTATAATTATATTTAACAGTAGGCCAGTAATTAGATACGGTACATGCATATGTTAATCTTGTAGTGCATTGGTGGTTGTCACTTCGAGCTGCTATGTACCGTAAAAGTTGTTAAGAGGATCGGTTATTTCTTTCCATTGTTTGGGTACATACTGAATCAATTCCTCTTTGAGTGACCTTATCTATTGCTCATTAATTTGGATTGTAGTATATGTGGCATCAGCTAGAAGGGTTTTTGAAATCCTGCTGGTTGCTGATATGGTTCTTTATGCTCCATTGTGCTGAGTTGTATTTCTTTTTGTTCTTATTTGCCATACTTATGAATGCACAGATATCTGAGGCAATGGACATCAGGACTAGACAAGGGCTGCTTAATGCCCTAGCAGGAAAAGTAGGAAAAAGAATGGATACCATACTAGTTCCTCTGGAACTTTTATGTTGTATTTCACGAACGGAATTCTCTGACAAGAAGGCGTATATACGGTGGCAGAATAGGCAGGTAAGTTCAATTCCTTACAGTCTCCTTCATTTTCTGTTGGCATGTTTTATTGGTCCTATTTGGTGAAACTGGAGGGAGGGTTACCATATCTGAGACGACATCCAAATTGAGAAATTCTCATTTTTTTTTTGTCACAGTTGAATATTTTGGAGGAGGGGCTTCTTAACTTCCCTGCTGTTGGATTTGGGGAGTCTGGACGCAAGGCGAGTGAGTTTAGGATTCTTTTAGCAAAGATTGAAGAATCTGAGGTGCGTCTTCTATTTATCTAAATGGTTGCAATGCACCCTATTATGAGAATAAGACATTTAAAGTTTACGTTTTTCTATTTGATTTTGAACCCAGAGTTCATCCTGCATTCCAAATATACCACATTTTGCAATTAAAACTCTTATTCTTAGAAAACCCACCATGTGTTCCAAATTTGCTCCTATACCCACACTAGCAAGCCTAACACACAGCTCACTTCCTTCAGTAACACTAAACCCTAAACCAAAACATGCCTAAACCCTAAACCCATTTCAAGGTATTGTTGATAGTTTATCTGGAAATGGTTATCCTTTTGGTATCGTTGATTTGAAAGGTTGAGTTGATAAAATGGAGTTTAATGTTATTCTTCCATAAAAAGGAGTTCTCTTGCCTTAAATCAGCCAGTTGTTAAATTACAAGCCTTTCTGGTTGGCCACATTCATAAACTATCAATTGGTCAATTGAATTTGTACATTCTGCTGAAGGCTCTGACTTGTTCCTGGAGCGTTAAAGAAAATGTAGAGATTTGGCTGATTCCTTAACAAATCAAAATGTTTTACTTTTCATAATATATAAGGTAAAAATGAATGATACATTATTCTTTTGCTTATCTGGATACTTCCCTTATATCTTTTTGTAGTATTCATGATATAATTTATTGCTTTCGTGTTTAATGTATCTGTTTTTTTTTTCCATTTCCATTTTTTCCTTCTCTTTTGATTGCAGTCTCTTCCACCATCCACGGGTGAACTCCAAAGAACAGAATGCTTGAGAACTCTTCGAGAGATTGCTACTCCACTTGCTGAGAGGCCTGCTCGTGGTGACTTAACTGGTGAAGTATGCCACTGGGCAGATGGTTATCACTTGAACGTTAGACTGTATGAGAAACTGCTGAGCAGTGTCTTTGATATGTTGGATGAGGGAAAGCTGACTGAGGTTAGTACTTTTTGTTCTTGGCAACGGTAGCATGACTCCGCCAAAGGAGGATTTAAATCGACAAAAGAAGTGCTTTCATCTATGTTGCCAAGTCGCTTTCTGCTTGATTGGTTAGGTTTAGAAGCTTTCTGGAGTTGGATCTCCGTTCTGTTTGAAATTCTGAATTTAACTGGGGCTCATTCAATAATACTTCTGCGTTAGCTTTTGGTTCTTTTTCATTAAATTTAGAGGAAAATGTATGTTAGAAAGGAGGTAGGGAGGAAGAAGAAATAAGGGATAAATTCAGGAGAATGTGTGAAATAACAACTATTTTGAATTGCTTTTAGTATTTTGTTTTCTTTTCAGATATGATTTCACCAACATTTTGTCTTCATCTATCCCTCCCCAACGAAAAAACTGTTACCAAACAACCCTGAATATGACATTTAGCTAATTCTTTGAAAATTGGATTTGTTGCGTACTTTCAGTGTCAACTTGGTATTGCAATCAAACACAGATTTCAGAAGTTGTACAGCAAAATAGTTGTAGTTTGCTTTACTGGATAGTGATGTTGGGTGATCTAGGAAATGTAACATTTGAGTATGTGGTGGGTTCTACCAAGTTAGGGTTAAAAAATTATGTCCAAAGGTTTTATTAGTGAAAAGGTTGAATCTTGATGGCTGAAGACTGATGGACACCATAGAAGGATACTTTCAGAATTCTGGCAGCACGGAAAGGTTACCCATTCATAGTAATATTTTGGAATGTTGGCATAGAGGGTTTTAATTGGGTAAGAAAGGAACAAGAGTTATAATCTTGAAGAGATGATAAAAGAGAAAAACCAGGTTTGTTCTAACAAGATGAACAACATACAGAGAAAGAGATAGAACACAGTTAAAGTTCAAATTGTTGAGAATGAATCCCACATCGATGGGAGAGGGGCCTTGCATGTGTTTATAAGTAGTTGAGCTACTCCCCATATTGCCAATTGGTTTTATGGTGGAACCTCAACTCTCTTCATGGTATCAGAGCAGGTTGTCCCACGTGTGAAGCCCAACGGCCACACGTGCTCCACGTCACCGGGTTGTGTTGTCCACGTGTTAGGCTTGAAAATTCGCCACACATGAGGGGGCGTGTTGAGAATGAATCCCACATTGATGGGAGAAGGGGCCTTGCATATGCTTATAAGTAGTTGAGCTACTACCCATATTGCCAATTGGTTTTATGGTGGAACCTTAACTTTCTTCACAAACGGTGTCAGGGAATTCTTTTTGGCACTCCAAATCAGTCATACTGCATTCCTCTTAAGCACAATTTATCTGTAGTATGACTATTTTAGAGTTCCTATAGCAGCTCCTAAGTATAGTTGACTAAACTATAGTCTTAGACCAAGGTAGTAGTAATAAGATTATTATCCATTTAGGGTAACTACTTCTTAAACACATGGATTTATTTAATTCTCAAGATTCCTGCAAGTCTGAGGAATTCCTGGACTCGCAACAATTTATAAAACTAAATACAAAGTTGTCCACAATTTATGATATTTCAGTACTGCCTCTGTCAGAAAAAAAAGAGTCTATAACTCAGCTCTTAACTAAAAAATTAAATGTGAAAAATTACTTAACCTTACACAAACATCAAAATCAATAACAGCCATTGTCCATTATATGCAGGCTCCAGTTGTAAATACTCTTAAGTCACCAGATATGAAATTTATGAAGAACACAGAAGCTAGGCTTTCTCTGCCTCTCATAGTCTCTAGCTTATTTTTATTTTCAGGAAGTGGAAGAAATACTCGAGCTATTGAAGTCGACATGGCGTGTTTTAGGAATCACGGAGACCATTCATTACACCTGCTATGCATGGGTCTTGTTCCGTCAGGTATAAAACCCACAAGAGTTATTTACTATTTGCAATGACCTACAGCCACAAAAATGATTTTTTTTTTTTTTATATAATGTAATTGTTTATAGCTTCATTTTGTGATGGAGATTGGAGGGTACGATTGACATGTCACATACTGTTAGAGTTTATAATCTATATTCTAGAAAGATTTTTTTTTTTTTCTTCATATATTCACTGGAAGATGTGGACTAACAAAGGACTCTCTCTCTCTCTCACACACACACACACACACACACGCACGCACGCACGCACGCACGCACACAGAGATACATATGTGCAGTATGCAGATACCATATATGGTTATATAACATCTTGATGGTAATTTTCCTTTAGTTTGAGGCCCTTCGGACCTATAGGCCTTTGAGTTACACAAAGGGAGGCACTCCTCTCCCCTCACATGAACCTCTCATCCATGTTGCTGGCATTTCATATTTTGGGAAACCTCATGTATTTCCAACATTGTATAACTGTATACCTAGAGCATCTTGAAACTTGCACTGAATGGCACTGGTAATAGATTTCAGCTTTGTTTTTTAACAAATTGACATTTCTTCTTGTACTTTTGAACTGGTAACTCTTTTCTTGGAGAACTGAAGTGTACTACAAATATGTCATATAAGTACATAAATTCATGTATGCATGTTTTTAGATGGTTACTACAAATCTGTCATATAGGTAAATAAATTCATGCATGCATGTTTTTAGATGGTTTCTAGTATAAAGATACTCACAGTGGAATCACTGGAATGTCTTTGATGAGTGGCTTCTTGTGTCGGTATTCTATTATGTCAAATATCTACCCTCTAATCTTCTTTGATTCGCTCCATTCTAGAAAAAAATTTATATTCATTTCAATTCTGAATTTTTTTGTTCAGCTAGTTGTGTTCTTTCTATTTCTTCTGTTTCCTTTTTGTTTGTTCTCATCAACATTTTGTGGAAGTTCCATTAGGAAATTCTTGCTAATCAAAATCATCACGTTCACAGTTTATGTTGGTTCTGTGATCACAGCATGTTATTACTAGCGAGCAAGGAATTTTACAACATGCCATTGAACAGTTAAAGAAAATACCATTGAAGGAACAACGGGGACCACAGGAGAGGTCACACTTGAAGAGTTTGCATTGTAGAGTTGAAGGTGATCAGGGGTACCAAGATTTATCTTTCTTACAGTCATTCTTGTTGCCAATTCAGAAGTGGGCTGATAAGCAATTAGGAGACTACCATCTGCACTTTGCCGAGGTAGGGTAAAATCCTAGGACTGTTATACTTGGGTGTGGACCTTGTGCTTAATTTGATCTTTTCTTTTGTCAGGCAGATGCTAGCTTTTGTTGAATAACTATTTTTAATCTCTGTATGCTTGTTCTTTTACTATTCTGGAAATAACTACCATATGCGTTGTGCCCTTTCACTGCTTGCATGATCTATCATGTTGTTATATACCCATGCATATACCTTATGCTGCTCTTTTCTACTTTTAGTCACTTTTACCAAGGAATTCTCCTAGTTTTGTGACTTAATTCTCTTAAAACTTCTCATGTACATTATAGGTGCCAGGTCTGATGGAGAATATAGTAGCAGTTGCGATGATTGCTCGGAGGCTTCTGCTGGAGGAACCTGAAGCAGTATGTGTAGACTCAAAAGAAACTTTGTGCTTGACTTATATTAGAGAATAATGCTTGGCTTCTCATCAGTGGGGAGAAACTTCGTTTGCACTGCTAAGGTGTCAGGTGAAGTGGTGGGACTCACCACCACTTTCACCAATTGGTGACATGACGAGGAGCTCCATGGTTCTTGTAGAATAAAACTATTATCACTTTCCAACATTTTGAAGTTATTTTTCTTGTGTGATGAAATTTATTTTTCCCCAACTGCAATATCTGGATTTCTTCTTTCCTTTTTTTTGGTTTAATAAAAATGACAGAAATCCAAATGTATTGCCAAATTGTAAAATGTTTAAAGCTGAAGTTTCTTTTTTGACAGGCAATGCTGCAATCTACCTCCAGCACAGATCGAGATCAGATAGAATTATATATATCATCTTCTATTAAGAACGCATTTACAAGGGTAAGTGTTACAGATGATTTTATAAGATTGTTGGCTGACAAAGTAGTATTAACAAGCTTAGTATTTCATAAAGATGAAACTTAATGTTAAACTTAAGCTTTTGGAACTTTTGTAGACCAACAATGATCATGGTATTAGAACGGGAAGGGGAAGGCCTTTTATTTGCATCTCTCGTCATTGTGCATTTTATGTCAATCTGAGGAAAATGTGAATCATGTTTTCCTCATTGCTCTTGTTTTGTACAGTGTGGATCATGGCTTTTCTCTTTTAGGATTGATGTTTGTTCTTATTATGCAGCAGTAACATAGTCTGCAGTTGCTATGTTTCATTGGTTGTTAATCTGGTGAACTAAGTTTCTCCTGAAAGCATATAAGTTTTGGATATAACAGACTGTCGTGTTTTGTTGTGGCTAAATCTGTTTAGCGTCAAGTACACAATTTATCTAATGGTCACACTCTTCACTGAACTCATATGCGTATATATAATATAACAACGAGCACACTGCACGCCAGACCTGATGATAACCCTTGAAGTTCAGTGTTGATATACTCTAATTTTTCATTAAAGACTTTGTGCTGAAACATGGCTTTAAGTATTCCTTTTCAACTTTTTTTCTTGTCGTACAGATCTTACATTCTGTTGAAAAATCAGACTTAAAGCATGAACATCCTTTGGCATTGCTTGCGGAAGAGACGAAGAAACTTTTGAAAAAAGATGCAACCATGTTCATGCCAATTTTATCCCAGAGGCATCCACAAGCAACTGCTGTCTCAGCCTCACTCCTTCATCGGATTTATGGCAACAAGTTGGTAAGCTTATATGCTGTTTCATAATGTGAATTACATTTTACATATATTTTGTCCATAATACAGTATTTTTTTAGGTGGATGAGAACTTAGTATTAATGTGTTATTTCAGAAACCTTTTCTTGGTGCTGCTGAACATCTGACGGAAGATGTAGTATCTGTATTTCCGGCAGCTGACAACCTTGAGCAATACATTATGGAACTTATTACGTCCACTTGTGGAGAGGAAACTGCAAATGTATACTGTAGGAAAATAGCTCCATACGAGGTGAGTGGCTCGATTTTCATACATTACATTTTTTCCTTATTTCTTTTTAGTTTCAAAATTCAAAGTGAACTTATTCTGATAGTTTATAGTCATGGATACACACAATTGGAAGATAGACTTGGTTCCGCTAAGTTAAAGCTGATTAATTACAAAGATGCAAACAAGATGTCTGGTTTACTATGTAGCACCAGTTGCATTGCTTCTTACCATCTTCTTATTAAGCTTCTTATATTATCTTAGATTGAATCTATATCTGGAACATTGGTGATGCGTTGGGTCAATTCGCAACTTGGGAGGATCTTAGGTTGGGTTGAACGGGCTATTCAGCAAGAGGTAAAAGTTACAATTATCATTTATTTATTTATTTTTGAATATTTTGTGTTAGTTTATATTTTGTTCTCATCTTGAAAACCTACATTCCCCACTTCATTGTTCCTCTGTTGAGTTTCTTATATTCATGTGATCATTTGACAGAGGTGGGACCCAATATCGCCTCAACAGCGGCATGGGAGTTCAATCGTTGAAGTATTTAGGATTGTGGAGGAGGTACGACTTTGTTCTTTTGGGTATGGTATTGTATATAGTAGATTTTGGAGATTTTTAGATGTAGTCTTTTTAATAACTTACCTATGTGTATACGGTATACTACTATACCTGCATGTCTTTATAACAAATTACCTATTTATTTTAAAACAAAATTGCATGGGTAGTTGACAATATTGTTGGTTATTCCTATTGGAGGCCACCAAATTTTACCGCATATAAATTTAACAAACATGTCATACACTTAGTGATAAATCAGTTTTTTTTATTATTTGGACGTACTTGTTGGATTTGGTATTCAAATCTATTATTTGTTTCTGGCAATGGTCAGTTACCTTACCTTTAACAATACTGATGTGTTTCCTTGTAAACATCTCTTCGTGCAGACTGTTGACCAATTTTTTGATCTCAAGGTTCCAATGAGGCCTACAGAATTGAGTGGTTTGTTTCGTGGGGTTGACAATGCATTTCAGGTGTTTGCTAATCGTGTCATTGACAAGTTGGGTAGGTGCTATTTGTGAGAACTAAATTTACAAAAGGGAAAAGAACCCATAATTTATGTCTTGAGGATTTGCAGGAGTTAAGAAAATTTCATAGAGATCCTAGCTCTTTGTTTGCCCTTGAAACTTTTTCTCATTTTCATTTTTCCAACATCACAATCTTCTCAAATTTTTTTTTTTCCAACATCACAAAGGTTGTAGGTTAAGTCCTGTGTGCGCTTGTGATTATGTCATTGTGTAGGGGTGAGTTGTACAGTTCTAAATTGGTCATGGTGTGTTGTCACAGTACTGAAAACTTCCATGTTTCCTTTACTCTATGTCGCTTATATTCCCTTGCCAAAAATTGTTTATCTGGCCTTATAGATAATTGATTTTTAATTGATTTTCTTGGTGGATATTAGTGTAACACTTATTTTGCTCAATTGTTCTTTGCTTTACCACTGGACCCCAAAAAATTAAGCTGTTAAGGAATGAGTTGATTCTATATATGAAGCTAAACCCTTCATCATGTGCAACCCATCATGCACGTGAAGCTAAACCCTTCTTCACGTGCCCCTTCCAAACGGACAAAGAAGTGGGTCCTGTGGTTTGTGGTTTCGAACCTGGGACCTCCAACTAGCAAAGTCTGAGTACCAGTAATGGTCAACTGTGTATATTAAGCAAACAAGATTTTTCATTCTTCTCTCCGTGCTACAAATGGTTTTATCCTTTTTCTTCCTTGTTATCTGCCCTTATTCTACCCACGTGGACCTTGGATTTTTATTTTGGTCATGCAGCTACCAAGGAGGATTTAATTCCACCAGTGCCCATTCTTACAAGATACAGGAAGGAAGTTGGAATAAAGGCTTTTGTAAAGAAGGAACTATTTGATCCTAGGCTGCCTGATGAGAGAAGGTCTACTGAAATTAATTTTAGAACGACTCCAACCCTTTGTGTTCAGTTAAACACACTTCATGTAAGTTCAGCTTTAGCTTCTTTTCGTTAAGAACCTGCTCTCTCTCTCTCTCTCTCTCTCTCTCTCTCTCTCTCTCTCTCTTGGAATTTCTAAATGATATTAGTGTTAAATGCAACTAAGCATAGCTCTTCTAGGCTTCCCATGAACTTATAATGTTTGTGTTCTTATATTGTATGCTGCCTGAGTTAGAAAATGATTAGTTATATGTATGTGAATCTTTAAATGCGGCCTGCCATTCTTTGATATTTTCCATCCTTGTACACGGATCAAAATTAAATCAAAGTGATATCTTTCTCTTCTAACTTGTTGAAGAAGCACTGGCCAATCTACAGTCATAACGGAGTTGGCTTTAGAAATAGATGTATACTTTTCCAGTAAAAACATGGATGCTAATGAGACCTAAGTTTCATATGGAAGGATGGCACTTTGTTATAATAATATGCTAATGACCTTTAGTTGCATCCATATTTGAAGGTCATCTCATTTCTTACACCACGTCTTTTATGTTTAAGCTTGTTTGTTGACCATATACTTTATTCTGTATAGTAATTTGACTGCCAATAAGATTATCTAAAACAGTCTGGTATAATTTGTGCTATTCACAGTATGCAATCAGTCAGCTGAATAAGTTGGAAGATAGCATTTGGGAGCGATGGACGAAGAAGCAGCCCCGCCAAAAACTTATCAGTATGTGTAGAAAAGTGGTTTATAACTTTATACTTGTTTGAAATATTTCCAATTACAAGAGTTTAGGTTGAGAAATGCATATGCTATTATTTACTCACAATCTTTCTGAGGGCTGATATATTGACCTCTTGTTTGTAGAGAAATCCATGGACGAGAAGTCAAAAAGTTTCACCCAAAAGGACACGTTTGATGGCAGTAGAAAAGATATAAATGCTGCTATAGATCGAATTTGCGAGTTCACTGGTACAAGAATTTCATTATTAAATGATGTTCAATTCCTTGGAAATCTAGATCACTTGTTAATTTAGCAACTTTTTTTTGCAGGAACTAAGATTATCTTCTGGGATTTGAGGGAACCAATTATTGACAATTTATATAAACCAAGTGTTTCTCTTTCAAGATTTGAAGCAGTGTACGAACCACTTGATACGGTCAGATTTATCCCTTTTGGAAGCTTTTTTCCTAGTTTATGTGGTATTCATCACACTGCATATCATTTATTTACCTCCTCTGAACCCCTTTCGCCTAAATTGTATATAATTCCATGTGCCAATTTTATTGTCATGTGCATAGTGGTAGTACAGTCTAAGTCTAACCATTAAATTGAGGGTGCCCTGGGGGTTTGAGCTAAATCTCATCAATTAGAAAGATGCATTTACTTGAATAATAGGTTCGAATGGTAGTTGTAGTTGGGACGTGGCACAATCAACATGACATAACTTTTTTGTTGGAGGTTATTGATGATATGAATCATGCTCGCACTACATCAAAATTGGATATTCATATGATCAATTTTGACTTCCGTCCTCTAACAACCTTGGTAGGGTTGAATAATTAGCAGTTCTTTACAATATTGCTAAAGTTTCAGAAGAACGTAAAGATGGACTATTGCAGGAACTTAGTCAACTATGTTATTCTTCAGTTATTAGTTCCCCTTCAACTACTTTTTCTGTTTCCATGTAATTTTTTTTTTTATTGATATTGAAGACAACTATTGCAGGAACTTAGTCAACTATGTGCTATAATTGTGGAACCACTCAGGGATCGCATTGTGACAAGTCTTCTTCAAGCAACACTGGTCTCCTCCACACCCTTGCATCTTTGAACAAATCTGTCAAAAATCCTGTAACATATTTATATTTCACTGGATGTTTAATTTTTTTGCTCTTTTACCAGGATGGTTTACTCCGTGTTCTATTAGATGGTGGCCCTTCACGAATTTTCTCTGTGGGAGATGCAAAGCTATTAGAAGAAGATTTGGAGGTCCTCAAGGTACCTGCTTTGTGCCCCTTTGAATATCGGAAGTGACGAATGTTTATTGGTTGACCCTTATTCTCAAAAGTTTAAGATGTTAGATTGTGGGCAAACAGTTATTAACTGTCCTCACATGGGGACAACCCCTCACCATTGGAGGGCCCGGCCCAACACGTGAGAATCAACCTGCATTTCGGGGCTGTCATTGTTGGGATTAATTCTTGGATTTGCTTCTTAAAAGCACGGACTGTTAGAATATAGGCCAACAACTATTTAATACCAAGAATAATGAAGATAGATAGTCAAACAACAAACTTGCATATCCTATCTCCTCAAATTTAATCTTCACTTGTTCCGTTGCGTGTTCAAAAAAAAAAAAAACTCAAAAAGGAGGCATTTGAAAGTTGCTTGAAATTCATCTGGCGAAAGAAGAATTGAACTGGTCTCATTTATGTATTTAGATTTCTCCAAGACTTGTCTACTTTGTGTGATACAGACTTTCAAATTTGTAAACACGCTCTTAATTTGTGTCATTGTGGATGTAAAACAGGAGTTTTTCATCTCTGGAGGAGATGGGCTTCCGCGAGGAGTTGTTGAGAATCAGGTAGCACGTGTTCGGGATGTAGTAAAGTTACACAGCTACGAGGTTAGTTCATCTTTTTTCTGGTTGAAGGTTTACAAGTGAATCAGATTATTTCAGGCATTATACTATTCTTTTGCCACTAGGAATAAGTGTTAAAACGCAAAATGTTCATCTAGACAGATGCCATTTTCCGATTCATTTTTTTTCACAATCCTCTCGCTGTGATTTAACAAGTTGGTTTGTCAAGAACCAAAATAGAAAAAGGGAGAAAGAGAGAAATAGCCATCTTTTCGAACCATAGAACAAGCCACAAACAATATTCTTATTGACTGGAAATAAATTGTAAGATGTAGCGGATCAGCTAACAAGCATTCATCGCCAAGCTTAATGTGTCGCTCGACCACACACGCACACACACATACACATAAGCACGCAATACTCGCAAATTCAATATTTGATCATGACAATGTCTACTATCTTGGTATAAGATTGAACATAAGACGTCTGACGTCCATTTTTTTCTGGGTCCCTTTTCTTTTTACTCGCTCTGTTTGCAGACTCGAGAACTGATCGACGACTTGAAGTCTTCTGGTGGCCTGGAAATGCAGGGTGGTAGAAGCAAGCTAGGGGCTGATTCTAAGACCCTTTTGAGAGTATTATGTCACAGAGGTGATTCAGAGGCCTCTCAATTCCTCAAGAAACAGTACAAGATACCCAAGTCCTCGGCGTAGGGGTTATCTTTGCTCTTCAGAAAATTCCTCTATGGAAATGTAAAGCTTAATTCATTGTTTTTATCTTTGTTTGTGTAAGTTATGTACATGTAATACGAGCTATGCTACGTCTTAAATCTGTATTTTTTCGGATTCGTAGATCTTTTCCCCTAAGATACGAAAATAAAACATGTATCTGATGCAAATAGAACGCAATGCGCTTTCTGTCTACATTACCGCGGTGGAAAGAGTTACTCTGCGGGATTGACGGGTGATGGTTCTGTCAAACGAAGGTGATTACGCCGTTCCTCGTTTTCGTGACTAGTTTCTCAGAACATATGACGGAAAAATTATATCGCTCTTGGAGGCGTTTATTTTGACAATCATAATTATAATCCTCTGTTTCTAAGCCTTGACAGCCATTTGAACAACGAAGGACGATCACAAGTCATTCATAATTACTTTTTGGAAAATTTTATTCGAACACATGTTTTATATCTCATTCTCTCCATACATTTAAAATTAGTTTCTAAACTACTACTTAGTACTACGGTCTAATGATATTTTTTTTTCATTTATATGTGAGAAGTCTTAGGTTCGATACTTGTGAAAGACGAATTTGAACCACATTATTGCTAGCCCATGATGACGCTTAATCCACTTCTCCACTCCCTTATGCTCACCTTAAGAAAACACAACCTAATTATCTAACCTTTCTAAATTACTACATTAATTAATCCTAATTAAGCTTATTAGTTTCCCATTAGAGAAAATTTTCAACGTGCAAGGATACGGATAGATACATCAAGTATCATAGTTTTTTTCTGCCAAATATCTAATCACTTATATTATGCCACTTGGTGTATGGGGCCGTATTCCTAGCATAATGAAAAATCTCTTCCTAAAAAATATCCAACCACTTGTATTGCGACAATTAATGTACTGAGCCGTATTCCCAGCGCACCGAAAAATCTCTTCTCCATCAACCCTCACTAGCAAACTCCCATCCATCCGTGTCAACCTATCGAAATCCCTACACAAATTAATCAAACAACTTCTTCATTACCAACTTCATAATCAATTCCCCCATTTACAACATTAGCTTACAATTCATTGGCAATTTTAGGGCTTGGTTGTTGTTCATTAGCTACGGTGTATTGATAAAGCCCATTTTATTTTTAAGCTTAATTCCGTCTTGTTTTTAAGCTTAAGCTTCAGCCTGCATATTCATGTATCATATAAGTTATTCTTCTTTTATAGAACTATTTAAAGAAGAATTCACTAATGGGAATTGACAGTTGAGTTAAGTCGTAACTCCTGTTATTTTGGTTGATTAGGTGTGGATTTAAAGTTTATCACTGAGTTTAAATTTTATTACTCATTAGCTTAATCGGTTGACACGACGTTACTTACTAAGATAATACACTGACATAAAGACTCGAGTTGAATTTAAGAGGATGTACATGTAAGTAGCCTTCTGTAAACAAATATAAGTATAATTTTTTTTTTTTACATCGATATTTTTAAATTAGAAGGGGGAGATCGGCTTAAGCATAAAGTTTAAAGGATAATTAACAACGGTGATTTCGGACTGAATCAATCCCCCTTAAACCCATAATAAAACCCTAGCTTAAAGCTTCACTAACAGCCAAGTCAGAAAGCACTCAGACTCCTCTCTCTCTCTCTCTCTCAATTTTTTTAATCAATTTCAATGGCGTCCGGTGGAGGGAACGCAGGGGGAGGAGTGGAGTGGCATCTGCGGCCTCCAAACCCTAAAAACCCTATCGTCTTCTTCGACATCACCATCGGTACCATCCCCGCCGGTCGCATCAAGATGGAGCTCTTCGCCGATATAGCCCCTAAAACCGCCGAGAATTTCAGGCATTTTCCCTCTCTTTCTCTTTCTATTACTATTCCTCTTTTGTCATCCACTTCTTCGTTCAAGACGTCGTCGTTTCGTTCCTAATGAGCTTGCTTGTCTTCTCTTTACTTGTTCCAGGCAATTCTGCACGGGCGAGTACAGGTAGGGCAAGCCCCAAACGCACAAACCTATTATTTTTTTTCTTCAATTTTGGGGATTTTGATTTTACTAATTATTTGGATTTTGTGAAAAATATTTGAATTGGATGTTGTAAATTGGCAGAAAAGCTGGATTGCCAGTTGGGTACAAGGGGTGCCAATTCCACAGGGTGATTAAGGATTTCATGATTCAAGCTGGTGACTTTCTCAAGGTTTTTCCTCTTTCTTCAACCAGTATCTGCTTTTGTTTACATATGCCGTTTCGATTCTTTAAGGTGTTGGCATTGTGGGTTTGTTACCATTTTCTGAATATGAATATGCATACCTATTATTAGCTAGGTGGTCTTTTTAATCGAAACTATTTTAACCATGTTCTTGTAATACATTCAATGTGTAACTTCTGCCCCAGTCATCTCTAATCAGTGCACAACACTGTGTACAATAGCATTCTACTTTTCTTAATTAAAATAGATATCGTTTGGATAGAAAATGGGGAAATGTTATTTCTAGCTTAAAGTGTTTTGACACTAAAGGGTACACATATAAAGGAGGTTGTACTCATTCATGAGGTTATGCAATGCCCTGATCGTAACAAATTTTGATCTGGTGTTAACATAATTCTGAAACAATAAAACATTAAAACATCGATGTTACTAACAATTATTGATGCTCAAGTTTTTTTTCCGCCTGTTGCGAGATTTATATAATGAAGATCTTGATTTGCAGGGTGATGGTAGTGGCTGTGTTTCCATCTATGGACTTAAGTTTGATGACGAGACTTTTGATGCCAAACACACTGGTCCTGGCCTCTTGTCAATGGTATGCATTTTTCATGTTGCATTCAGTACTATTCAATAACTTTTGCTGTATTTTTCCCTTACTTTTGGATCCTATCCAACATTTGTATGATTTACCTTACCTTCATGTTACAATTCCCATGTGCACTAGAATCTCTATGTGTGTAGAATTTAAAATGGGTTAAGCTTTTTATTTAGTCCTTTAATACAACAAAATTGTACTCGGAGATACAAAAAATTAGTTTCTATTTGAATTTACAATGATGAGCTTTTGTACTTTTTCAACCTTTCTTAGGCAGTACAAAAAATTGTACTTTTGCTAGTGATTGGTCCTTTTATGTCAAAGTCTCACCGGCATTGGTTTACTTATATGCGAGTGAGTTTGGAGTTTAAAGTCTCACCAGCCTTTGATTTTGGGTGAAATTTGGGTGAGAGACTTTCAAAATGGAGGATCCAACTTTTGAAGAGTAATATTAGCATATCACATCGGCATTCCTGGTTTTCTGGAAGGAGTATGAGTTTCAATTGTTTCTGTAGTGTTATTAACATGTTCATTGCTCTTTCGGCATTTCTGTATTGGCAGACCTTTATGTACCAGTAGGTTTTTGTCCTTCTCTCTTATCCTCAACCTTTTTATAGCTTGCTGCAATATTCATTTAGAACAGGGAAAGAAGACTGGGAATTGATGGGATTCCAATGGCCATTAACCTATTAGGTGTATGCGCATAATTAATAACCTGTATTAGGGTCTTATTATTTGTTACTTCTTGTAAGATTTTATTCTTTGATTGGCTGAGGATCCTGTCTGAAGACAGAAAATTTTACACACGCACATACAAACTGAGACACATATATTTTTCAGTTCCAACATGAAAGTCTACTTTTGACACTGAATCGATATAATCTTTTGCTCCTTTTCAGGCAAATAGTGGACCAAATACAAATGGGAGCCAGGTAATTCAATAACTCTGGCTTCTAATTGATAATAAGATAAAGCAAAACTGTCTCTCTTTGGTTCTCTCTTACACACACAGAGTTGTGGCTAATGTTTGTTTGCTTTTGCACTTCAGTTCTTTATCACTTGCGCGAAATGCGACTGGCTTGATAATAAACATGTTGTGTTCGGGGTATGCTATGATCCTTCTCTCTTCTGTCAATAATGCATTATATTACTCAAACGTACGAGTCACCTTATACTAATCAAAGAGAAATTCGTTATTTAGTTGCTAAAAACAATCAATAGTCATAATAAGTATTACCATGCATCAATCCTGAATGAGAATTTAATAATACTTATCCTGAGTTGATACAAGTCATTTTGTACTGTGAAACTTTTTGCATAAAATGATTCTAGGAACCACAAGTCCACACACCCGTGAGCAAGCAAACACGCATAAGTTGTCCTAGGGATTTCCACCGACTATTTATCCTTTTTGTCACCTGGCCCTAAATTACCTGTTTGCCTTTAAGTTTAACCTTCCAATTATTTTGTAGTACTGAAACTGTTTTCTTTTTGTTAATTTTATGTAGAGAGTGCTTGGAGATGGTCTTTTGGTTGTTAGGAAGATTGAGAATGTGGCTACAGGACCCAACAATCGCCCTAAACTAGCTTGTGTTATTGCTGAATGCGGAGAGATGTGAATCCTGAGTTTATGAACAGCTTTATTGATGGTTAACTGTAAAAACTTTTTTAACCAATAGAATCTTAATTTTCCCAGTAAAAACATTCTATGGGTGTAATTCTAATGAAAAATAATATAATGGTCTGACTTCTGACTTCTTAAGATGAAGGATCCTTTTGTTCATAGACTTGATAATTTTATTGCATATGCATTTTCTGTTGTTCACTAAGGTGGCCCTTGTTAAGAGAGGATTGGCTTATATAGGATAAGTGAGTATATTGAAGACATTTTAATGGAAGAAATGGATGCGAACTTTCAAATTTTGTCCAAGTTGAAGGCTATTCATGAAGAAAAGGTATTCTTACAAATCCCCACAAAAATAGTCAGATAACTTTTCTTCGGGGGAACCTTCAACTTGAGGATTAGTAAGGATACCTTTTCTTCATGAGTAACTTTCAACCTGAACAAAGTATGAAAGTTATCTTCTATTTATTCCTTCAAAATGTATCCAATATAGCGAGTTATCCTATCCAAACCAATCCTCTCTATAACAAACGCCACCTTATTGTTTTTTTCCTTCAAAGATCCGGGTTTCAGTTTTTCCGATATGAAATATAAAAATAAATCATTGTTTCGGTGACGAACATCATTTTCCTTTCCCTTTAACTTATGTACTTAAGAATCGAAATTAAGTTTTGTTCTGTTATAGCCAACTTGATCAAGTCCAAATCTATTTAAGTAGCTTTTCTTTCGTAAAGTTTTCCTTCATTCCCCCCTCCTCCCACTACACGTCCTCCACCCCTCTTGATCCATCCTTTCCGTCGAAATAAAAATCTAAAATCTAAATGGTTAACCGAAACCATCGATCTATCGACTCGTCGTATGCCTTTGCCAGGGCAGGGTTTAGAGAAAACGTCACAGGCTGTGTTGAACAAAGCTTGAAAGCACCATTCGGCGGCGATGAGCCATTCTTGTCGTGAAGCAACCGTGCGAGGCAAGAAAGATGCTTTTACTTTTCTAAAAGAAATTGCAACATCGACTGAACCTTGGTAGTGCCACAAAAAAGGTCACCAAAATATTACTATTACCAGTTCCTTAGTTAATAAACAACTATATATGAAATTCTTGTAACCTTCAAAACTCTTGTTTATTTCATTAGTACACAATCTTTCCAGCTTACTCCACATTGTGCTGGTTTCGGTTTCGGAGGCCGGCCGGCTGAATCTGAACTACAATGGACTTATAAAACTAGACCCTAACTCCTTCATTCTTCATATCTTCATTCAAGCTAAAAATCAAAGAAGGATGGCTCAAGTACTTCAACTCTCTCTCATTTATGCGGCAGCAGTTGCTTTCATGTTTCAACAATGTTGTGGTAAGCAGTACTATTTTCACAACTTTTATCCCCGTACATAATTATTTATCATAAAATGTTTATTGAACCTTTTATCCGAGCGATATTCTGAACTAATATAAATTACGGGGAGGGAGAATCAAACTTGAGGACGCAAGGGGAAGCACACTCGTTAGTCTCTCTGATATGGGACAATTGCATTTTCTTTTCACTTTGTATATATGTGCCATCATTAGCCATATATCCAATATTTTTTCTTGTGCGTTAACCGTGACGTTATGTACGTACACATGATTCAGATGGGAAGTTGATGATGGAGTACATAGGAGCCACTGGAATTCCTATAACATTTGACTCTGTACCGATTGACAGTGCGATCGACTTCCATTTCATACTCGGGTTTGCGATTGATGCAGACTCATCAGGCAAGCAACAAAATGGGATATTCTCACCATATTGGCAATCTACATTAACCCCACAATCTGTTGCAGCCATCAAGCAAAAACACTCTAATGTTAAAGTCATGGTAAGCCTCTCAGGTTGGAGCTTGGGTGATCAAGTCCTTCACTGGTACAATCCAATAAACCCAAAAAAATGGGTATCTAACGCTGTCTCGTCACTTGGCTCGATAATCACCACTTACCATCTTGATGGCATTGACATAGACTACGAAAACTTCCCAAACCCGACGAGCAGTAATTCATCGAGTTCTTTTGCTTTTTGCATTGGCGAGCTCATCACTGGCTTGAAAAACAAAGGACTCGTTTCTGTTGCTAGCATTGCACCGTTTTACAGTACAACTGCGCCATATGTTCAGCTCTTTGATAGCTATGCAGATGTTATAGACTATGTCAATCACCAGTTCTACACTGATAAGGTTACTACCGCGAAGGGATATCTGCAAGCGTTCAAACTTCGAGCCACACAATTTGGAAAGGAAAAGTTGTTGCCTGCCTATGAAGTAGATGGAAGAGGAATTCAAGGGGATGCCTTTTTTGATGCTTTGACACTGTTGCAGACAAATGGATTCGAAATTAATGGGGTCATGATCTTCTCAGCGGATGCTTCTTCTAAAAACAACTTTTACTATGAGAGAAAATCACAAGCTTTCTTGCTCAATTCTACTAGTAGTACTAACTAGTCTAAGTACCTGGTTGAAATATATATACTTAGCCTCCTCGCATGCGGTCTCACTTGTGCAAGAGCGTATAGTTATTTTTTCATTTGTGATTTGTTTCGTAAGTTATGTATGTTCTGGTTGCGAATTTTTCTTTTTTGTTGCATTAATTTTCTAAGTATTTCTGCTAATAAAAGAAAGGTTATCATTCGTACTACATTAACGCTATTTGATATTTTTCGCTCTTATGTTCTACCCGGTCTTTGACAAGATTCTCCAAGTTCGGCTGCCATAGATTGCTAGAGACACTACTCCAATAAATAGAAAGTATTCATATCATGACTAGATAGAAAATATAGAGTGGGATGAGGGAACAGTGCAAGAGATTCAAAATTTGATTAATTCAACAAAATTGTATTGAATAGAGAGTACATATACAACAAACTTACATTAAACTTAAACCACTCATGAAAAAGAAAGCTCGGCTTCAGTGAGTAAGCACTCCAAAATTTCAAGGAGGCAAATTAATAACAAAGTGAGGAACACATTAAGCCACTCGGCATACCGACACCATGATCACTGTTGCCTTTTGGCCTGGATTTGATTTTCTAATAATCTTAATGGTTTTCTTGTAGCAGCTCCCATCACCACCAGGGCTAGACCTTTTGCGAGGGAAGGCACTGGACCTATGCTGCGGTGGAGGTTTGCACTCACTAGCTCTGCGTTTGTTGGAACCATGAGCCGCTTGAAACCTTCTTTTCAAACACTTGTCGTAAGCATCTTTCTTAGCAGGGTCAGAGAGAACGTCCCATGCTGCCTTAATATGCTTGAAAGCACCCTCCGCGGCTATTGATGTATTCTTGTCAGGGTGCAAGGCTAGTGCCAGTCTCTTGTATTGTTTCTTGATGATTTCTGAGTCGGCAACTGTAGGGTTTTCGATGCCAAGAACATGGTACAGGTTTTGCTTGTGTGACACGGCAGAATGAATTTGGTATGCGGTCATGTAACTGTCCATACCATGCAAATCTGGATCAAATTCTTTTGCTGCCTTGGCCTGCTTGATTGCATATTCGAAGTTTCCAAGCATGAAATATGCTTCTGCAGCCTCTCGGGCCTTGACGGCAGCCATCTGTGCAAGGTTGGAGATGTGGTCAGGACACAATGCTTGAGGAACGGAGTTGCCGGGGATTCTGCTGCGGCCAATGGCCACGCTACTGCGCTTGAAACTTAAAGTTGAAGCCATTGTGTAGAGACATATATCGATCCCGAGAGAGAGAGAGAGAGAGAGAGAGTAGTGAAGGAAACTAGGAACCAGAAACAAAGTAGGGTATACTCGTGACTTAAGCGGCCTTAAAACCCTAGGAAAAAAAAAGGATACTTGGGCAGAAAGTTGAATTCCTATTAGTAGTTGAATTAGGAACCGACCAATTCATGTATATTTTGTTAAAATAGGATTTCTAATCCTTAATTGGATTGGATTTCTCAACAAGAACATTCCTACTCCAAATATAGTTCCAAGATGAGAAACTTTATATGAACTTGGATTGGCTAAGTTGGCCCTAATACATGAGTTGGATTTGTTTCGTTTGATGAACCTATGACATTGTTTTCGAAGATTTTACTCGGTAATTATCAATAAATGACTACCATATCTCCTAATATATATAATTGTCTATAATTAAAAAGAGATTTTCTAGTCACACTTTCAACACACATCTAAGTTCACCCCCATAAAGTGCCAAGACCCAATTTACCCTTACTAAAAAAGTGAATATATATTTTGAAAGAAAAAAAACATACAAACCCAGCAACCTCCTCCGGCCCTGCCACCACGCCAATATCCCCCACCAGCCCGGCTATGTTGTCATCTTCAGTGGATAATCATCCCATTTTTCTCTGTGTACAATTTGGCATTATTTATTTTGGTTTATGTTTGTATATGCGGTATGTGCATTTTTCTCACACGCAAGAGGCTTTTTCTGCGCCTTTACATAGCAGATTAAATTGGTTTTTTAATTGTGGCTTTGTCTTTGAAGTAAAGTATTCGATCTGGTTGTGAATTTTTCTTTTTGTTGTATTAATTTTTTATGAATTGTTGTTTATAAAAGAACGCTTATCATTCTCAAATATTAACCCCAAGATCTCTGTCATTCCCCTTGTGCTACCTTGTTTCTTGATAATATTATCCAAAATCTGGCTATATAACATAAATGGCTGGAGAAATTACAAGTACATACAACATAGTAAGCACTCCAAATTTTCAAGGAGGCAAATTAAGTACAAAGCGAGGAACACATTAAGCCACTCGGCATACAGACACCATCATCACAATTGCCTTTTGGCCTGGATTACATTTTCTTATAATCTTAAAGGTTTTCTTATAGCAGCTCCGTTCGCCTCCAGGGCTAGCCATTTTGCCAGGGAAAGCACTGGACCTCTGCGGCTGTGTTGGTTTACACTCACTAGCTCTGCGCTTCTTGGAACCACGAGCTGCTTGAAACAGTCGTATCAAAGATTTGTCGTAAGCTCTCTTTGTGCTGGGTCAGACAGAACGTCCCAGGCTGCCTTAACATGCTTGAAAGCACTCTCGGTGGGGATTGATCTATTCTTGTCAGGGTGCAAGGCAAGTGCCAGTCTCTTGTATTGTTTCTTGATGGTTTCTGAGTCGGCAACTGTAGGGTTTTCGATGCCAAGAACATGGTACAAATTTTCCTTACGTGACACGGCAAAATGAATTTGGTCTGCAGTCATGTAGTTTTCGATACCATGCAAATCTGCATCGAACTCTTTTGCTGCCTTGACTTGTATGATTACATATTCGAAGTTTCCCAGCGTGTAATAAGCTTCAGCAGCTTCTCGGGCCTTGACCGCTGCCATCTGTGCGAGGTTGGTGATGTGATCAGGACACAATGCTTGAGGAATGGAGTTGCTGGGGATTCTGCTGCGGCCGATGGCCATGCTACTGCGCTTGAACTTTAAAGTAGAAGCCATGGTGTAGGTATATCAAGAGAGAGAGAGCGAAGGAAATTAGGAACTGAGAAGGTACTATATTCTTGCTGGTTGGAGATATATATAACACAACTCTTCCACGCGTAACTTAAGCAAGTGAAAAACCCTAGAAAAAAAGGAAACTTGGATATAAGTAGAGGAAAGAGATCGGCCATCGGATTAAATGATCCGAACCTTTAAAATTTGATTCAACTGTTAAATAAAGAAGCCCTCTCTAAACGTTATAATAATTTTAACCGTTGAATCAAATTTTAAAGACCCGGATCATTTGATCCGGTAATCTTGGTGGAAGAGATTAGGAGAGGATGTCTTTCCAGAAGTAGAACTTCCCATTACTATTTGTAATTTAATTAGGGCTGAGTCGGCTGACCCTTGTGTCCTGGTAGATAATTAAATTAATTATCCTTAGGCCATTTTAATAATGCCTTGGGAAACAAGTATTAACGGTAGATAATTAAACCAATTACAATAAGGTTTCTGCTCAAAATATATATAGTTTTAAAAGATTAACATCAGCCAATTATATAACATAAAATTTAATAACAATTACCAAAAAAAGATTTAATAACAAAACACAACCCCATGAATCGAAAATTAAGAGAGAAGTTTAGAATGCTTCACTATGTACATATAAATAATACATCCACGTTTCATTTGTAAGAGGACATTACTATATTTCTCTAGAAGTAGGAATTCTTACATTTTGTCAATTGCCTACATTTTTCGCACATGTGTCAAATTTTGATAGAAAAGAATATGGAATCTTCTAGTTTCAAAGGGAAGGAGGATATGCCCATAACTGGCGAACACCTTCTCTCTCTCTCTCTCTCTCTCTCTCTCTCTCTCTACTTCCAAATCTATGCTTGTAAATAAATAAAAAAAAAAAGTTGTGTGACATCTTCATCCAATAGAGACATTCGCTTTCTAAAAAGACAATCAAAAGATTGAACTGTTGTGTCAACTTGTCATTTTCCCGGCGATGAGTATCATTTTCATTTTCCTTTAACTTATGTACTTAAAAATCGTCTTTTGTTTCATCAAAAAATAAAATAAAATAAAATAAAATATCATCTTTTGTTCTTCTGTTATAGCCAACTTGATCAAGTCCAAGTCCGTTTAAGTAGTTTTTGATGCTTTGACACTGTTGCAGACAAATGGATTCAAAACTAATGGGGTCATAATCTTCTCAGCGGATGCTTCTTCTGAAAACAACTTTTACTATGACAGAAAATCACAAGCTTTCTTGCTCAATTCTATTACTAATAGTACTAACTATTCTAAGCACCTGATTGAAATATATATATATAGCCTCCTCGCATGCGATCTCACTCGTGCAAGAGCGTATAATTATTTTTTCCATTTGTAATTTGTTTCTTAAGTTACGTATGTTCTAGTTGGAACTTTTATTTTTCGTTGCATTAGTTTTCTATTTATTTCTGCTAATTAAAGCAAGGCTATCATTCTAAATATATTAACCCATCTATTTTGTTCTTATGTTCTACCTACTCGTTCTATTGACAAGATTATCCAACTTCGGTTGCCATAGATTGCTAGAGACACTACTTTCCATAAATAGCCAACATTTACATCATGACTAGATAGAAAATATAAAGTGGGATGCGGGAACAGTGTAAGAGATTCAAAATTTGATTGATTCAACAAAATTGTATTGAATAAAAAGTACATATACAACAGTAAGCACTCCAAAATTTCAAGGAGGCAAATTAAGTACAAAGCGAGGACATTAAGCCACTCGGCATACGGACACCATCATCACAGTTGCCTTTTGGCCTGGATTACATTTTCTTATAATCTTAATTGTTTTCTTGTAGCAGCTCCCATCACCGCCAGGACTGGCCCTTTTGCGAGGGAAGGCACTGGACCTCTGCGGCTGTGCTGGTTTGCACTCACTAGCTCTGCGCTTATTGGAACCATGAACCGCTTGAAACTGTCGTCTCAAAGATTTGTCGTAAGCCTCTCTTTTTGCTGGGTCAGAGAGAACGTCCCACGCTGCCTTAACATGCTTGAAAGCACCCTCGGCGGCCATTGATCCATTCTTGTCGGGGTGCAAGGCAAGTGCCAATCTCTTGTATTGTTTCTTGATGGTTTCCGAGTCAGCAACTGTAGGGTTTTCGATGCCGAGAACACGGTACAAGTTTTCCTTGTGTGACACGGCAGAATGAACTTGGTATGCGTTCATGTGGTTTTCGATACCATGCAAATCTGGATCGAACTCTTTCGCTGTCTTGGCTTGCATGATTGCATATTCGAAGTTTCCAAGTGTGAAATAAGCTTCAGCAGCCTCTTGGGCCTTGATCGCTGCCATCTGCGTGAGGTTGGTGATGTGATCAGGACACAATGCTTGAGGAATGGAGTTGCTGGGGATTCTGCTGCTGCCGATGGCCATGCTAACTACGCTTGAATTTTAGAGTAGGAGCCATGGTGCAGATTTATCGATCGATCGAGAGAGAGAGAGAGTGGTGAATGAAATTAGGAACTGAGAAGGTAATATATTCTTGCTGGTTGGAGATATATATAACACAACTTTTCTACGCGTAACTTAAAGCAAGTGAAAACCCTAGAAAAAGGAAACTTATCATTACTATTCCTAATTTAATTAGAAATAGTAATGATAAGTTTAATTAGGGCTGAGTCGGTTGACCCTCATGTACTGGTAGATAATTAAATTGATTATCCTTAAGCCCTTTTAATAATATTGCCTTGGGAAACAAGGATTACCAGTAGATATTTAAAACAATTACAATAAGATTTCTGCTCAAAATATATATAGTTTCATCAAAAGATTAACACCATTGAAGTTGTATAACATAAGATTTAATAAATAATGCATCCACGTTTCATTTGTAAGAGGACATTTCTAAGCTAGTTCTCTAGAAGTAGGAATTCTTACATTTTGCTAATCGCACACATTTTTTGCGCACATGTCAAATTTCGGTAGAAAAGAATATGAAAATTTCTAGTTTCAAAGGAAGGAGAGACATGCCTATAGCGAACATATTCTCTCTCTAGTTTCCATATCTACGCTTGTAAATATAAAAAAAAATTACAAGGTGGATGGGAAACATATAGGAACTAGGAGTGGGAATAGCACAACTTTTTCCTGTTCCAATGAAACCGAATTGAATCTTAAATCTAAAGAAAGTATTGGTTTTATCATAAAACTAATTGACAAAAATTACTCGCTAGTGGTTAGATCCAAATTCCTTGGCTCATGAAGTGTCTTAAGCATCGCCAAGAGTCCAACAAGATTGTCAAATGAGTCTTCAAAGTTAGAAAATATCCTACCCTGTCTAGATTAGAGAGTCTATATCCCACTCTTATGATTATTAAAAGTTGACTTTGTTAAAGCTTACTCAAATGAAACTAAAACAAGGTGGTCCTATGATGGAAAATAATAAGTACTTAGATTTGTGGAGTATATATGTTGGAGCAAAATTGTGAATCAATAAATTTTAGTCTTCAAATTGTCAAGCGAGTCAACAAACTTGTGTTTGAAGAAGGGTAATCTTAAGGAGCCTCAATTTGTAAACTAAATGACATAGAAGTTGATGATTGGATTATTACTTAATTGTTTATTAACGTGCTTATTTCTTAGTAGTGATATACATCATTTAGTTTACAAAATGTAGTCTACAAATTTAATTTGCCTAGCATTATTCTTTGTATTTCGTTGTTTACTACTCTCAATGTGCAAGGCATATTGTTCCTAATAGTTGTCTAAGGGGCTTTTTTCCTTAAAAATGAGACTAACTGATGGTTTCGTCATAGAAATTCATTCATTCTTTCAAGGGTCGAAAAGACTCATACATGCTACTAACTTATGACCATCAAATTTGATAAATCAAACAAAATAAACAGCCAAAATTTAATACAATATGTGTTAAAAATAGTGCGTGTTTATTATTCTTTAAAAAAAAATTAAAAAAAAGAGAGTAACTAACAACAACGAATGGCAGGTGAAAGTGAAACATGGGACCAAAATGAGAGAAGCAAAAAATCAGGTGAAACGACTCCGTTTGGCTCGTGGTCACCACATTGATAACCTTCCCAGGTAGACCAGAATTGGGCGAGTGACAAGTTAACATAGCCATTGGGGCGAGTAGAGCGAGGCGGAAGAACTCAGTGAGTCGAGTTTTGAGTTTTCGGAGGAAGAAATGTCGTTTATTCAGCGGGCAGTGAAGGTGCCACCGAACTCGGCGTCTCTGGATGAAGCCAGGCACCGAGTCTTCGACTTCTTTAGGGCCGCCTGCAGATCCATCCCCACCATCATGGACATCTACAACCTCGACGACGTCGTTGCGCCCTCTCACCTCCGCTCCGCCGTCGCCTCCGAGATCCGCAAGAACGCCTCCGTCACTAACCCTAAGGTCCCCTTCTCCCTCTCTCTATATCTTCAAATTATACGATACGCTGCCGTTTTAATCATCTGAAATTTCGAACAAGGAGTAAAATGTCTGGAATTTCATATTTCGCCGACGATAAACCTTCATTTTGCAATCAAATTGGGGATTTTTGAATACAGTACAGTTTTCCAATCTTGCATTTGGTATTGAATTTTTCTGCTTAGTATTTACATAAATTTGGGCAGAAGGTCAAGGATCGCGTCGAATAGGACTGATTTTAGATGCTGCATTTTCTGTTGGTGTCAAAATTTCCACCTAGAAGTAGCTGAGCTTTTCGGAAATAGTGGTTAATCGAAAAATCTTAACATGGTATCGGAGCAGAAGATGCAAGCTCGAACCTTTGCGAAACTTTCATATTCATGTTATGTTTCACTTTGTTGGGATCTATAGTGGTAATGGGAGGTCACATATTGAGGACTTTAGAAGATGCAAGCTCGAACCTTTGCAAAAACTTCCACATTTATATTAAGTTTCACCGTTTTGGGCTCGATAGTGGTAGTGGAGAGAGCACGTTGAGGACATTATTGGAGTATAACTGTGATACTAGTTAACTTACATCCTAAACAAGGGAGAATCATTTTGAATATATGTTGTCGTACGTCCTAACATCTTAAATCTTTTAATTTGTGGGGATATTGGATTACTGAAAACATATAATGGTTAGATTTCTTTTCGGGATTCAATATGGTAAGGATTTCTCATTTTTAGCAGCAATCAATTTATGTGATCTGTTGTAATATAAGCAGGAATTTGTGGGTAAACCCCACACATTGGATTGCAATACATATGTATAGGTAATTAGGTTTTGAAAATTTGTGAAGATAAATTATTTCTGTAACTTTTTTTCAGCTATTCCTTCTTGCGGTTAAGTTATCATTTGTGTGGTGCTTTGTTTCTCTGTAGCAAACTTCACACAGTTTGCATCTCTATATGTTTGTGGAAATGATTATATTAGGCGAAGAACAAAGCTTTCATTGAGTGAAACAATTGAATGAAATCAGTCATTCATGTGATGCACTTTGACATTGCTCGGTAATATGCAAATTATATGTGTTGAATAAATTGCGAAGAGTTTCTAGTGAGTTGGTTGTATATCAAGTTGTGTCTATTAGGTACGAAATCAGAATTGTGGAAAGTATAACCAGGAATTTCATTACCATCCATACCTACTTGCTGACACGCTTCATGTTAATTTGATTTTGACTTGTAAAAACAAGTCTCATTTTGTGGATGGTATGGAAATGCAGGTCATCGATATGCTGCTCTTCAAGGCAATGGAAGAGTTGAATAACATCACCGAGCATGCAAAGCAGCGACACCACATCATTGGCCAGTACGTGGTTGGTCACCAAGGGCTTGTGCAGGATTTGGGCACCAAAGATCAGGGGGCCTCTGCTTTTCTCAAAGATTTTTATAAGAGCAATTATTTTTGAATCTCCGCTGTTCCCTGGATTGTGCTGCCGTGGGACTTTGGTTTCGAGGCTGTTAAATAAAGGTGTACTTGACAATTTTTTTGCATCTTTCTGTTGGATATAGATTGTTAAGGTCATGGGTCATACCTCAATTGCTGTTGTTTAAGAAGTCATTAATGTTTTGACAAATGAAGAAACAAGATACAGTTATGTCATTGGATGAGCATTGTAGCTTATTGTTCTGTTGTTTATTTTTTATGCTGTGAGGTTCTTTTGAGAGCCTTTCTCTGAGTTTATAATCTTTTCTGCATGCCTTATTTGTTGGGAGGTTTTCCCATTTTTTCCAGCCAAACATTTTGATAAGAAACATGTACAATGTACTTGAATTGAATTTAAGAGTCTTGTTATCTTAGTCACCTGTTGATCAAGGATTAATGGTTTAGGTGAATTTGCGACTCCCGTTCATTTAGTCATGCAATTTTGAATTGATATTAAGGGTTTGAGATTATGACGCTAAGAGCGGATGTATTCTTCACCTTTTGATATCAAAATTAACAATGGGTGGTCGTGCATTTTTTGGTTGTCAAGTAACTCAGAGAGCATTTCTAAATATAAGTGATTAGGAGATATAATATATATATATATATATATATATATATATATATTTACAAACAATATTATCTACACTAAGGCTATGAGGGAGTGAGCTAAGTTTTACAATGAGCTAGCAATAATGTGATTCAAGTTCGTCTTTGGTAAGAATCGAACCTAAGACTCATATTTTACAAGTGAAGAGGAATATCATTAAACTGTAGTACTAAGTAGCAAATATTGTACTACCTAAATTTTGGCCATTGATTTTCTTTTATTCATTTGATCCGACGGCCAAACATTGAGAGATGTATGAGAAGTAAAAATGGGTGTAGATAGCACTACCCTAAATTACGTTCTACTTCCTTAAGTTTGGGTGCAATTGCAACCTCATAGATCTTTTAAAACATTTAGCTATTATTTCATTTCAGTTTCATACAATCAGTAGAAAATTCTGAAATAATCCATGAAGCTATTATTTTATTTTTGTTAGTTTCTTCGTTATTTGCCTATGTAAACGTCCTGTTCTATGCTTCTCTAGGAAAACATTAAATGTTTTTTCAAGATTTATTTAAACTTTTACTAAAGATGAGTTCCAAAATTATTTTCAAAAACGATTTTACTCATTTTAAAAGTATTTATAAACAAGCCATATACCACAACAATATTTTGTGCATCTCGGTTGGAGTGAGGATTCTCGTCGGATTCTTTTTGTGAGGATCTCGAGGATCCTCAAATCATATTTGTTTATCGTATATCGTGCGGTTATAAATTATTATATATATTTTTTATTTAAAATTAAATATAAAAAATATTTGATAAAAATTAACAGTACTATATACAATAAATGGATATAATTAAAAAATCTTCAAAATCCTCACAAAAAAAAAAAAAAAAATCCGATCAGATGTCTTTCGGATGGGCTCAACTGGTGCGTAATCAGCGAAGATTTGGCTGTACTGAAACTGACACGGATTTCAGGGAAAGTAAATAAACAAATCAACAGAAAATGTCAAAGCAATCAACTTTAGAAAGAAAAAATAAATCAATTAAAAAATTATTTGATTGACCTGGGAAATTACCCATTTATTTATTTATTTACTTTTTAATTTTTCTTACAGAAGAAGACGTCTAGAGATTGCGGCAAGTATTCAAACGTAACGTATGCAAAGTTCTTTTTTTTTTTCCCTTTCTTTCTTTCTTTTGGAAACTACGTATGCACGGCTCTTCCTGTAGCGTTTTCCATCGTCATCAATGCAAATACCAAGTGGGTTTGGTTCACATATTTTTGTGGTTTTTTTTTGTTTTTGCTCAAATATTTTTGCGATATTTGTTGGTGAATATTGAATAATAGACTTTCACAATCATAGTTTAATGAAAGTGTCACATTCTTGGTTGTTTTTCTTATTTATCGAAATAAAAGTGAGATTCAAATTGAGAGATTTATCAAAATTTTGATATTGAAAATAAAAGTAACAATATCCAATATCACTCAGTGCATCTTTGCTCATCTCGTAAAGTATGAGTCATGCTTAACATTTTGAATTGTTGTTACAATAGTTTAAATTTTGAAATTCATGTCTAAATTAATTAAACAAAACTAATCTAATGGTCATTAATGAGTGTGAGTGTTATCCTCACTTTTCCGGATTGATGATGCTAGGGATATATACTTTGAGCCTTAGATGATTTGTACTATATAATTTTTTTTTTAATAAATGATATTATTTACATTAAAGAAAAGGAGGCGGGCTTAGCCTCACAATGAGTTAGTAATAATGTGGTTCAAATTCACTTTTTGCAATAATTGAACATAAGACCTATCACTTACAAGTGAAGAGGAATACCACTAGACCGTAGTACTAAGTGGCATCACAATAGATTTTAATATATGAGTTTTGAGTTAAGGGAAGCCTGTCACATCCCCGCCCGGGCCCCCACCACAACCTGGGCTCGACTCCACTGTAGCACGATATTGTCCGCTTTGAGCCCCGACCATGCCCTCACGGTTTTGTTTCTGGGAATTCACACGAGAACTTTCCAGCGGGTCACACATTATGGGATTGCTCTCGTGCGCTACTCACTTAACTTCGGAGTTCCTACGGAACCCAAAACCAATGAACTCCCAAAAGGCCTCGTGCTAGGTAGAGATGGGAATATACATATAAGACTTATAGGATCCACTTCCCTAGGCGATGTGGGATGTTACAAAGCCATTATTAGTACTTTCTAATAATTCACTCGACACTCATTTCTACTTTATTTTGTCGTTAAAAAAAAAGCCAGATAATTATTTTAAAGTGCTAATATACAAGTTTTGAGTTGTGAGAAACTATTATTGATGCTTGTTAAAAAGTCATTGATGACTCTTTTCTAATTACATTTTTCCGTGAAACAATGCAAGATATTACTTTAAAAGTAACCACGAGTTGGTGGCCCAGTGATAAAGGGCGGATTTCGAGGCTTCTTTCAAATTAAGAATTGGAGGTCTTGGGTTCTAAACCCGATGCTGGTGTGGAAGCTAGACTTGTGGCCAGGGGGAAGCTGAAATGCCTCTGTGAGTCTTCCCGGGCCCCGGAAGGGGGTGAATAACCATGACTTGCCACCAGTTGTCCCCTTAAAAAAATTACTTTAAAGTAGTAAAAATAATTCCCAAAGATCAATATGGATACCTTATATAGAAAACCCTAACTGCTATCTCATTCTCCCTATCAAAGCTCTAGATCTAAAAGATTCATAACTGTTGACCCCTTGCTTCGTCTTGGGGTATATGCAATCCCTATCTCCATCTTGATAGCCTTCATCCTTCCTCTGTTCATGGATTTCCCTAGATTTGTTTTTCGGTTTAGTATTTCCGTCACGAAGTGCCTTTTTAGTACGATTATTTGTGAGTGTATTTTGGTGAGTATTTTCAGTGTTGGTATGTCTTCAACTTCTTCTAGGTCTACCTTGCTGTTTATGGTAGCTTCATTAATGTTATTAAGCAAAAAACATGTTTGGATAGACACTAGTTAGTTCATTGTTAGTTTTATTCAGAGCTCGACGCTGCTTGTTGTCAAAAAGTATCCTCATGTTTATTATATTGCAATTTTTGTGTGTGAAATTTCTTAGATGCCAATTTGTGAAGTATTTGACTCTTACATCAGGTATGAAGTTTATTTGGTTTTGCTTATCTCAGTCCTCTGAGTTTTGGTGTGAATGATTTCAAGATTTGGATGTGTTTCCATGCTTATTCTTGTACATATCTCGTTCCTCCTAAATTTACCACTATGTTGACTATTAATTTGGCCAAATCGACATTTTATGTTTTGTTGAAATCTTTTTAAATTGGGGATCTCTTGAATGTTATTCAAAATGTCTTCTTTAATATGTGTATTAGTTCTTAATTAATTTTTTTTATAATAAATTGTATGAAGATTTTGGTGACTATTTGTCAAAATTGTAGGGGAAATTATAAATACACAAATTTCTTAGCCTTTCAAACATTTTGTTTAATTATGTTCGTTGTTTTTAGTTGATTAATTAATTTGATGGTTAGAAATAAAATAAACAAGTGTGAGAAATTATAAACAATGTACTCATAAAATTAAAAAAAAATGTGTGATAAACTAAAATTATATGAAAATATCAGCTTCCATTTATAAATTGTCTAAACCAAAATATTGTTCGAATAAAAAAAATTCAATGTACTCCCTTTTGGAGAAATTGACCATTATATTTGGAAAAATACTGACAAATTCAAGTACCAAATTAGGGGGTTCCCTTCTTAAAAGCACCCCCAAGAAAATTAATTTAAAAATATGTTTTTGGTTTTGCCATAATATATGAATTATTACTATAATTCTTCTCTTTTTTTCTTTTTTTCTTTTTTGGCTCTCTGGGAAAGACCAAATTTTATTCTCCGTCAAGTGGAAAGTGGGTGGAGCCCCCCAGTGTCTCTACCGAGTCAAAGTTTTTAGGACATGCGTTGTTGATGCAGCAGATACTGTGTTGAATTCAACCTCCACCACCCCAGAAGAGTAAAGTAGTGGCGGAGCAGTCGCTTCCTCCTCCTGATCGCCGCCGCAAGGTTTCAAAGTTAGCTCCTTTTCCCCTTCAATTTCGTTTCTACTTCGAGTAATGAAGTTTCCCTTTTGGGTTTTTCCTGAATTGAGTTTCTTTGTTTACTTTCTGGGTGTAGATTTTTTTCTCCTCTTTCTACGTTTTTGCTCATTTGGCCGATACCAAACAAGTTTCAGCCGCCATCAGAGGGTTGGAATCGCAAAAGGGTCATCCTTTTTGCTGGTTCTGTATCAAATAGTGGTATTGAGAAGTGGGCAGAATCCGCCATGGCTGATGGCAGTCCTAGGACTGATATCTCTACAGATGTGGATACAGATGATAAGAATCAAAGGGTACTCTCTCCCCCTCCCTCCCTCCTTCCTTCCCTCTCAAAGTTTTGGTAATACCAACTATTAAGAATCATTTTGTTATGCTTGAGGTCAATAGCCATTTTGCTGAGTTAGATGTTAACTAGTATTTGTTGCCCATCTGACATTTTGATCACTCTGTATGTGCAGTTTGACAGAGACCAATATGCCATTGCTCCTGTGGCTTCTGATTCCAGTGACAAATCGAAAGATCCAAAAGATCAGAAGGTGATGTATAGGAAATCGATGATATGTGAGTTGAATAGCAAGGGTAAGATGCT